TCGTTCGAAACTCTGAGCAATGCGCTCGGGAAGCAGCATCTGTGTACGATATACTTGAAGCCGTTTGACGGTGGCATGTGCAGCATGTTGCAAAGATCAGCGCCTACACCATCGGCTGTCGGTGAAATGACTATCTGTTGAATCTGTCCTTGCTGACAGAAAAATACGCATTCAAATATATCGTGCTCTGATGTCTGGTCACCAGAACCACTCTTAAGCGTGCATAGCGAAGGGTCCTTTACGTCTGCATTTATTGAAGTTCTCATGACTATTGAGTGCCTGAAGCGTTCGAGGAGTATTGCATCTACATTGATGAGCCGGCTCCAAGGGCTTGTCGCTATGCTTGGCTCACCCGGTGCATGGCACGTCAGTCACAAATGTCAATCATGACAGCGCTTCCAAAGACTCGTCCACAGCCCGTTGCGGATCCAAGGCTACTGAAGTTTCAACTGTGCATTCCCGTTACAGCTTTCCGAAAAATGACAAAGTGCGTAGCAATCTGTTGCGATCCATCACAGAAGTTTCGAAATATTACTGCGGCCCACTTTCGATGAAGCTGTTCTTGAGAAGATGTGGAGGGATTGGTTGAAGCTGTAATTTTTGCGAAAAGGGTTAGGGTCCTGAGGTCATGTGGATCAAAAAAGATGTTTCGCCATATGTAGAAACGCTCGCAGAAGGGGGGGGTTTTTTTTTCCCCATGTCTGCGAGTCTTCTAAAGTGAATCCTGCTCGATGTAGCAAGAAGGATGGCATGGTCAAGAAGCGGTGTGAAACCTTGCAAAAAGCGTACGTTGTCATACATTGGTTCGCCAACTTCTGCACCCTGACTTCAGGGCAGGTCCCATCTGGCTTGTCGCTGGTCAGCCTGCACGTGTGCCAGGTGAAGAATTGCCATCGCAGCTTACGCACAGAGAGCTCTATGCTCTTATTCCTTTCGCTGTGGGGAAACTTCCCGGAGAGGCTTGGATGATGGAAAGGCACAAAGACATGAGCGCCCTCCTCACTCCTTCATTGCTCCTTACAAAAAACACAGTCATGCGATTGTCTCATCAACTTGACGGGGGCTTACTCTCATCTGGCACAAGATGGTGCGTCGTTCGTCCCTTTCTCTCTCCCACCCAGGGATGATGACTCTATTCTCTTCTCCATCCTGAATGAGGTCAGATCCTCAGGTTCTGCAGTGACGCCTGCAAAATCACTTGCAACGGTGAGACGACGAGCCTAGCGCACAAGACAGACAGTCTGTACATCGTCGAGTCAGTCCCACATGCTCCCATGTGAGTGTTCCTAGCATTCACAGACTTCTTCATGGATCCCAACGAGTCTTCACTCGAAGCGCTGGTGACGAAGATGACAACGCACAAGATGAACATCGTAAAGTGGCACTACAGGACCTGCCACATAGTTACCGAACTCACCCTACAAATGGTCCATCAAGGCGTGGTCAGCAACACGAACACCGTGAGCAATGCGACTCATGACGTGAAGACCGGTAAGCTCATCCAGACAGGCATCAAGCCCTCAGCCACACACATCTGCACGCACGGGTGTATGGCCCATGATGTCAGACTCGACCTCAAGTCGGTCAAGCGCGTCGCCCTCGGGCATGCTCAAAATGTGAAGGCACACGCTGCCTCTTACCGAATGAGTAGGTGCACACACAATGCGCAAAATGCCACCTCTGATGAGGGTGTCCGTACACGGCAGACACGCACAGTGATCGACCCTGAACTTCAACACGAAGTGTAGGACAAACTGCCAAACTCACCTGCCGGCACTCCTCACAGCCCTCACGAACGACGAGTGGCTCGTATCGCGATTGTAGCTGCCAAACACGACCCAACGCCACCATCACTCGATGCACCTAGTAGCATGTTCACTGATGATAGTGACAATGACAGCAGCAATGACAAAGACGATGAGGGCAACACAGTACCCTCGCCCAGCCATCACGCTGCATTGCCATGTCAGACCGCGTCAAACCCCTCACCTGCTCCTTCACCCCAGCATGAAAATGAGAAGGAGGACTTACCTGCCATCTCAAAGGTCGCAACATCCCTCTTTCACACTCGGACTCAATGCTTGGCCACTCCTACTCTCGCTCCAGAGGCTCCAAAGAGTCATGTTCGTCAATCGACATGCGCACACTGAGCACCAATTCGCGATGATGACTCGTGGCTTTCTATCAGTGCATACAAGCCCAAGACAGTCCCAGGAGACTTTAGAGCCAAGACAAAGCTGAGAATAGAGACCCCAGAAGTCCAGGAAAGAGAAGAGAAGCGAAAGAGAACAGCCAGAGAGAGGAGAAAAGAACGTGCGTCAAGTGGGTGCAGTCGAACACGACAAAACTCGCGTGGATGCTACGGGTCACTCAGTTGACAAAGAACCTCAGAGAATCAACGTCAGATGCGGATCAACGGAAATTAGCGACAACGGAAGGCCTTACCCCGTTCGTCAAGGCCACACTCAACGATGAGTATGACCGTCCACGCACCGCAATCAGGCACGATCCAGGCAAAATCACATGGTGCAGACAGCGTACAGCAGCCCGGGTTCTATCTGCCCAGATGAACTCAAGAAACCCTACGCCACAGGCACTTACAATCCAATCTGTGCAAGCCACAGTATGTTTCAAAGACCGTCAGTCACGCACAGCATAAGCAGCATGAAGAATTCAGTTAGTGTTCTAAAAGTAGGTCTGCATTCCCACTGAGTGGGCGTGTTGGAAGTCATACAGACTTTATGTCCAGTGGGACACAGACTTAGATGTTCCACGCATGTTCGCTTATATAATCACATAGCCACAAGCGCGCTCGATCTTTTCCTGCTACCTCAGCACTCACATCATACATCGAGGCTGAGGTAAGTACCTACTGGATTCCTTACATACCTTTTACTCATACACTGTAGTCACTCGTTCCTATGTGTCTTACAGGTATTTATATAGCACTCGCATCATACATCGAGGCTGAGTCACTCGTTCCTACGTGTCTTACAGCCCTCAGAAATTTTCACCTCGGACAATAGAAGGCGCCACTCATCTTGTCAATGACATGCTTCAAGAAGTTGCCAAGTGACATTGAATCCAGTTCTGAGGTACACTCATCGTCTTTCTCTTCACCTTCTTCCTTGTCTACATGCTTTTTCTTTGCTTTTCTCCATGCATTCTCCTTGTTGATGCATGTCTGACATTTTGCTGCTGGTTCACCCTTTTTGCCATTCTGTGTGTTCCTTTTTTGTATTGCAAACTCAGATAGCAGTTTTGTAGCATGGCATTCGATGCAGAGTTTTTTTTGTCATGATCTCAGTGTGGATTCAGATGTCGGAGACCTCAGACTTCACAGTGGGCAGTCAATGTCCCCCTCGCCCAGATTTCTCTGAAGTTCACATGCATACAAATTGTTGTAAGATCCATTAGCTTTACACAAAAGTATGAAATTTATCATAATGACTTTCATCGTGTCAGAAGCCACTGAAGCACTTTGCGCAACGCGAACACTACCTTCAGCCACCTCAGCCACAGCGGAGTTCGAAAGGCCATGCAAACCCGCTGGGAGATTAACAGTCCATTATGACCGTCCATCGTGGATTGATGCTACCCAGTCTCCGTCTGGCCTCTCTCTTGTCGATGCGTGGCGGGTGACGAACGCTCGAGACTCATTTCGAGACTCATTTGTTGAGTTTTTATCCCTCCCTCCGCGAAGCAGCGAGCTATGGGTTAACTGGTCTGTGTGTGTGTTCCACCCGCTCATCGTTCGTCCGGTCCTTGTGCTCTCTTTCTCCTGTCGCTGACTCGTACGCCGCACGTATGGAATGACAAAACGATTCCGACCTCTCGTTTCGCTGACAGACAGAAATGCGCCTTGTTTGGCCGAGCTGTCGCTCGTCTCTTCTCTCCCTCCTTCGACGAATCGCCCCAGCTTGCCCTCGCACCCAAGTGTAGCTTCCAACTCTATACAAACTAGAGCGAGTCCTCGGCCTCATCGATCATCCTTCGTTCGTCGACTTGTGCGACCTTGTCACATCTCTCATCTGACACGTGCTCGACCTTTGTTAGATTGCAGCGCCGAGCTGCCTGCGCGCCGTTTAACGTTGCATCCGAGGCGCGTCCTCGTAGCTCGCGATGTGAATGGCGGTGCGCGCATCTCGCACGGTCGGGCTCGAACCCATTTAGCAGCGCATTCCGCTACTACTGTCCATTCTGGATTGACGTTACGCGGCCGTGTGCCTTTCGCGGTGTTCAAGCGTCCTCTCTGTCTATGCCTGAGGTTGAGTTTTTTTCGTGCTCAGCGTATAGGTGGTCCGAGCTTGCGATGGTTTCGGGTATTTGTGCGGCATTCGCCTGGTCGGATAGGCGAAAAGTTGAGTCGTTCTCCCCTTGCGTGCACGCATCAGCCCGTCCTTGATTCACTCGTTGGATGTTCTTCCTCATCGACGTGCTGGATCGTGGCGATAGGCTTTCCCAATGACAATGACCGCGGAACAAATTCTCGAGAGGACGAACGTTATCGATGTCTAGGTTGGGCTGTAACGCGCCGAGGAGATCGCAGAAGACTCGGTCTCTCACTGTCGTGCACGTCCTGACTGCTTGCCCCTCTCTGGATGCGAAACGAGCGTGTGCGATGATGAAGACGAAGACGAAGATGAACGATCTGTGCTCACTCACGTTCTGGGCAGCGTGCGGTGCTCCTGCGTTTGGTTCTCCTGTGTGGATACGGGCGATACGTTCCGCAGCCTGAGGTCAGCGTCGCTCCAGATGGTGAGCAGTATGCCCATGTACTCGATCCATCATGCACGATTGTTTCGGTGCATGTCCCCCCACTCGTCAAGAACCCACGGCGCGTTAGTATGTCGTCGTTTCTGTCACTCGCAGTCTATTATACTCATTCGGGGGGATCTGGGATCTCGCATCCCCTACCTCCAGCTGCTCATCGCAGCAGAGACAGGGCAGGTTCACGATGTGCGCTCGCTCCCGCTTTCGCTGAATGAAACGTGCGGAACATGCTATCAACATCGCTGTACGGATTCATGTCTACCGATGGTCATCTCCCACGTGATTATAAGGGCATCACGCGAGATATGTCAAATGCATTTTGCCCACAAAACCCCGCAGAGCACAATATAAACTGCGTTCTAATAACGGGCATTGCTACGTGACCTTAAACTTTGCCTGCATCCTAGATAGGTTGTACGCAGCGGAGATGAGAGTGACGTGGCTAGAGCGGTCGACTCGAAATCAGAGGACGGCCTCCGCGAAAGAGAGAACCACACGCACGTAAATCCTTGCACAGCGTTCCCAAGCCTGCGGTCGTTCATTCAGTCAGTCCTCATTCGTTCAGAAGAGGAGATGGTACGCACGCCTCGCCCGCTGCTGATATCTCCTCCGTGCACAAGCCGACGTGATTCGTATATTGCAAGAAATCCTACAAGACGGTGAGTCGGGAACGAGCCGTGCTCCATACCCGGTGCACACCTCGAACATCCCGACTGCCTTCCTCAGCATCGTCACATCGTATTCGCCCGCGCGCGCCAGCGCCTCCACACACCTACCACAGCAAGCTGAGCTCGCCAGTCTGACGCGGTGTAAATATGGTGCGTACCAAAGCGTACACAGACAGAATGTTCCCTCCTCGCCGCCTACACCATCCTCTGCCTTCTTCACGTCGTAACGATAGACAAGGCCCTACAGCGATAACGTCAAGGGTAAGTTCATAATCGAATTGGAATGGGAGGTCGGATTACGTTAGAGGTCAAGCCGCCCCGCTCGGGTGTGTTAGAGATCTGCCGCAACGTGCTCAGAAAGCGAGGGTCGGACTGTGGTTTATGATCGGAATGAGCTGTCATGCCCTTCGATGTCAGGTTGAACAGAATGGCTGACCGGCGTCATGAAGAAGACGAGAGGCATGATTAAGAGCGATGAATCGAGCACGTCTAGATCCTCGTAGCTCTGCGCGAAGAACCGCATCTTCGGGTTCCATGCCTTCGCCATGATCTCCTCGTACAGTGCGTCCCTTGCTGCTATCCATTCGTTGCGCCTCGGGCATGGCAGCGAGCGCTTGTCAGCGAGACGGAGACCTGGATGTGGTGTTGAGTTTGACGGCGCGACGACATCGGGACAGGTGCGCACCTCTGTCGATCGCGACCCTATGCCAATATGTTAATAGAAGCTGGCCATAGACAAAATTGTCATGCATACCATAACATGACCTGTGCGAACAATCACGCTCAGCTTTTCACGGACAGCGTGAGAGTGACATACTTTGGAATACTGATTCAAAGCGCAGCAACGGATCAGCAACACAAGGCTTGAGAGAGATAATTCAGCGCATACCGTAAAGTTCCGATGCCGGTCCCGCACTTCCCTGAAGAGCGATGAGAGCGCCTACAGCAGATCGAGCAAACCTCCAATTACCAAATAGATCTGCAAACAAGGATGTGAGCAGCTGTTGCATAGATACTAGTGGTCGTACACTCACAGGTCCGGCTCGTTGAGGTGGTCGATCACGACTGCCCAAGGGTAAATCAATTCGACGTTGGCATGCAAGGGTAGGAGTGCTTACACTCCACGCTATGCACAACATGATATCAAATCTGCGCCGTATAGGAATATTTCTGATACTCACATTTCGCGCACGGCGACCCTGACAATGACTGGTAAGCAAGGATTTGGGTACGGGCTCATCGACGTACCAAGTATCGTAGGACTGCGGTTCCCTTGTAGGTGAGATGAAGCGGCACTCTTTCGAATGGAGGACATACCAATGGCTTTCCGTACTAGAGGCGAACGTCAGAATATGTAATGCCATATAAAAAGATCCATCGATACCTTCTGCGAAAGGTATATACAATCCATTCTGCGCAAGTTCGTCAGACAGAAATGGCATCCGGCCAGCAAACATCTATTCGTGGGCAATTGTCAAACTATGTCTTGACTGTCGGAAACGTGGCTACCTACCTGCGCACAACTCGCCGTAGATATCCTATCAGAACAGCATACGTATGAGCGCTCTCCTCCCTTCCAGGACTGCAGCATCCTTACCAGCTGAACGTGATCAATGGCACCGTTTCCTATGCTATACGAGTAGGTGATTAGACGAGGCCATGAGGAGATGTAGGACAAGACGGTCGCGAAAACGTACCGGACGGGTCTCGAGCCTTTATGTCCTTCCAAGTGGGAAAGCACCTCTTCAGGAAAGAGCTTCTCGCCTGTCGCTCCTCATGATCAGTGACGACGCGTCGGCGACGACGAGCCGCACGAGCCACGCACCGTGGATAGTATACCTAATTTCACTCAAGGCACATCGGTATCTGCTGAGATCTACGATAATCTAATACGCACATGATGTTGAGCGAACCGTCCGGATTCCTCGTCCGCAGGCGCTCGAGAATGAACTCCATGTACGCTACACTCATAGATCATCCACTGCCGGAAAGAGTGACCTGCAGTGAGACGCACCGTTCGCCTCGTGAGTGAAGCCCAAGCGGATGAGGGCGTACAAGATGAAAGATGAGTCACGGATCCAGGAAGCACTATGCAAAGGCATTGAGTCGAATCATTCATCCCCTGCGAGCTGCACTCACCGGTAATCCCTTATAATGGAAGACTGAGACATAAATCAAACAGTCAAGGTAAAAAACTCATACCAGTTCCTCGTGCCGCCGATGTACTCTGGCAAGCTAAACGTAGGGCTAGCGACAACGGCACCTGCACAGAAAGCGTATCAATTCTCTAGGCCCATCTCGGAGAGGGATAGAGCGCACCGGTGGGCTCGTATATCAGTAGCTTTAGCGCGAGGGCACTGCGATTCACTGCTTCCTTCCAGGAGCCGTCGTACGTCGAACGGCGGATCCATCCGTTCCAATACTGCGTTGTACCCTGATGTAAAGCGCAGCGCCAATTGAAACCATTGGTATCGGCTACGTCGATCACGCATGGCACGTACCTCTAGAAGCTCGCGCAGCAGTTCCTTGGATGCAGACCGTTCAGTCTCCATGTTCTTTGGTGCCAAACTTAGCGTACCTTTGTCAGGAACGGGTCCTCGGGTGGTCGCAGATCAGATGCTCCCAAGAGGAGCTCTAAAAATAGGTCAGCACAGAACGTGGATAACAAGACTCCTCCTATAGCCGCAGATCAAGAGGAGACTGCTCGCTCACGTTCATATGGGACACACATCTCCTGCGCTTTCTCAGGAGTTAGCTTCGACATATCGCGAGCCTCTTTCTCTGGCGGAATCCTCAATACAAACGTCACCGCCTGTCCCTCGCTCAGCGTGAAATCGCAGCATGCGCTCAAGCCCAAATGGCCCTTGCCCGTAAGGTCGAGGATCTGCAGGTCGACCGCGGGCACGGACACCGTCTCAAGCGTTGCCTCGGCGATGTAGCGCAGGTCGAGCGAGAGGCCCGCCTTGGGCGAGGTGAAGAGCACTTTGTGGTGAGCGATCTTGGGTTTGATGAACGTGCTTGGTACGGAGGTATCTGGGATGATTTTGGTGGTGTGCGGGGCACGGGCATAGTCGAATGCTGGGGCGCATTCGACGCGGAGGGGAAAAGACCCGCGGATGACCTGCCTAAGTGTGAGTTCGATGGAAGCGCGTGGGGATGCCGATCGTGTGCACCTCTACGCGGCGGATCAGCCAAGCAAGTAGGGGTCGGGCAGTTGAACTCTTTGGCTGGCGAGGCAGGAAATCTGCACGTCACAACGATTCGTTAACGTCAACTTTACACCTTGACATCCTGAAGCAGGCAAACATACCCGTAATGGTAGCGACTCCCTGGTCGTTCAGGAACCTGGCATGCCTGTCGGCCGGGCTACTGATGCATTCACAATGTACTCACTTTGTTTGCAGGACCTGCATGAACATCGAAGCATGGTTAACGGTAAGCGGCCAAACACGTCTGGTACCCACGTTGGAGCTAGGTAAATAGTTCTGCTTCGTCGTAAAGGGAACGGTCGGGCTTATCGAGAAATGGCCGCCCTGATTGAGCATTAATCGGCGACAACCGTGAGTTATATGCTTAAAGGACAACCTTGTCCTTGTCCAGAATACGAGCGAATATAGAGGGAGAGTCAAAGTTGGGGATACAGTAGCTTTCGACTGCAAGGAGCGATACAGCATTTAGCTAAGTGTTCAATACGAATGGCAAAAAGTAGGCGCGGGTGCCCTCGGTGTCTCGTCCGAACTTCTGCCGTCAAGCGCACTGGCATAGTACTCACTGGATCCGTCTATGCTGACCTGCGGGTCGTCATGTGGTCACGAACGTGAAGGCAACCTGGACCACCTACACTCACAAGAGCCGCAGTCCTCAAGTTCCCGATGCTGCACAGCGCATGAACTGAGAAATCGCGGTTATAGGAAGCGTTACGCGCATACGTACAGGCCGTGGTCGCCGAGAGGGATGTAGCCCCTGTCCGGCTTGGGATCGTTGATATTCATCGCTGCACTTGCTGTAGACTAGGAAGAAACTCGATGCCGAGGGAGAAAGAGGTGGCGATGAATTATCTGTGTAAGTGTATGAGGGCCGGACTGGAAGGGTTTGGGTGGGAGACTTTGGCCACGAATTATATCATATCGTGCCGAGCGAGCGCGCGTGTGGCTGATCGTGACCGCGATCGATCACCTGACCGTCATTAATTGACCTGCTTCCGAGCTGCTTTGCGAGGCTGCCTCGATTCATGCATCTTTTCTCTCGGACACCAAGCAGGCGAGGCGCTACAGCAGCGGATGGCTGACTGATATCAATGAATAGTTACTAGCATGGGGCGTGCGATGGTCAGCAGGTGAGTAAATGACTACTACAGGTTCACGGTCTACGACAGCCATGTGCATGGTATGAAGCAAGTACAATACATCAGACTACTACACTACCTATTTCTGCTCAGATCACCAGTCCCGAGTAGATGCAGGCAATACGATATGAACGAGGCCATTGATCAGATCCGAATCCAAGTCCTATCCTCTCGTGCGCACAACGCTATGACAGCCGTCCGCGCTCGCGCTCATGCGCCGCACTCCGAGTCGACGCCGAGCGCGCCATCGAGCCGAGCGCCAGCTCGAACGTGCGCGCGTCAGGCGACGTGTACCCATGATGCGAGTGTCGGTGCGGCGTCTGCGTGTGCTGGTGGGAGGGAGATAACGGCAGGCCATAGGAATGCGAATGCCGCACGCTCGTCGATCGGGGCGGCGACACCAGCCTTATGTCTCCCCATGGCATCTGCGGAGCCTCTGCCCCCGCAGCTGTCCGCATCCCCGCCGTCGCACCCGTCCCGCCGTGCGCATGCGTCCCGAACTCCCCGCTATGCACCGACCCGGACGATGACCCCGAGCTTGAGCTTGAGAGCGTGCGCACATGATGGGGACGATCATGCCTCGACGGCGACTCGGAGTGGCGCGATCGCTGCGACACCCGCCCGGTATGTGTGCGCGCGAGCAGCGGCGCGGCGACCCCCGCGTCGCCGCTCGACATGCGCGAATGCGTCGGTGCTGGCGCTGCTATCAGCGCAGGCGAGCGCGGTGGTCTGGGTTCGGGTGAGTCAGGTGGTGGTGTCCGAGGGAGCGCTTTCGTGTACTTTGGCGAGCCTTTGAAGAATGAGTCCCATGAGGACCCCGCGCTGCTGTCCGCCACGGGCGCCAGCTCTGCCTCCGTCTCGGACGACACGTCGTGCGTCTCCTCCTTCGTCTTCACCGGCGCATATGCCGCCTCGTGCTCCGCGCGCATGACGGCCGTGTCGTCCGTATAATGCGAGTGAATCTCCTTCCGCGGGGGAGTGTCCGAGAAGTGGGCGTACGCGTAGTACGAGTTTCGCAGCGTCTGCTCCGATCCGCTGTACCGGTCGCGATTCGGCTGTGTAGGCGACGCGTACGGCGCGAGCGCGCATGCGATTTCCTCGGAGGACAGCTCGTCCGGGTCGAATGACTCGTCCTTGTCCGGGAGCACTCCATCGTCCAGCATCGGCGGACGGCCCCGCCACTTTCGGCGGTAGTACGCCCAACGCGCGCCGAAGAGCACGACGCAAAACACGATGAAGCCCATGATTCCGAGGAGCACGTCCACGCCGACGGACAGGTGCTTCGACCCCATCGTCGCCTTGCTTGTGGAGTTCTTCGTGGTGCTGTTATCCCCGACGGAGCTCAGCGGCTCGTGCAGCACGCGCACGGCGTTGAACTCCTCCAGGGCGAGCGTGATGTTCGTCAGGCCCAGGAGCCCGAGGTATGGGTTCACCTGGTGGCCCTCGGCGCCCCAGGCGCCGCTAGCAAACTTACCGTTGTTGTTTGGTGCCTCGTATGCCATTACGGTGTATGTGTTACGCAGGAAGGGGACGCCGAGGATCATGTCGGGAAGGTTCAGTGGCGAGTCCAGCTCGGCGATGTTTTGAATAAGCCCGAGACACGTTGAGGTATCGCTCTCGGTGGCATAGGTCAGGTCTAGCGGATGCAAGGGTAGCTCTGACCGGTCGTCAAGCGTGATGGTCATGTTAAGAGGCGTTGTACATGGAACATAATCTATCACGCACGCCTGGCATCAGTTAGCAGCCGCCTGTGGAAGATACAACACATACATGAGCCGTCCTCGGAGGGGGACACACCGATCGCGCCGTATATACCATTCGCGATGTTGGGCGATGCGAGGATGACGGCCGTCCCCGAGTCAAGCACCGCCGTTGGGTACGCGTACGACGACAGACTGACGGGCCGCGCCTCGCCGTCGACGTATACGGTGATCGCCCTGATGCTGGCCTCCCAGAACTGCACGCCGACGCGGCTTGTGACGGTGCCCGCATATTGGATCTTGCTGGGGTCCGACACGAGGCCGTCTGGATGTCGTCCAATGCCAAGGACGGAGGGGACGGCGTCTGAGCCCGGCCGCTCGAGCGCTAATGAGTAGAACGGGGCGGAGGGTCCGTCGTCGGAAGAGAATAGGTTGTAGGTTAGGGCGGCTCCGGTGAGGCCGTTTACTGGGTCGATGGGGATCGTGTCGGAAATGATGGAGTCTTGCGGTAGTGCGAGGCCGAGTATGCCATCAAAGTCATCCTCTAGCGGTTCGCTGTTGACTGTTGATGCAGCAGCTGATGTCACGAGGCAATGATATATGCACGAGCGGATGGAACAAGTCAGCGGATAAGTCGGGTCCGTCTAGTGCCCGTCTCGGCCACTCACCCAATGCCTGGTTTGTGATGTTATAACCGCCGAGTTGTATGCTGTCCCAGACGATGGGTCCGCTAACCTCCCCGGAAGCATAGGTAATGGAAAATGTCTCGTTTGACGGAATGGAAGAAGAAGGGTCGTAAACGTGGCCGTCTGCATCATGGCATGATGACGTCGAACACGAGCTTGACGCTATCCACTGATGGAAGCTTAGAGTGTGGCAAGACGGCGATAGAGTGCAGCAGGACTCACGAGGTCAGAAGAGCCGGTGTCGACCTGGAGAGAGAGATTCTGCTGTTTGCTGCCGACAAGCACGGGTATGGTGTATACTCTGCAAGCAAGCAAAGATATGCCGCAGGCATTATCAGATATCGCTCTGAAGCGCGCCACAAAGCGAAGGGGAAGCGGGGGGCTTCGGGTGGTCGATCGAAGAAGGTCTTGAAGCACTCACCCCTGGTAATAAGAATCCTGCAGCAGCTCTAACGGAAGAACGGCACCCGAGCTGCCTCCAGAGCTTTCCGTCACTGAAGTCCGTGGTCTACTCTTGCGCTTTGATGCACGGAAAGCGCGCGTGGATAAAGAGCGGGTCATATGTGCGGTATAATGTGCCGCCTCAAGCGGTCACAGCGGGGTAAAGGGAGGTATCTGGTGGGTGAGATGATGGGAGGAGAGGAGAGGGATGGCAATGGAGATGGAGATAGATTTTGTACGTTGAGTGGGAGGGCGGCATTGGTGAGACGAGGGCCGAGGACGACCTGTGTGGGCCATGGCCAGATCTGCAGCTAGATCTGAGCAGGAACGCCGCGGCGGGCGCTAATCGTGACGCGTCGCGTATCCGTTGCTCCCACGCTCTCTTTCTCTCCGCCACCCTCGGTCCTTGCCCACATTCTCCTCCTCGCCCGCTCTTTTTCTCAGAGTTGGCCCGCCATTTGCATGGGCGACGAGCTCATAGACTCGTATTTCCGTGGGCTTTGGGATTCGCGTGCTCGCCTAGAGCATGAGCTATGTGCATCAAACCTACGGGCTAGCCCAACCCCTTCTCGCATCGGCATCATCTCCCCGGACTCCAACCTCCTCTCATCCTCGGCGCGGAACCATCTTGATTGGCTCAACGATCGCATACGCTCTATTTTGACATCGGACAAAGAGCTAACTGCCATGTCATCTGCCATCTCCACTGCCCGCTGTGCGCGCCGACTTGCTCGTTGCTGCTGGAATACACTTTCGAGGCGTTAGCTTGGCATTGATGCCACGAGATCACGTCTCGGGCATGACTATGCGGAACTGACGGCCGGCAGACCCTCGGCGACGCGCATCACGTATTGGACGTCACCGCAGGTGCTTTGCCGGTCGTGACTCGATAAACATTGGTTTCGGTCGGTATGGACTCTCCGTCTCGGTTAAGCGAGCTTTAAACGTGCCTAGGAGGGCGTAAGCTTCGCACGTCGTCCCTCATCAAATATTGGTGTGAACTGTCTGTTGGAATCCCTGAATACACTACATGTCGTCGTTCATCGACATCGTTGGTGCGAACTATGAATCTCTGAATACACTTCACGTCGTTGCTCATCGATATCTTTGGTGCGAACTGTCTGTTGGAATCCCTGAATGCACTACATCCTGCGAAACGGTCAGATTATAAAGGCGCACACTTGCCGATGCTTTTGATGATCAATGTGTTGGCTCTTGCAACTACAACTGACGTGCCCAGTCCACAGCAGATTGCCGCCTTGGTCTTTGTAAGTTTGTGTCGCGTAGCGGCAGTGTCGTCTATATCTCTTGCGCGATCAATATCAATTATGATAATCTTCGCCGTCTTTGACGATTTCTGTCGTCGATGCTGGTGGAGAACATGATCCGGATTGCGTCTGGTTATGAACATTTCGACGACAGAGCAGCAAAGGTTGGCCTCAGTTTACATTTGGTAAGTACAATATTGCTTTGCATCAAGTGTGAGGCCACCACTCGCCGTGCCGTTCGGCTGGCGCCGGCAACGCCCGGATACCAAGTCCATCGAGCCGGCCCGGAGGTTAGTGCACCGATGCTTTCGTCCTGGACACGATCACGTCCACTCCTCCTCAGCATGAACAGCACTCGAGCCGTCTCCACGCATCCTGGCTACCAGGGAGGTGGGCCAGGACGCGCGAGAGGGCGCGGGCGAGGAAGAGGCATCTTCAATGGCAATGCCGTGGGCGATCCTAGTGGGATTGGCGCGGGAGGAGCGGACGCAGAACCAGGCAGCGTTCCTCGCCTTGTTGGAAACGCGAAAGCGGAGAGGCCGCGAAAACCGCCTCTGACACATTGTTAGTCATCTCCTCTGTGTGCGAGCTAAGAGAGGCCTGAACGTGGTACGTGTCCTTAGTCTTAGCCTTGCCTCTGGTGCGTCTTAGGAGCTCCAATCGTAACCCTTTTTGCAAGGTTCAATTATCCTTTCATAGGGACACCATGTCGCCCTCAGAGAGACCATGTCATCCTTCACAGGTGCACTCCTCGATGCAGAGCCTGCGATCCCAGGACTTGATCAATCCATCGTGATCCCCGCTCGCAGACTACACTTCACCCTCGGCGTCATGTCGCTCGACCTTGAATCCACCTCCTCTTCAAGCACAGAGTCCCCCGCGCCTGAAGAAGGATCATCTGTGAAGGCGCCGCCCCGACCACGGACGCTGCAGTCCGCCATCGCTTTGCTGAACGAAATTCGTCCGCAGGTGATGGAGCTCCTGGGTGAGGAGCACCTACGCGTTGAGCTGCGCAACGTGGACATCATGAAGCCGAACAGGCGCGACCTCGAACAGGCGCACGTCATGTGGGTTGGGCCGTCGGACGAAGGTGATAACACACAACGGTTGAAGAGGGTCGCTAGTTAGTGGTACTCGCATTTGCATCGGGCTGCGCGAATTGACGCGGGGCATGATAGATTTCGTGCACAAGGCTTTTAAGAAGGCAGGGCTCGTTGTGGATGAGGGCCGACCGGGACCTTTGAAGGTAAGCCAAGTTTCCCCCATGACAAGTCCGGGATGCCGCTCATGGCGCTCGTGCAGCTACACTGCACGGTGCTCAACACCGTCTACCGCAAGCCACGCACGAGGATGCGCCAGCCGTTCTCCTACCCTTCCATCCTCCGCTCCGCCGCACTGCAGGCGGTATCGATCGAGACGGCCAGCACGGACGAGCAGACTCAGGGGCGGAAGCCCGTGGGCGTGGACTTTGGCGCGTGGGAGGTGGATGAGATACAGATATGCGAGATGGGTAGCTGGGGTCCGGAGGGCGAGTATGTGTGCGTTGGAAGGTGCTCGTTGCTGGAGGAGTCCTCGGGTTCTGCTGCTTGAGGTGATGGAAAATGAAGTGTGTTGGCCTGCGTTGCATGTGGCTGGCGCTGCCTCTCCCTGCTCGTATGCAATCTTTTGTTGTACAATATAATCGTGAATGTAATGATCCTTTCACTTGCGGAACTCGTTCCCGACGAACGCGCATTTAGGCGCCCACGTGGAAGCAACGATGGCTTCCTAAGCTGAGCGGTTGCTTGCGAGGTAAGGAAGAGTGAGCCGGGCGATGTTAAGTGCTACGACGGTGTGTTGGGGGGAGAGGGTTCGGCCGGGCGAACGCATCCACGCGAGGGGCGGTGCTCGGGGTCTCGATAGCGAGTGTCCGGGGTCCTGGCAATATGGCCAGGCTCCTGATTCGCTGGCTGACGATCCAGGGCTTCCGAGCGCGTTTGGGCTGAAACTCTCGAGCATACAGCACCTGTGTAGCTGCCTGATGAGGGAGGCATGACTACACCACCCGACCCACAACAGTCATGCCACCTTCGACACTATGACTCCCCCACACCGAGTCGCTGGAAAAATCAGCGCAACAGCTGGTTTGATACAGTAGAATACAGTGATACACGAGTACCAGGCACTCTAACGAGAGTACTTCACACGAAACTTTGCTACAGAGGTCCAGATGAGATCTACGTGAGAACAATCAAATGAGTTCGTAATGAAAAGAGGAAGAATTTGCTTGATACAATGCCAGTAATCTAGGAAGGCATGCGACTTCCACCGCCCTTGCACAGCAATGACATCCGGCGGCATGCCACGGAGCAGCAGTTCAGTTGCACCACCGATACGGAATGAATGTCCGGTCAAAGAACACAGACCAGCCGAGATTCAGATGGTGTTGCAATGATCAATGAACCAGGGCCGTGTCATAGGGGACCAGTTGCCATCGTTGGTTTCGAAGGCGAAGAATGGGGCAGATGATGGAATGGAAGTGTTTGCGGAAAGCTGATGATGAAGAGCAATAAGCAGGTTTGTTGGATCTGCAATGTCAGAAATTACGATGTCTGCGCCGTCCGCATGTGTAGTTTTCGTCCACGGTATATGTAGAGTAACTAGAGTTGCATAACGAGATCCACCAGGCAAAGAGCAAAAAGTGAGTTGCTATCCCCGAGAGACGTGTCACCTAGGATCGAATGAGGTGGCACTGAGTACGACGACCTCATCAAGACAACAGATGCTCTAAAAGGCTATGCATGTACACGCGTACACCGCCACATCGAAGGTGTTTAAAAGGTCTAAACCATTGCACAATGCATGCATGTGTTCAAGCGTAATACGTCGCTTGGAGTGATGAGAAGTTGCTGGCACAGACTTACTGATGGCTTTGCACGCTGTCTTCACTATGTCATCTCTGAGCCAAGGTGCTCCATTAATCGTATGCCAGAAATGAAGGCCTGCCAACCAGGTGTTGACAGTAGAACATGCAGTTCGGCCTTGCCACTTGACGAGGAAGGCTGCAAGAAGGTACTCAGGAGCGGGCATTCGAGTCGCAGAATTGGTTAAAACATAGTAGTCCCGCACTGTAGTTGGAGCGAGTTTTCTGTTTGACGGAAGACAATAAGCAGCTGAAAAGGGTGGACGAATGCTTGGGTGACAGAGACGATGCGAATCGAGATTGTTGCTTGATGCTATACGGAGTGCACCATAGAACGAGATGTTGTGCGGCAGGTACGTCGGGACAGAGTGGTGAAGAAGCAATGGAATATCCTGGTTTAGGCTTCTGGGCCTGTTTTGAAATTCGCAATGTCAAGGTACGTGGTTGAGGATTAGCCCGCCGAGTGGCTAGTTCACTGAACGAATCCTCACCTCGCATCATTGCACCTGCACATGCAGGTGCTGGGCACGAAGTCGTACTAGACATAAATCAGGAATGGTTGAAGCTCTGCTGAGAGCTCAAACGGTTTCGGAAGATGAGACAACTTGGCGTCTGGTACACTGCGAGAGACTGGGTCGGCCAAGTTGTCTTTGGTATTGACATAAGAGGGCAGAAATACTAGATTCAAGGCTATAGCTATGATGTCGACATGACGAATAGACTCATTGATATGCCAATTGCGACCATGGCCGCATTTGTATGTGTCGATAATGCCAGTATTGTCACTGCGAATGAGGATAACTGTGTCCTGGTAACTGAGGCCATCGACCACATGTACTGCGAACTCAAGCACGATCATTTCAGCTCACCCGATGTTATGCCCATCTCTCTTCTGGTCAGGGATCCAGCACCACGCTGCCTGGCTCGAGCCTATGATGAGGCCAATACCCCAGTCGGTAGACGCGTCGACCCAGATTCTGAGATCTTGGGTCTCACTCTGAGGGCGCAGTGATCGAGGTGGTGAAGGTGATGCCAGAATGGAAAGCCACCAATGCAGGTCTGACATGATGGAGTGTGGGGGGTACTGCATAGTGAAGCGGTTAGGGAAAGACGATATGAACATGCATAGGTTCAGTAGATAGGCCTGGCCATGCGGAAAAATGAAGGTAATGTGTGACAGTGTGCCGTTGATGCTCATGAAGTCATGCTGCATGACATGGCCGCATTCGGCACCTGCGACGAAGGACTGTAATTTTGTTAGATACTTGATACACTTTATTTCGGGAAGAGAGACGGAACGCTCAGGTAAGTCCCACAAAAAACTGAAGTAAACACGCATGAACTCATAATCACACAGCTTCTTCTCAGTATGCCACAGAACACCGAGAGAGGCGGTAATATGCAGGATGGTGTTTAAATCATATGGGTAGGAATAGGGCACCATAACCTCATTAACCCACCCGCCACTGGATGGAAAACAAAACGAGAAGAAGTCATTAACCCACTTCCCAGTGGGCTTAACACTCTCACAAGTGAGGATGTCTATGATGGCATCGGTGGGCTCGCCCTGCACACTGGTGGTGGAGGATATGCCAAAAGGCAAACAATGATCGATGTAGAATATGTCGTTGTGTCGCACGATGATGAAACGCTTGTGTGGTGGCCACACAGGAGATGCACGAAATGCTGCCTCAATGTCTACAGTCATGACCTGGGCACCATCTGGTGCAGTAGCGACCTACAAGGCACGATGAACAATGTCAGCACGGGCTGAATGAACAGCACGTGCATGACAGCGGCAAAGAAACAAGGCATATACATGCCTAACGACAGGTGTGCCATTGAATGAACCTCAGCAGATGACGACTGACAAGGGCAGTGCGGACGAGTGAATGGTGTGGAGACATGCTCTGAACGGACGCACAAAGCTCTGACAAAGAGCAAGCAAGCAAGCAGAACGCCACTCCAGACGATGATGTGGGGATGATACATAAATGAATGGAGTGCAGTATAGACAAATGGGGTGCAGTATAATGAACGGAACACACAGGGTGAATGAACATGGACATGTAGTGCGAACGGATGGAAAAGAACGTGAATAATGCATAGAAAGGAATCACTTACTATTTCTGCAATTTGGGTAGCTGTAGCCCAGCTAGTCTGAAACTTGTCTGAGTCAATTTAATCATTTATCGATATGCCAGTCTCGTCCTTGAAGGACAAGTTCCCCACAACACGAAACTTTTCCGGGGAGCTGGCCTTCTCGACGATGGCAAGTGGTGAGGAACGGAAACAAGCTCTGAGTTGGTACTCAATTTCAGCTTGTGAGAACGGTCCAGAGAAGCGACCAGCATCAAGTTCTTCCTGGATATATGCATCGATGGTGAGAGGATGTTGCAGTGTGTAGTTATGGTTATCTGGTGTGAAGGAGTGAAGTAGAGGAGCAAAATCACCAATGGGAAAATTGTAGCGGATCTTATGTAGTAGGAACAGGTATCGATCAAGAAGATTATGGCACTGCAGAATAGCCTCGAAGGTGTCGGCATCGTATGGTGTTACAATGCGATTAGGGATGCAAACAGGTTGAAAAGCCAGCATAATGCTCTTAAGAACCGCAGAAGGAGCAGTGATGAGGGGTACCTTTTGGGCAGCGACGGGAGCAGGTGCCGGTGAGGTTCCATATGATGCACAGTTCCTGGTGACTGGCATCAATGAGCAACCGCTTGTCGATGAAGATGCTGATGATCGGGCAGCCATCACGAGTAGTCGTTTGCGAGCATGCTGAAAGGACCCCCGCTAATCCCCAAGAGCCTCGATCCTGCTAGAGTTCGATATGGGGTGTCAAAAACAGTCCAAAGTGGGCTATTTTAAATCGAACCTCCTCCCAAAAGGGCATAATCTGGGGTCGATTTGGGATCAAACCTCCAAAAAATTGTAAACATCGTCAAAATCGTAAAAATCGTAACAAATCGTAACAAAGCATAAGAAATCATAAAACTCGTAAAACAATCATAGAAAAAATCTCGCTGTGTGACAAGTCAATTGGTAGTAGTGTTACTTAGTATGTAGTATAATATAAGTATATTATATAAGTATCTTCTACAGTTAGTTTAATATTATGGTTTCCCAGCAGGGTCGGCACCCATCATCAGAGGATGCAAGTGGGGTCAGGCAGGATCGAACCTGAGCCCGCAATGTTCTCATATAGGGTCTCTTTCGATCCAACATTTTTGACCGCAGGAGGTCAGATTTGGGGTATTGACATCGAACATTTCACACCGGAGACCGCCCCTTGGGGGGGTCTCGGGGATCTAGGCTCTTGGAGGATTAGCGGAGGTCCTATGCTGAAGCGCAGTGTCTGGTCCTCGCACATACAGTGACCTACAAAACTGTTGATAAGATTGCTCACTTCGACTTGTATAATGAGTATCTTCCCAACCAATGGGTCAACTACATTGTATAAGAACTCATTGGAAAGCGTATCATCATGGCTTTCTAACACAGTTTTGGTTATATTTTTATCACATTTTCATCCCAAGATATTTACTAATCTTTGAGGGTCACTCTTATCAACAGTTTTGTGGCACACACACAAGTTCTCAGAAAATTGTGATTCTTGATGTGTTGACAGGGTTCTTTGTGTGAATATTGATTGATGTTCATGTTTCAACATGAACAATGTACAAACAGCCATACACAACTCTTCACACTCAACCAACATCATGCCAAAAGCTGTTGCTACTGAAACTGTCAACCATGTCATCGCTTTGCTTCAGAATGGCAAATCTCTTCGAGAAATTGAAGCTTTGACTGGTCTACACTACTCTACCATCAGTAAACTACACTCCACACACTGTCCCACCATTTCTAAGGCCAAAGGAGGACAACCTTTCCTTCTTTCTACTGCCAATCTTTGCTATGCTACTCAACTTATTGGGACTGGCAAGGCTACCACATCTCCTGCTGTGGCCAGAGCTCTTGGAGATGTTACTGGGAGGGTCGTCAATGCAGAGACAGTGCGAAGAGGATTGAAGAAGGCAGGAATGAAGGCTGTAGTAAAGCGCAAAAGGCCTTTACTCACTGCAAGGCATCGAAAGGAGAGGATGGACTTCGCTTTGGCTCGCCAATATTGGACTGTGGAGGACTGAAGAAGGGTGGTATGGTCAGATGAGACAAAGATTAACAGGATGGGATTAGATGGAAGGAAATGGGTGTGGAAGAAGCCAGGGGAGAGCCTCAGTGATAGGTTGGTGGAAGGGATTCAGAAGTTTGGAGGTGGATCCTTGATGATGTGGGGCTGTATGGGCTGGGATGGTGTGGGGTATGCCTGCAAGATTGATGGCAGGATGGATGCAGACCTTTATGTCAGCATTCTGGAGGATGAGCTGCAGAATAGCCTGGAGAATTGGGGCAAAACTGTGGAGGATGTGGTGTTTCAGCAAGACAATGACCCCAAGCACACCAGCAAGAAGGCCAAGGATTGGTTCAAAGACCATGATTTCAACACTATGATATGGCCCTCTCAATCCCCAGATCTCAATCCCATAGAGCATCTGTGGGGTCATCTCAAAAGGAAGCTTGCAGAGTATCAGGAGCCACCAAACGAAATTACTGAGTTGTGGAAAAGGGTGGAGAAGGAATGGGAGGCTATTGGGAAGGAAGTGTGTCAGAATCTGATTGAAAGTATGCCAAGGAGGGTGCATGCAGTGGTGAAGGCAAAGGGAGGCTATACCAAGTACTGAAAGTACAAGTTTTGTAGAACCTGGATATGTGCCACAAAACTGTTGATAAGAGTAACCCTCGAAGATTAGTAAATATCTTGGGATCAAAATATGATAAAAATATGATTAAGACTGCATTGGAAAGCCATGATGATACGCTTTCCAATGAGTTCTTATACAATGTAGTTGACTCATTGGTTGAGGAGATATTCACTATACAAGTCGAAGTGAGCAATCTTATCAACAGTTTTGTGGGTCACTGTAAGAGGCAAAGCGACTCTGAGGACGTGAGTCATTTGCCCTCGCGAAAGGGCTTGGAGCGCTCGGGTGCACGTTTACCTCCGTTACGAGTGTGGCCTTCACTGCGAGGATATGGGCGGAACCTGTTAGAGGAGTCACACGTGCCATATGGCTCCGCACCGTAGCCCTCCCGCATCATCTCCACCTGGATCTTCTCCAGGCAGTTTTGGTACTTCGCATCCTCGGGAGAGAAGGTTGAAGGCTCGTTCATCCATGTTCGACGCACCTCACAGTCGAACCGAAGGATGGCCTTGTAAACCCTGTAAAAGTGCAGCAGAGATGTGATGTAGTCATAATGAGTCTGGAATAGCTCAATGATCTCCTTGTCCGCAAGCTTCCGATAGACTTTCAGCAGGTTCTTCCAAGCCTCGGTGAATAACCCTACAGGAAGGGACTCTTCCTCGGGCCATCTGGCGAGGTCGATGATATCTACGCGTGAGCCAGAATTCGTAGTCAACTTCCTCGTCCAGAGAGAAGTCGGATCCAAGTGCATTCTCCGAATAGCGTTCGAAGTAACCAGCGTCAAAGGGATGTGGATCTGCGCTGACGCGAGCTTAAGGACGGCCGGAGGAATCTCGAAACCTTGGTCCTTAAACATGGTTGGAGGAGCGCAGACACGCCACCGTAAAAAGCTTCTTTTCGGGTGTACCTGCCTGTTCAGAGGCATCGATGACCTCCTTGGCGGCTGTATGCGCCTCTTTAGGGCCTGTATGCGCCTCTTTGAGGCGTATATGCGCCTCTTTACTGGGTATATGCGTGTCCGTGAGCACCTGGAAGGCCTTCATAAACGCCGCCTTCGAGGACAGAGACATGCCGTGTATAGCCGTCGCAAGTGGGGTTGCATCGGCTAGTATGTCTGCAGGGTTCTTAAGAGTCTCCCCAGTCCCTTCATCGTCAGCGGGAATTTCGTTTCCGTCGAGATCAATGAATAACTCATCGTCCGAGACGGCCTCGTCGCCGCCATCGCGCCGGTCTAACCTAGCCGTGTAACGCGCGGCGCGCTCTTCGTTCTCGCGCTCGATAGCCACCGCTGAGGCACCTTGCCAGGAGCTACGCGAAGCTTCGCCGCGGCGGGCTAGCGCGTCGAGTTCTCTCACCATGTCTTGAGTGGACTTCCCAGAAATACCGAGAGGCTGAGGTCCTTTAGGCATGATGGCCGTGTAAGATGGATATGCAGAAATCGAGCTACGAGAAGAAGAATCTGCTACACAGCGTGGTAGCGAATGTCGTGGCGATGAGGAAGAGACGTAGCGGCGTATGTCAGGTGAGCGCGTCTCTTCTTCTCCCGCTTGTTTAGTAAGCAAGCGTTCGTCCCAGTGCTCGTTTCTCGCGCTGGGACTGAACTTCACGCTGCGAGTTGTCGCTTGCAGCAACGTCTTCGTTCCTCGCGCCTTCATTTCCGTCCTTGCACCCACACTCTTTTGACCCCGTCCCGTCCTAGCGATTCTCCTCTCATTTCAGGCGCATACACCTTTTAAATTTCTCTTGTCTCTGCTGTCGCCGGCGAGGTGGTCAGCCGCGTACACTCGTAGTATTCCCCCGTCGGGTTGTCATCCAGCCGACGACCTTCGCAGCTGTCGCATCACAAAAGGCCGTCTTTGGGTCTCTCAACGCAGTGAAGGGTATTTAGGTGGAACTTGGCAGCTCGAGTACGTTTAGCAGTGTTATTCATTGCAGTCATCTGTTCACCTCTTAACGACTTCAGACTCAGCACGATGCCGCTCTACAGCGTCAGCTCCCGCCTCGCACAAGCTTCACCAACCGTATCTGTCGAGAAAGGCGCATACCGTATGCGTGCGCCATACACGCACACGCACACGCACACGCGCAGCGCGTCCACGCTCCACCTCCCTCGCAAGGTGCGCTTCGCAACTCCCCCGCGCTCCGCCTACCGGAAACAGATGGCACTCCTCGTCGTCTTTCTCGTCTCTGCGGCCGTTTCATGCTTCGGCGTTGCATACTACTTGTTTTCGACGAGGTGGGATACTCGGGCTCTCCATTCGCTGCCTGGCGACCCGTCTGACGATCTTCCTTCTCTGCTGCTCCCGCAAGCCCTCGACTTCGGCTCTGACCTGCGCGATGCATGGCCTACTTCTGCTTCTTCGTATCCGTCTTTTACTTCTTCTGATGGACTAGTGCTGTCTGTGGATCCGGATGAGCGGTTCATGGCGTATTTGCCCCATAGTGGCTTTCATAATCAGCGCATCGCTTTCGAGAATGCTCTTGTACTGTCTCGCTTGCTCAATCGAACGCTCCTTGTCCCTCCTGTCCGTCTTGGCAATAGACCTCTCTACTATCTTCCGTTTGATGAGCTCCGTGAATATATTGCCAACTCGAGCAAACACGGTTTGCAGCACTGTCGTCATCTTCCTCCGGATCCTCTGGAAGTGCCGGAATGTGACGGTTACTTCGACTTCACCTACGTTCCTTGGAGTGGGCTGGTAGACCTCACGCAAATCAAGTCAGAACAAAGGCTCTTGCCGTGCTCGAACTTGACTGCTGCCTGGCTTGAGGAATGGCTGCACATCGGCGACAATGATACGTTTGCTCTGAAGGACTTGAGCAGGAACCAGTACCGCTTTCAGGACTTTACAACTGCCCCAGGGACCATGTCACTTAAATACCTCGAGTCCGTCCAGATTTCGTCCCTCGCAGCTCGTCCCGAACGCCTCCTCTTCCTAGGAACGCTCTTCGGCTCCTCGCGGTTACACCTGCGCGACCCTGCGAACTACCGCCTGCGCAAGCGCATCCGCGAGAACATGGCGTTCACGAACCCCCTCCTGACGCAGGCCGCCGAGTCCATCAGTGCCGCTCTCGGCGGGCAGTACCTTGGTGCGCATGTTCGCGTCGGCGACGGGCCCTTTCTGGAGAACGCGGGCGAGAACGTGCGGCTGATCTGGTGGCGGCTCGTGCATTCCATACTGGGCTTCAGCATGAGAGACACGCTTGCGTTGGAGAAGGGTTTATTATTCGATCAGAGCGATCCGGAAGATGCCTTGTTGATCCCGCCACGAATCCCGCTAGATTTTGCTGCGCTACGAGCTCCTCACCCCGATCTGCCTCCCTTGGACCGCATGCAGCCACCTGCGCTGATTTGTCCTCGTGAGTTGCATGCTGCTGCAGAACTCCAGCCGCTCAACACGCCGCTGTTCATCTCGACGGACGTCTCATCTCCAAGTACAGACCTACTTCTGCGGCGCTTCGTGGAGACGTTCCCGTGCATGTTCCTTCTCGGCGACTTTCCCTCGACTACGTCTGTCCTTGATGGCCTCGAGAACGCCGATGATGGCGTTAGACTCAGGCCGTTCTTTATGCCAGTCCTCGATGCGATGGTTGCGGCGAGAGCATGGCAAGTCGTGGGGACGGAACAGAGCACTTTCAGTGCGTTTGTTCAGGACGTTCTATGGAGAACGTACCACGGGTACGAGATCGTACAAAGAGGATGATAGCTTTCTGTAACCCACTATTACGATGCATCCCAGATATCCATTGTGTTTTATTAATCATTATACTACATGCGGTAGGATTACATTATCTACGTCTGGTTGAGACCGTGTTGACCCGTGAGCTGGTATCACACAAAGGTCCGTGAGTTTGCGCGCACTTGGGAGCATCGCGTCAACGTGTCACGAACGCCCCGCCGGTCAATGTTGATTTCGTTGTTCTTCAGCATAAACAACGTCAGGATCGCGACCGCGCACTTCGGGTAGCAGCAGGCTGATGACTATACAAAAAACCTGTGAGGAAGATGAGGGAGCATGGGTGACTGCCGGACATACCTGCTCCGAAAATACAGCATCCGAAGAAGACTGTGCGGAATGAGAAGGTCATGAGTATGATTATATGGATGAACGAATCATTACTCACTCCACAACACTGCGGGCGTGCCGATCTTATTCGTAAGGGTATTGAAGGCGAGGGCCGAGACGATCGCGCCAATTTTGCCACACGCAGCTGAAACCCCGTGAGCTCGCGCACGGAAACGGGTAGGGAAGACTTCCGCCGGATAGCACTGCATTGCAGTCAGGTCAATGAATCCTAGATCTTCGCGTCGAAAGGCCGAAACTTACGTATGTCGTGCTGTGGAAATTGAGGTCCCATCAGCATGACATCCGGGCATAGACATGAGGGCGGACGTACGCATTGGCTCCGAAATTAAAGAAGAACTGCACGCTCCTCGTTAACAGATGGTAGGGAACGAGCGAGATGGACGTACTTGAAGCAACGCGAACATCGCGACGAACGCCGGTGTGCTCAGAGTGTAGAACTTGCCCGCAAGAATGCCCACTTGACACAGCAATGAATATGGAATACCTGTACGCGTTGAAGCAAAGAGAGGCTTACGGAAGAGAGCGGCCAGCAGAAATCCTTGGATCTGGATCCACTTTCTTCCAAGCTTTTCAATCGTCAAGATGGTCACGTAGTAGCCTGAATTGATTGTCAAACTAATGCAGAAGTTGAGATCTGCGAGCAGACTCACCGGGCAAAAAACCAAGCCCAGTCACTATCACGTTGCCGATGCCGATTCTGAACAGGGTTTGCCACGGAGTACCGTCCTTGCCGGCGAAGCCCATCGACTCTAGGACGACGTTCTGGTTCAGGTTGATGCCGTAAAAGCTGTCAGTGTCGAATGCTAATCAGCGCGACGAGCGAACTGTGACACGAACAACTAACAACACTCACGCAATGTCCAAGAGGAACCAACACGCGCACGTGGCGAAGAGGATCTTCCCATGGCGCCATTCTCCAAAGTAGGTGAAGAACTCTGTGGCATTTGGTGAGAGTCGGATCGAGACGCGCATGAGCAACGAAAGCGCGTACCACCAACAGACGGCTTGTCAACGGTGTGAGGCTCCTCCTTAATATGATCCGAGGGCGGCGTGGGCGAATGGCATGTCAGAGTCGCCGCAGGCGAGGAGCCCGGGCTCTGCACGCTATGGGCTGCATTCGTCTCCTTCTTCAGCTCTTCGATGTCATCCGTGTCTGGTTCGGCGTTGGCTCGAGAAGCCTTAAAGCGCTTCGACTCTGGGAGAGTCAAGCGTTGGTACAATGTGCCAACGGCGGGAACGAGGGATAAGCCGACGAGGATTCGCCAAACTGCCGTGCGGCAACAAACCTATTAATAACAGTTTCGTCGAGCGACCGGAAATGAGCACTTACCTCCATCCACCTTGCTCGTCTCGCCCTTGTCCTCCATGACATGATGGTAACACGCGAGGACGATGAGCACCATGACGCTGCCGATCAGTGAACCCCATCCTTGGTTGGCGAAGATGTACGCCAGCATGGTGCCTCGCCGGCGGAGGTTCGAGCGATCGGTGGCGACCGAGGCAGACATGGGGTAGTCTCCTCCAATCCCGACGCCGAGGACGATTCGGAATATGGTGAGCCAAAGCAGCGATCCCGAAGGCGAGAGATCACCTGTGTTGAAGGTCAATTAATATTGACGTCCGCGCATCGCACTCGACAAGGGACAGCTTACCAGTTGGGTCCGATATGCAGAGGATGGTGGCAAAGATGATGAGCATGAGTTCTTTGCCGTCTGAGCCGCGAATGAGCACACTGCACATACAAGTGAGGTAGGAGACGGAGGACTCACAAACAGCCTTACGGCCGAAATAGTCCGCGCAGAACCCTAACAAATAGCGACGTCAGTTTTTGCTCATACATTTTCACTATAGCTTAGGTCTTTCCCGCCGGGCGACACCGGCCGCAGCAACAATGGGTGTGCGAGTATGACGGAATAGACTAGCGTTGAAAGAATGAACGCACCGAACCCAAATTGTCCAATAACACTGCCTATGTTCGCACTAGCTTTTAAGAATCCCTCCAAGCCAGCCGGGAGAGCGGCACCATCGTACAGACGATATTGCAGCATCGTGGCGACGGGCTAATTTAGCGGGAGGGGTTAAGCACAGCGTTTAGCAGAGGTGATAGGCGCGTACGAACATTGATAATGAAAAGATCGTAAGCTGGGAGAGTCGCGTCTTAGCAGTATTTCGGGTCGTGTGACTGCACATACGTACCATCAAGGAAGAATCCGACCTTGCACACGATGTCAGTAACGTCTATACAGGAGTTTGCAATGACAACACGTACTCCGGTGATGCCAAGGAGCTTGACCTCGCGATAGGTCAGCAGGAACGTTGGCCGACCATCGTCTTCACGCTCATAATCCTCGAGGCTGGACTTGCGACCGGCCGTGTCGGACATTTCCTGATGCACAGATGGTTTGAGCGATGACATGCGACGTTTAGAAAGTGGCGAATCCGACCGGGAGCAAATGGTCGTTTATGAAGGAAAGGCGGGCGGGGTTGAGAAGAGTGGTACTTACCGAGCAGCGGGACGCACGTTCGAAGGAGGATTGGCGGAGAACGCGAGACTCCAGCGCAGCCACCACACCGGCCGGTCCATATATTTCTTCGAAAATTTATCTGATTTACCCGTGCCGAGAACGCGCTTTAGTCACGTGACCGAAACCTCCCATATGTGGCGGTGGCCCGGCTGACGCGGCCACTGTGGTTAGGTTGTTCTGGTGTGCGTTGCTACTTTCTTTCTCTTTGTGAACATGTCTTGATGTAGCACCATCTCCTTGAACTGCTAAATTCCTGTTCGCCGGGAGCATGGCGTTGTCAACGTTCAAGAGGTGCGCATAACAAAGTCGGCGCTGGCCGGCCCAGATCCTATCCACTTTTACTCGTACTCTCTGCCCGCTTGTGGCTCGGGTATCGGCATTCGTAGCGCCTGGTTCTATTTGATGCTCCATCGACAATCTCCACTGCAAGCCACCCGTTGCTGTGTTTCGCAGGCACGTTCGTGGATGTCTTCAAGCATTGACAATTAGGGATGCATAAGATGCGCATTCTCTGTTACACTCGCTGCTCTTGCCACCTCTACGATGCTAATCATGGCTCCTTGTACGCGATCCGCTCATAAACCCGTCTGCTAGGACGTTGAGACATGTACCTCCTCATGCACGTTCATTTCCTTGCGTCACAGGGCGTCTGGAGCCACAGCGCTGTCGTAAAACGATGCATTCGTCATCGAACCGCTCGTCTCCACTGTCGTGTCTAGGATCTAGGACATCCGCAGTTTTCGTAGGATCCCTCCAGACATCTTCCAGACATTCGCGGTGGAACAAGATCGCCGATGGTGGCCCGAACTCCCTCACTTTGCTGTACCTTCTGACTAACCCATCGCAGACTTTGTGCATAGTCACATCTTAGCAAGTGCGGCATGCGGAGTCATAAGGATAGGCGATCAAAACATCACGCGTTTGGGCATATGGGCAGTTGATTCTGCTCAGGTATAAACTTTGACTTTTGCAGATCGACTCTCATCCCGTAGTCGTATAACGCCGTCGCCGCAACCAGCGTTCCTCATTCTTATCCTTTGTGGTCTCGATATGTACGTAAATCGACACCGTGTGCTGATTCTTCAATGTCGCGCATGTTTCTTTTGAAATGACTACACATGTTTAGCAGCTGCGGTTCTGCCCAATATATTCTTGCTGAATGTCAAGCTCTAGATGTGCTCGGGAAGACGTCAAGTGCAGCACCACCGATCCAGCATCATTGTAACTCTTTGTTCTTTGGCACTCTTCGATAGGGGGTTCCAATCCGACGTCGACTAGACAGGCAGCGTTCACAGACGATTCACTAGGCCACATTCCTCAGAAGAATGAATGCATTGGTTCACAATGTGAATTTATGGCTGCGCTCGACATTCGCAGGAGTCCTCGTTGGATGGACAACTTACGATCTAGCAGTATCCACTTTGCCTCTGTTCGTCAGCCACTGTTCGAAAGACAACCATAAAGGTCCTCTGACACCGTGCAAGTCATCGCGGGTGGGTTGTGTGGAAGGCGTGGTGATTTTTGTTTGTACGTAGGCAGATGCGGTTTCCTTGCAATCATGTAGTGTGGGGAGTAAGCAAACATGCTCATGCAGGCCAGCATTCAAGTCAATGGAGTATGTCTACGGACTCAACTTCTCAACGTTCGCCTCCTGTCATGAATACAGACATCAGCGGCTCAATCCTCCTGCGTGACCGCAACACGTGTATGTGCGTACTTTTGCTCGGCACATCCCTATCCTCAACGGTCTCATAGCACGACAAGCACGCATGGCTACTTTCATATTTACTCACGTTTGAATAGCTGAGTGAGACCTAGATGCCTACACAAAGTTCTGTTCTTCTGCAGAGCGTCGAAGCGCGATGTACTGCCAGTAGCCATCAGACACAAACACGGATCCAACCATGCTTCAAGACACGTTAAATGCACGCATTCAGTGAGAGCGCTTTATTTAAATGAACTTGCGGTCTTCGTGACCATATGGATTGCTGAGCATCTACCTTCAAGCCTGGTGCCTGAAGCTGAAGTCCTCTGCCCATGATGTCTAAAACGACCGGCACAGCGCAAGCATGCAAGGCTGCTCCCGCTCCGTGCCCGTCGGCTTTCGTCTTAACTGAGGCTTCGCAATCTCCGAGCTACCTTTTCACCGGCATCGGGAGAGACTCCGACGATCGTTCGCGCGTGAGTGCATATATTGTCGCGAAGTCCTGATAGACGCGGCGGACCGCTGGACCCGAAAATGATTGAAATGATGGACGAATACAACATGGGGATCTGCCACCGATGGCACGCCACGGAATTCTGCGCTCCAGGGGCTCGCTTGATTGAGCCAAGTGATAAGTGTGACCAATGGCGTGCTTCGACTCGTCCTACGGTGCGCAGTGTGTTAACATGCCGCCGTGCCAGGTCCGAAGCGTTGTTCGGTGTGCTCCCCGAGTATACCAAGACGAAGCGAGGTCAGAGTCTCATACATTCTTGGCGTCCAGTGGGAACCCATCGATCTTCGATGTCCATCCCCGCTGTTGTTGCTTGATTCGTCGCTGGCTCTCCGGAGCTGGTCTACTGAGCAATCTCATGATGAATTCAAGGCCATAGGGCCAGTATCTGCACGACGATTGGCGGAACGTTTGGACGTTCTTGTGCATGATGGCCATTTATGTACTTGACCTAGCATGAATACCTTCCCTGCAACCGCAACCGGGAGCGCTTCCGTGCTCTAGGCCAACTGTGCGCCTATGCTTATGCTTTAATGACCGTCAGCGGCTAGACTCTTGTTCCATGCCGCAGTTTATACGGTGTGCTAGAAGCACTCAGCGACCCAGCCTATCAAACCACGATGTGCCCGAGAAGCAACCAAGAACCAGCCTCGAGGATGTCAGACATCGCAGACATGCACCCCAATTTCTGCTCGTGCAATGATAAGCCTTGTTGCCTGTTTGTGATCAGTTGATCATATCACAAAGCCGCGCCGCGGCAACGAGATTCTTGCGTCCCTCAATTTCTCAATATGAAAACCTAGACAAGCTCCGTGTGGGCATACATTCCAAGTGCTCCCTTGACGGGAGCTTAATATTCGTCTCTCCCATGGCGATGAATTCTATTTCCTTGGCGTCCGGCATTGCATGCTAGGACTGAACTGCTCTAAGCTTTCAGACTCCTTGACTGATATGTGTATGTGACTTCAACATTGTGGCGGAAGAGCCTGATTGTTCTCGTGATGACTGAGTAGACAATATGGAAGAGGAACCAATGCAGTATATGTCTGGCAGCAAGGCTGGCGTTACGCATGTGATTGCTATCATAGCAAAACGTTGCATCAGAGTTCAAAATCTCGTATGCAAGTATTTGCCTGAAGGAGCGAGCTGGCTTTGAAGTCGACGAAGCTTTGATCAGCCGGGCACATCTCCTGTCCATGCGGCATCTTGGCAGTATAACCTGGAATCAGGCCCTAGTCCAAATCTCGTCTATCGCGAGGCCTGATTATTTCGTGCACATCGTGGTGTAACTCTACTGCCATCGTTTCCGCAGCACGTCGACGCTCACGTCGATAGAATGCAGATCATGGCGGAAATAGCGTGGTCGTCGGGACTCCAACTCTTGTCCATCTGGGTCGATTACCGAGGATGTCGGCCATGGGACGGTCTGTGCTGTTCCCGACGGCTCAATATTCCTCATGATGCACCTCTTGAAACAGCTACTAAGAGTCCTCGAGGTGTTTCATTCTACCTGCTGACGGCCACGAGTGCGTCGGACATAAGCGAGAGCATTCTGCCACGAGACACATCCAAAGACAAGATGAATTGAACGGGGAGGCGAGACAGAGCCTTTCGAGCCCGCAGCCCTTGATATGAACAGATCGGCAGCGCCCAGTGAGGAAAGCTTAAGAGATAGTGTCTGAAGAACAGAAGAAGCCCAAACGACGATCGCTGCGAATGGGAGGCCATTCAATTTAGCCTTGACAAAGCAGCACGCTGCGGCCAGGCTTTTCAAGATTTACACAGCATTCTCGCATTCAATCGGGCGGCTCGCTACTTCGCACCGGATCCGAAAGGTCGGACAGCACAGTTACTTCCGGGCAGGTTCCAGGTAACCGGGGCGTGTGTTGCATCGCAGGAAAAAACATTTGATATGTGTGTGTATCGGCGCGGAGGCAGTCTCGAGACGGAAACAGTAAAATAATCTTCTCTCGCCGTGGATCGCGATCGCTCAGAAAACAACATCGGCCTGGGCCTGCCTGGATCCATGATATGCCGACGAGACAGTAGGCGTGCATATGTGAGTAAGCATCACGACAGTCGAACACGTCTTGCATGCGAATTTAAGTCTTGCGGGACCATTTAGACAGACGGCCTGCCGCAAACGCGAGAATGTCCATCGAGGCAGCAGCCCTCCTATCGCAGATCGACAGCGCCTCATATGGCAGCTCATAGCACCGCCCAGATTCGTGAGATTGAGAAGACAGTATCGACGATCGCCACGAGCAGTCAGGCATTCAGATCATCCTTGATATAGCAGACCACAGTCGCCAGACTCAATCAGGACAGCCAGAGGGTTGACGGCATTTCGCCAGATCACCGAGGCCTGGGAGCGCGGTAGACTTCGACATGTCGGGTGGGTAAACTTTTGGTAAAAGAGTGCTCCCAAGCTGGTGTGCGTTTCGATCGAAATAGGACCCAGAAGTCTATTAAGCATGTCAGACGTGAGGTATACGCGCTGAACATGAGGGCTGTAGGATCGCCAAGCTGGTACGTCGCGACCGACGAAGGACAGATTCGCATGAGGCAGGAATAGGCCAGCTTCACACAGACTCTTCTTTGGGTCATCTGCATGAGCACGGCGGAGCGTCCTTTACGAAATGCGTACCGTCTTCTGAGAAGTTGGAGAGGCGTGAGTCCTTAAAGCCGCAAAGCCGCAGCACCAAAGGGCAGGATCGACACTACCAAAGGTAGACGTTCGAAGGCATCACGACCTTCGCCACCACCAATGAAGTGTACAGGGACTTTGATACGTCGAGACATCAAGGCCATTTCAGCTTGATATCGGATTAGAGAGCTGCGAAAGTCGGTACGTTCCAATGGGACCCCTGTGCACCAGGGCAGGCCTCATATCGAGAATCCGCAGCGGATATGTGAGCCTCGGTCTCGATTGAAATCCAAGGGAACGCATGCGATGAATGGTTATATGCGCTTCGTGCTGGCCTCATGACGATCAGCAGTGCTGGCCGAGGGTGATATTAAGGATGGCTTGCTATTCTTCAGGACACGCGGTATTTATAAAATCTGATACAGCAAGATATCAAGGCCACCTATCGCACCCGATCGTTGGTAACTTCGCCGCGGATCAGAGCTCAGAGACTTTCTGAATTCCAAGCGGGTCCCGAGTGGGTTCCGGTGTGCTGGGAGAGGCCTCATGTCGGGAGAAGTGACGTTCTAAGACGCATACACCGAGCTTCGGTCTGAATCAGAATCCGTCGGAATGCACAAATATGGTTCTTGTGGCCTCGCGATGACCAGCGGCGTCTCCGAGGTTAATCCTGGAGATAGCTGCGATATCGACACAGTTCAGACTGAGCGTGCATATATGCGGTCCTAGGATGGAGTCTGAAGCTTCGAGTCCAGAGGGCACCACGCAAGGATAGGAGACGATGAGATGACCGGAGGTTACCACCACCACACTGCATATATGACACCCGTGGACCGCCGTCCAAGGTTTGGGAATAGTAAAGTGCTAGATATCGGAGTGAGACCGGTGCGCAGTTGCGTTGAGGACGAATAGCCACACAAGAGTGGAGATTGCAATGCTCCATTTGCATAGTCATCAAGACGCGGAAGACGTCACGAACGATCGAGCGATTCGGTCTCTCAAGTGGCACCTCGGCTCTGGAACAGACAGACTCAGCAGCGGCGACCAGAGCCTCCTCGCGACTGGATGCCGGTGGGACCTCTGCGCCAGCATCGGTATCCACCGCTAGTCCAATACGCGAGTAGAGTTTGTGTTGGGTGTGCGCGGGCAGCCACGACGTCAGCGCGATCTGGGACAGCGGTTGGTGGAGATGCAGAAGCGCCCAGATGAGCCTGGTGATCGTGGGGGCTGGAGTCGGCATGCTCGAGCCCGGATATCGGAGGGCTCTGGTGGGCGACAATTGGAGGGAGAAAGCTGGAGAACAAGACGCGGAGGAGCGGAAGGTGGGTACGGGGCATGGAGATGGATAAACGGAGTAAGGATAGGCGTCGCGAAGGCCGACCACGGAGGACGTGCACTGCACTCGAATGGGGACCAAAGGGGTGCGGATGTGCATATTACCAACGACAGCAGGGTCGCTTACGTACACGATCTGGGCCAACGGTGGGCAGTGATAAGATTGCAAGATCGGCTTGATCAGGCAATTGGCGCCCAAATCGAGATCTGCTGGTTCCGGATATGGGGCGGCCCATCTCCATCACCCATCCGCTCCGCCCCCATCCCTCGCCGTCCTTTTCCTCCAGATCTATATAACCCCTCTCATGCTGCCCGTCTCCCCTCGTCTCCCTCCAGCGCACCTTAGCACATACCCACCAACACACTCCCCGTCTTCACCATGATCCGCTTCGACACCCTTCCGCCAGAGGTCATGCAGGCCATGTGCACCCCCATGCACCTCGTCATCCCTGCGTCCACCGCCGCCCACACCGGCGCCCTCTACATTGGCTCCTTCTCCGCTGTCCTCGACCAGGCAGTTCTCGACCAGGCCCACATCTCCGCCCTCGTCCAGGTCCTTGACGCGCCTTGGGTCCCCGAGTCCACCTCTTCCTCCAAGCCCCTCGAGTCCTTCCGCCTCGACATCCTCGACAGCTCATCGGTCGACATCCGGCCATACTTGGATGCGACAGTGCGGTGGATAGACGATCGGTTGCGTAGGGGAGTGAACGTGCTCGTGCACTGTCAGCAGGTGCGTGTATTGCGCCGTGTCTACCAGCTGCCTGCTAACTCTGGCGAACACAGGGCGTATCTCGCTCGGCCGCGATCGTCATCGCATACCTCATATACACGCAGAACATGACATACGACTCGGCCTTCAACTTTGTCAAGCGTAGGCGCGCCTGCATCAAGCCCAACTCTGGGTTCGTCAAGTACGTGTCTCGCTTATCCGTGTAGAGTTTGCATGTCTGACGTGTCGACGATCAGGGCATTACAGGAGTGGGAACAGAAGTGGAGGCGTGCCAACCCAGATAACCGTCCATCTATGCGTAGGGCCGCTACGACCCCGCGCTAGGCTATCGGGCGCGTCATGACCCGTCTCGTCTGCCTGTATATCGCTCCGCGTCGGGGAGGGTGGATGGTTGAGCATGCGTCTGGTGAGGAACGGCGTGAGTTGGCTATTGTCCTATTTTATTGCAATCCGTTTCCATCTTCCGCCTGTCGCATGCTGTTCTACTTCGGGCCCACACCAAAACTATAAAACCCAAGGTCAGAACACTGACAAAGACATTTCGTACACATACACTCCCTGCACATGTGTTGGGCCCGCTATATCATTAGTCTATCTGACGGATAATGGTCGTTTGCATTTCGTAGGGTACCTCGTCTTCATGCACGCATATATCTACGGCATTGATTGTCTGTTTTGTCGCAATATACTTGTATCTTTGTACTATCAGCAACGCACAGTGGGTCAGCTTTCTGGCTAACGTTCGCACGTTCCCAAGGCCTCATGAGTAGTACGATGGACTCAAAGCGACGATCCTACATACGAGGTGCCGCCGGATGCCTTCGTGGGTGTGAAAACATCTCTGCCCCGAACGCTGTCCAACCTCGGCGTGCCTGTACCTATCGTGAAGATTACTAAAGTCCGAGCGCCGTGCGCTTCGTCGCTCATGTCATGACCATCATATGATAGGCTATCTTGCACGCACACACGATGTACAGACGCGTTGAATTGCGCCCAACTTCTCGTCCAGGCTCTCAAGAAGTCGTACCTCACCGCGTCGGGCTTTTGCGCTCTCGGTCTGACCCGCGTCCCTCCCACCCTTGGAACCAGCGGTGGCACCCGTCCCCGTCCAGCATGCCAACTCGGGGCAGACATGCACACCCCGCCAGGTAGGCCCGCTTCGACACTTCGTCGTTCAATGAACCCTTGACCTTGTTCCCCATTCGTATCCGCGTTCTTGTGAAGCTCGTCCTTGCCCGCGGTCCCGCGGCTACCGCGAATGCTGCGCTGCACCAGTCCGGACACGATGCACGACGTTGATGAACCCGCGTTCAATCGAAACATCCCGCAAGTCTGCTCAGGTTGCTTGAGCTCGGTGTGTCGAAAGGTCTTCCGGGTGGTTCTCCGGGTGCCCCGACTTCAAGAAACTCCGAGTCGGGCTACAGCTCCACGCGTGCGTGCGCGATGCACCATTCGTAATCTAACCCAAATGAGCCCTGCATCTGTTTCTGCAGACATGTTCACCCCGCACCCCGCTTGCACAACTCTCGCCCTTTTTCATACATTGAGCCTCCTTCGCGGAGTACGCGCACCGGCAGGTTGGCGGCGCGCTCCGCTCATTATCCGCTACTATCCGCCGTCCGGGAGCACGGCGCATTTCCAGAAGGACAAGCATGCGTGGTCACTCTTCGGCGCGCACTGCGCTGACGTTGTGCAGAGGTGGTGGCGCGTGTCTCCGTCGTCGTAAATGCCGACGCATAGTTTGTCGTGTGCATAACATTTGCTGCAAAGCACGATCACGCCACCTAATCGTGCACATTGGACTTGGTGTCAACCTGCTTGAGCGATCGAGGATCCGCATCTTAAAGAGATACTCAGACTCAATACTCAATACTCAACGCCCAGCACCGCATCCGGGCCCGCGAACCAAATGCCTAGACTCCGTGCAATCGTTGTGGGAAATAGGAAGGAATCCGTAGCCTTCACGCTCGGATCTAGTATCCTTCGCTCAGGATAGGACACTGCGGCGTAGGACGATGAGGCTTCTATGCGCGCTGTGCCCCTCAAAAGTCAGCTGATAGCCGATCAGGGCCCGGGAGAGACGATGGACTGCTCATCAGTGGCCATGGAGATCCGTCCGATTGGGCCTTCCGTGGCGAAGGTCTGTTGCAATCAAACCGTGCGCGCATATATAGAGCGGAGTTGAGGTCCGAGGTGTGTCAACGAACATATGCCGTGTGAGCGTTGGCGAGACCACTGAAGCTGACAGGCGATTGTCTCCTTCCTGCTGTTCGGGACAGGTCGAGACCATTGCACTCGTCTCGGCCTAATGAGAAGGACAGATGTCTGGTTTTGCTTCGATACGTGTGAATGTGCGTAAAATCGTCACGTAAGTCTTCGAGCCGACATTGACACAGGCTGCTGAGTGCTGGATAGTCACGCCTCGACCATCCAACATCGGCTATCTGCCACCCAAGTCTACGAGTCTGCACACGATCTGACATACCGAAGTCGAAAAATCGAAGCCTACGTGAACGAATTCAGGATCCGCATCGCTCGCCTGTGCTTCGACTTGAGGTCCATCGCGGCGTCCATCGCGGCATTGTCCAGTAAAATCCGTACGGCGACTTTAAGCATCACTCCGTCAAGGTTCTAATCCTTGCGGTGATTATCTGTAGCGAACTGTGGCAAGCTTTGTCAGTGGAGAAACGTGCGTGCGTGTCTGCATCACCGTAAATCAATTGCACGGCGCCGTTTCGTGTATGCAATGCTACATCTGCATCTCGTTGGTTGTTGCATCCGAAGAGCTCTATCTCAAAGCATACAGACGGCACTGCTCAGCTTTATTACGCCGCCATTTCGACTAGGTCAGGCGCTGACTTCATGCATCAATGATTCTTCTTTGGACATCGGCCATCGCCTTGTGAAGCATCCATAGTTCACACTCGCTCTTACTTTCTTTGTCAAGTCCCGCTGCAACAGCTCAAGATCGGTGCCTCGAGGCGGCGCTCATCTACTGAATAGGAAACCGCTCTTCTGAGAATGTCAAACCAGGTACGCCGGCAGTTATCATAGTATATAATTGGACTTCAACTTGCTAAGGCGCATACATTCTGCTATTCTGCTCGGTGATGATGCAGGAAACTGATGCTTCTCTTATTATCACATATTACTGAATGTCGTGTCTTCCCCAGGGCACGTTCATTAGGCTTAAAGAAAAGCCTTTCGGACTGTCCCTTTGCATCAGGAAGAGACTAGAAAAGGAAGATGTTGACCACAGCGGTCAGCGCGCAATCATCGCCCTGCTCACTTAAGAATTTTCGTCAAAACTTGAGTATGTCTATGACCTGAATTGCTCGATTTGATCCCAAGGGTATGCGAGTACATTCTGGCTATATAATTGGACCACAGTGGAGCTAGCATCCCAGACTCTTCCAAAACTTGCGAGCTCGCTTTGACTATGGATAATAGCTCCACGACGAACAACATGTGTAATGGCAGCCAGAGCGGCTTCAAGCTCGGGGACTTCTCCATTGACGAGTACAGACCCATGAAGGTCATCGTGATCGGCGCAGGATACAGCGGCATCATCGCAGGGATTAGGTGCGCTCATCGCTTCTAGCTGTGGTTTGTGACGCTGAAATGCTTCGTATATGCGCTCCAGATTCCAACAGAGAATTCCTAACCTCGAACTGACTATATACGAGCAGAACGCAGGCGTGGGTGGAACCTGGTACTCCAATCGGTATCCGTGAGTGTGCACTGATAAAATCTCTGCTATACCGCTCATAAGCGCTAGTGGCGTGGCATGCGACATCCCGTCCCATTGCGTACGTTTGTTTATTTCTTTCTATGCTACGCTTACAATCTCCATATTCATCAGTATCAACTCACATTCGAACCGAAGGTCTGTCCATTCCAAATTCTCTTGTCACCACTTCTGCAGTGAAACATGCCCGTCTGACTCAATGATTCTCACGATTCGCGTATATAGACTGATTGGTCGAGCCTCTACGCTCCTGGCGCGGAGATCCGCACTCATCTCGAGTCTGTCGTCGAAAAGCACAAGCTCGTCCCCTACATCAAGCTGCAACACCGCGTCCTGCATGCGCGATACGAGGAGCTAACGGGAAAGTGGCATCTGCGGGTTAGACGTCCCATGGTCTGTCCTTTCCTCCGTTCCCTTGGAGCACTCCGCCTAACTACGCTGCGAACAGCTCTCGCAGTTCTAACAATGCGGATGACGAATATGAAGAGTTCACCGACACTGCTGACTTCCTCTTCACGGGCGTCGGCATGCTGAGCAGGTGGAAGTGGCCCGAAATCGACGGCTTGAACACGTTCGAAGGAAAACTCCTCCACACTGCTAACTTTGACGTCGGCGAGCGCACGTGGGAGAAAGCGGTTGAAGACTGGCAGTGGAGAACGAAGAAGGTCGGCGTCATCGGCTCGGTCAGTATTCACTTTTGCATAACGGCTGCTGTACTGGAAAATGCATGTTTGGCAGGGCTCGAGTGCGATTCAAACCGTTGCAGCGCTACAACCGCACGTCGGTAGGATGGTTCAGTTTGTGCGCGGTAAGACTTGGGTTTCGCCGCCGTTCACTCGACACAAGCTGGGAGAGCTCCTTCGGCATGACACGGGTGCTGAGAACTGTGGGTTATTTTTGTTCGTAGTTATGTTGGGTGTCACACTGACATCAAAGCAGTTGAATTCAGTCAGGACGACAAGGAGGCATTTAAGGACGAAGAGGAGTACAAGCAATTCCGGCATGAATTGGAATCTGCGCTTCAAGTATGCTCTGATGATTGTCATCTGCACGTACGGGATCAGTGATGTCCCGATTATCTAGTCCAACCACGGTCTCACTCTGCGAGGCAGCACGCAACAAACAACGGCACGTCAGGAATTCACGGAGAACATGAGGAAGAAGTTAGCAAAGAAACCGTGGATCATGGATCACTGTATGCATGTTTTCGGTTCTAGATGTCCTCTGGTAATGATCGCGGTGCGCTAGTGCTTCCTGATTTTGCGGTCTCATGCAGGCGATTGACACCTGGACCTGGTTACTTGGAGGCATTGTGTGAGGATAACGTACGCGATGACTCACCTCACGTCAGGCTTGACAGTGATCAACGTGTATGGTGTAGGTGGACTTTGTTCCGAAAGATATCCGGCGCATCACTCCGCGAGGCATCGAAACAGTTGACGGGAAACATACTGATCTCGACGTCATCATATGTGCAACCGGTGCGTCTTTCCCTCAACTGTCTTCCACAATTAAATGATTGTACGCTCTCTTCCACAGGCTTTGACATTTCTTTCCATCTCGATTTCTCCATCGCTGGCCGCGGTGGGCTGTCCATCCAAGAGAAATGGACCCCGCATCCCTCGACGTACCTCTCTATGTGTACAGACGGATTTCCAAACTGGTTCATGGCATTCGGCCCAAACTCGGTACTTGCTACCGGCTCGCTGCTCATATTGCTAGAGCGCCAGGTCGAATATGCAGTTGCAGCAATGAAGAAGATGCAGAGGGAGAGGCTGAAGAGTATCGAGGTAAAGAAGGAAGCAGTGAGGGATTTCGAAGAGTATTTGGAGGTGTGTTACCTTTTCACATGAATTGTAGGGAGTGGGATATTGATCTTGTCGCCATGTGAAGAACTATTTCCCAAAGGTGCGTATCAAGAAGAAAAGGTGCTATCAGACATCGCTAAGTCTACATTTGTGCATCTTCCAGACCGTTTTCAGCGAGAAATGCAGATCTTGGTACAAGATGGGTACAGAAGATGGACGGATTGTGGGCCTCTGGCCAGGTGGAGCACCTCCATTCCGCATTCAACAGTGGCTGATGTCTTTCAAGGCTCGTCATTGCATGGATTGCGCGTTCTCGAGCACCCGCGCTGGGAGGATTTCAAGTACGAATCTGCCGACGGCGTTCACAATCGATTCTACTGGCTCGGTGATGGGCAGACATACAATGAGAAAACTATGACAGGCGACCGTGAGCAGCTGGCCTTGGTTGTGTGTTTAATTATGAAGGTTAATGCGCTTGCATCAGGAGCATGGTACCTGAATGACAATGAAGTGGACATACCTCCCAGTGAGTGTCCCCGACATGTGTGTTGCCGACCTGTCGTTGATGTCTCTTACAGTTGCGGCAGATTAGCGTTTGAATTGCGCGCCGTGACGTGCAAGTAGCCGCTACTGTGGACCGTCAATATCATGCTTCGCGAATCCTCTTTTATTGAAAAGTGGACGGAATAATAACCATCGACGTCGAATTTGGTGTGTCGTCGCGTTCCCCGCACGACGCACAGTGCTTTTTTCGAATGTTTGCAATTGCAAAGTATAAATCAATAAATTACAGTGATTGAGATACAATGCCGTGAATATCTAAATGTACATCATTAGAACCACCTGAAGAGGTACGATCGAACGATGACAGACCCGCGGGCGATAGTATATACGCATCCAGCCACTCGCATCCAGTAGCATGATCCTCACTGGTATCCCGCACCATGAGGGACCAAGAACAGGGAGGCAGCTCACGCTCACATCACTCCTCGTTCTGCATACTTTCCAACAATGGTAGAAGTATACGCCGACGCTCATCACTCTGGGCGCGTGCATCAGTGAAGCCTACCGTCATGTGCACAAGAGTTGTGTGATGCACGCATACGGGCGAAAGAAGGAGGAGAGGACGGCACGAGGAAAGGGAGGAACTACGCCGCTCGCGACTCACCGAGACAATAAGGAGTCAACATGCACCTCTGGTCAAGTCTCCAATGTGTGAAGGACTGCGATCGCGCCATCAGCCGTAACCTCATGGCGGAGCAGAGAGAAGATGGTGGACTCACATCCGCCATCGTGACTGTTATTGCGATGCGATGTAGCACCCTAGACACTCACCCCTTCGCAAACGATGCTGTGCCGCATCACGAGGAATGTATCGAAGCTGAGCGCCAGCTGTTAAGCATGCCAGGGGCAACATTGATTCATTCACGCTGGTCGAATTCACACTGCGCTTCGCGGTGCCTAACGCAGTGCGCACCATACGTAGTCATCTGCCCTCAAGCGAGTCCGAGTCCAGGAATAGAAAGGCCACGTCGTGTCGTCGGCGTCGATCAGCGCATTTCAGCAGCTCGATGCCCTTGCTTCACGCCCATAAAAGTGAGCGGGTCAGGATGCTGTGCTGCGGGGATGTCTAAACGCATCCCGTTGAGTTCTATGGTCCCAACCTGTCAGCGCCACGCCATGGCACTACAGAGAGGCCGACAATGATGAAAGTGGATGAAGGAGACTTACTACATCGTAAGACCGTCTTCAGCCGTTCTGCTGCACATGCCGCCTTGGGCTTCCAGCTGTTTACACAGCCTTCTCACCCCGAATCGGTACAATAGACTGCGGGTGATAGAGGAACGACGACAAGCTGACGCGCCGTGGGTTCTTGACGAGTGTGGGAGAGGGGAGGGACACACACCGGAGTGATGGATCGAGCAGGGACGTAATGCTCACCGTCTGGAATGACGCCGACCTCAGGCTGCGGGCCTGCAGCACGTATCGTCCATACCCGTACAGGAGAGCGAAGCGCAGGAGCACCGCGCGCTGCCCAGAACGTGAGCGAGCACGGCATACGGATCGTTCGTCTTCGTCTGTGTCGTCGCACACGTTCATTTCACAGCCAGGGAGGCGCACTGCAGGCAGGACATGCACATTGAACGTTGTTCCTACAATGTAGAGCTAGGGGCACATATCACAGGCAATCATCACCACGCTCACTTGACCACGACAGCAATCGACCACACCGAGCACCTGCAAGAAAATCCTGCATCGTCTCCGCACAAGACTGGTTTCGTTATCGATGTCGAGTACATGGGTCCCACAGCGAGATCGTTCGTCCACACCACAGCTAGTACGCATCAGCAAGGTTGCTAGAACGCATGTAGATTGATGCACACCTGATAGGCATTGTATCGCGAAGACTGAAATCGATGGACGCAGTGAAAGACTTTATGGGAAGGCAGAAGGACGAGTCAGGAAATAGTGAGGAGCCGAGTCTGCGCGCTCTCACCCAACCCACACGTCGATAAGGTTCGGTCCTGCAGTCTCGAGGGAGCACAAGACAATATGCTGACAAGAACTTCACGTACTTGATCCGCATCAGCAGCGTTTCGAGGCTTGCCCCCGCGGTCACTTTCATCGGGAAGGTCTATCACCACCTGTTAGCGTGTCGCTGAGGAAGACTGCCTGTGCGTACGCAAGAGGCGAACGACTCGACTTTTCAGCTATCCGATCAGTCGAACGCCACAACGCATTCAATCCATCGCAAGCTCGGACTGGGTAGCATCAGTCCATGATGGACGGTCATAATGGACTGTTGCTACGCTGTGCCCGATGCCTGTGGGCGCGATGAGCGTGATGATGCACAGGGACTCATAGACATAGCTGGTCGCTGGGCGGATCACGCCACTTAGAGTGCGGTGGCCAGCGCGCGGCGTATTGTGCGCGTCGACTGTCACCTTCACTCGAGTGCTTCATTCGGGTCTATGGCTACAATTGGACATGCGCATGCCTTCATTAACGAGCTCGGTCCCCCTCTCCTCGTCTCCTCTCCAAACTATCTTCTGCTGTCTTGCCCAGCTCGGAACCGCGCAAATCGAGGTATATAGAGACAAAAAGGTGCCGTCTCCCGTTCCCTTGTACAATTACTTGGCGCCAGTTTACTCCACCCACGGCCGCATGCGTGTGCCTCTATCGGCCCCCCTCCCTCTCCATTGCCCACCACCACGAATTTCTCGCCGAGGTCAACATTTCAGCTTCGTGGCGCAAAGGCCAGCGCGCAGCTGCAAAGAGTCGGTCAGCGTGCTCCCTGCACCATCAACCTCGGAATCCCACTCAAGTACTGCTCGGACATCTCGCTCCCTCAAGACCTCACCTTTTTCCCGCGAGCTTTCCTGCTTCTGCCGCAGCAGCGATGTCTCGCTCCTCCTCCATGCACATTCGCTCCGCGCCACGAGCGATACCGAGAGCGCTCCCCAGGGGGTGCTTGTTGACGATCCCCGTTCCTCACGCACACGCCTCGTCACAGAAAGCGCGCTTTGCTCTCCCTGTGCCTTGAACAGATCCAGAAGCACAACGTTTTGCACGTTTGGCAGATTCTCCGTTCTATATAGCGACTATCCACCTGTGGTGGGTCTTTATCACCGTCTGCCGTCTCCGTTCAAATCCATCCCGACTAGCAGTGCTGACGACGGTTTCCACAGTATCTAATGGCGGCACAACGCCGTCGCCATCGTCGCCCTCCACTCGCACCGCATCGAATCTTCACACGTACGTCGGTTTCGTGAAGCAACACCCCCAGACTCACACATTCAAAGGCCTTGCAACCTCGAGCTTAGTCTCTCACACGCTGACTGGGGTATGGATATGCTTCTCAGAGTGTAATTAATGAGCAGCTCATGTCTGCTGTCGGCTCGTTTGATATTTATTCTAGCTGTAGGTCAAGAACGCTGAGTGGCAGACGCCACCTGCAGTGAGCCATCTGAAGCTCGCGAATACACGTGCCCCTCACGCTGACCCACACACAATCATCGTGTTTCAGGCTTTTACGGTACCTATCACACTCCTTCCTCACGAGCATCCTCCGGGCTTGTGAGGAAGCTCCGTTGTCATCATCGACGAACGCGAATCGCATACTCCGGTGGCGATCGGTGCCGGTGAAGCTCCGAGCGCCTGACAAGACGACTGCTTACACTGAAAAAACGTCGCGAGCGCTAACCTTCAACAACTGGCACGTTTTCTCGTCTATGTCATTCGCCCTGAGCTTTGTTTAACATACAACTCAGACACTCCTAATCTTGCAGACAGACATGGGATCTGGCCGCAAATGCAACTTCATAGTATGTGCCACAGGTCTAGCATTTACCGTCTAATGCGATCGATTGATCAAGTTAGACGATTGTTGTTTTTCAATGACGTCGCGGTATTTATTCCCGAGTGTGTCGAGGGGTAGAGGCGCGCCGCGTGTGCTCACATTGGAACTGAGGAAGCGCAGCCTGACAACAGTCCAGGATGACTGACCGTCCTTGACTGTTGCTATGCGATGCCTCCTTGTCCCGTTGAGATGGCTGCTGAAGTGCCTTGCTCTGACTATCATGATTCACATGAACACATTGGCATGAAACGAACGTGATATCGTCGAATCTATCAAATGCTCTGCGCCCCAACGATGCACTTCCAATGGCTATCGCACATCTTCGTACGTGCTTCACGAATCACCATTCCAGTCTGACAGCATACCTAGCGCAAAATGCAGCGCAACGATCCGATGTCACGGCACTTTCCGGCGGCTGTAGCTCGCTGAATCATCATACTGGTGAGACGACAGCCCCATATATCTCCGGGTTATTGGAAGCACTAGCACCTTTAGTCTGTTTTAATTAGGAGATCGCTCAGCACATAAATACAGATGGCAGCTAGCAGGGAATTATCGTGCCTTAGGCGTCAGCTTACTGTCGCATCTGTCATTAGCGGGCGAATCGCAAAGATGGTGTGGTGCGTAACCTGCACCCGCCTCAGATATAATACTGTGCTCCCCGCCCATCAAATACCCTCAGTCGCTACACCGCCATACTGTTAAAGTGAGGTGACCTGGTTCCAAAGACAACATACTGTGCTCATGCATTCTATGTAGGCTGCAGGATTACAGGTGAACAGGTTCTTTGCCATACCAACGCAGGGCTGATGCTCAAAGAGTACAGGTGACACAGAGGCTACACTTCGGAAACCGCTGCCATGCAGGAGATGTCAACTATACTGCATATCCCTGACACGATGTCTGCGTGGCCGTGGCCTCGTCAGATCAATCAACATTACGAGGAAGTCAAAGCGGCTTCCGACTTGTGGATTCAGAGCTTCAACGTGTGCAAGCCCTCGTCTCAGCGTGCTTTCGAAAGATGTGACCTTGGTAAGGCAGTCACTCGATATGCAATATCTGCCTTTTGACCGGAATGACTGACAGGCCTTCTCGCGGCGCTTATGTACCCATCGCTCAATAAAGGTAAGCAAGGTTGAGGTACGCCTCGGACACTCACATGATCGTTCTGCGAATTCTAGCCCATCTCCGAGTTGGATGTGATTTGATGAACATAGTCTTCGTGATTGATGACTACACTGATGTCCAAGACGCGACAGTATGCGACAAGGTTGCTGACGTGGTGAAGCACGCACTGCACAATGTGTGCGAACCGAGACCAGACGGAGAGATGATCATCGGTGAGATAGCAAGACAGTAAGCTAAGAAGTTGATGAATCATTATGGCGTCTATTGAATATAATCGATGGGCAGGTTTTGGCAACCTGCGGCCAAACTATCTAGACCTGGGGCCCAACGTCGCTTCCTGAAATACATGTCGGAGTATCTCGACAGTATGGCCGTTCAGGCTGCAGATCGGATTTACCATACCATTGATACAATCGACGTCTATATGAAGCTTCGACGCAAGACTGCCGGGGTGCCCCCGTCATTCTTCCCGATAGAGCTGGAGCTCAAGGTCGATATTACGAATGACGTCTTCTATCATCCGGTCGTAGCGAAGCTTTCGTCTTGTGCCGCTGATCTGATAATCCTTGACAATGTGAGCACTCTCCATTTTTCGATTCCTGCGAAAATCCTGAATGCGTCACGTACTGCCCAGGATATTGCCTCTTACAATAAGGAGCAGTCGGCTGGCGACCGCCACAATATCATCGCTGTTGCGATGCGGCAGTTCAGCGTGGACTACGACGGCGCGATATCCTGGGTCGAAAAATACCACAAGCAGATTGAAGCCTCGTTCTTGGACGCATTGACGAGGCTTCCGTCTTGGGGGCCAGAAATTGACGATGAACTCGGGAAATATATCATCGGGATGGCTACTTGGGCGAGAGGGAACGTTTGCTGGAGTTTTGAAGGGGGACGGTACTTTGGAGACAAGGGGCTTGAGGTTCAGAGAACGCATTACGTTCCGTTGCTTCGTAAGATCGAGCGGGGTGCCAGCGCAGGCAACGAGGCTCACGATGATGACATCGTCACTCCGCTCATAGAGATGTAGTAGAGCGTTGATACTACCTCAGACTTTCTCAACACGAGTCGCCCGTGAAGCAGTATCGATGTTCACCTGCCAGATAGCTATCGAAATCGGAGTCGTGCACTAATCGCGTCCTTGTCTATGCTGTCACAGAGAGGCGGGGTCCGCACAGGGCAAACAATATGAACAAAAATGCGACAAAGAATGTTGCATCGAGTGCATTATCATGATTCATGGCTGCTTGTGACCGCCGCGCTAGTAGCGCTCAAGCTCCGCAAGCTTGACGCCACGTGTCCTCTTTCTTCCGACGACGATTCGCTTCGGACACTACAAACGTATGCAAAATAGATATGCACTGTGCATGAGGCTGCCCTCTATTTTGTGCTGCAGGGCTCAGATCCGCCATCTGATACGATGATCGATGTAGCTGGCTGAATACGCAGAATGTACACGGGCGCGGACTCGCGATAGCTCGCGATGTCGCAGTATTTACGTCTCTCTTCAAGGTCCCTTCAGCGTTCCCAATCTGATGTCCGGTTGGCGTCAGGATTTGTGGACGGAGGAACATGCTGGTACTATGCATTCAAAGCCGAACGGCGGTCATCATGCATTATCAAGTCCCGGTACGTCACAGTGCAAATGCATACGAAGGCGTGAACTACACTAAACCGCGACAGTGCATCGGAAAGTCGGCCGGTCTCGCAGCTTTCGCTTGCTGAGCGCCAACGCCCCATCGTCCTTGGCATATTGGACAGTGTCTGCAGCGCCGCTCGTGTGGAGCGATCTAGTCAGCATGCAATATATAAACGGTATGCTGCAGTAGAATCTCGTCGCGCATCTCCTCCTTGTTCCTCCTCCTCGGTTTTCATCCCCTCAGGGTACGCGGATCTCTCGCGGCGACAGGATGCCTGTCCGGCACAACAGTCGGTGACATGTCGTCGAGCTCATAATCCTCATGCTCGTATCTGCAACGGTGAGATGGCCTCATACATGCGTTGACTCCGACTCCAGACAGCAGGCGCGGCATAGCAGCCACAAATGATCGTCGCTTTTTAATGACATCGCGCGGCATTTACTCCCGAGCGTGTCGAACGGGCAGAGGCATGTGTTCATATTGGAACTGGGGAGGCGCAGCGTGACAACAGTCTAGGATGACGGTCCGTCCTTGATTGCTGCTACGCGATGCCTCCTTGTCCCCTTGTTCCCTTTGAGATGACTGCTGAAGTGCTTGCGCATGTGGTCCAGGTACAATGATCATCGGCGATGTCATTACATCATTTTTAACGTAGGACATTTTGTCGCGCACGGTTCCTTTACAGGCGGCACGGTCTTGTGAGTGCTCTGTCGAGCGTTTATGAAATGTGCTCGTGCTCGTGCACTTCATCGAATCTCGTCCAATTTGCTGTGCGTAGTGATATCAGTTGAATGTCGTTGATAACGATATCGTGTAAAGTTGTCTCTCGAGCGCTACGCCAATACGAATCGTTAGAATGAGCCAAGTGCTATCCACTGCACCTGGCATCTTCCACTCAGCGTTCTTCACCTATACCTAGAATAGGTGTCAAGCAAGCTGACAGCAGACATATGCTGTCCGTAAATCGTTCTCTGATTGCATCAGATGGCGAATCTTAGCCCTGCAGCACAAATTAGTAAATGGTGTTGAAATACGGACAGGCTCACGCACAGTTCATGTCTATTTTGCAAACCTTTGAGTATCCGAATCGTATATTGCGCGAATCGTCGTCGGAAGAAACAGGACACGGGCATCGAGCTGGTAAGGACAGCGGGGATAAGGAATGAGCTTGTGACACCTGACTCTGACTAATTTTAGAAGATAAACAGTAAAACAGCGCGGAAATGACCTCTTATTGAAGAGCCTTTGTGTGCCACATTACCGGACCCAGTATTATTGGCGACGATGGGTACTGCATAAAATTCTCAGGATCTTGTGCCTCTAACGGTCTTAGATATATGATGTGGTTTTGATTGTTCGAGGAATATTAGGTGTTTGGTGTCGGTACGAATGAATAGCTAAGCAAAGCATGAGTGGGACCATAAGGATTCAGCAATACATCTGAAATTACTTACGGATCATAACTTACATACTCTCAGGTGCTGCCTCTTGACAAAACGAGACAAGATGACGATATATGGAAGCCACGTCCGGAAACGAAATTTGTAGTCCGCTACATCGGCCCTGCACCTGAACCAGCCGCTGTATCTCACTTGTGACTGTAGGAATGGTTAGAATGGCATGCGCTAACTCAAAGAATGATTAATGAGAAGCTAATGCCTGCTATCAGATCGCTCCGTACTATTCTAGGTCTAGATGAAAACGCTGAGCGGACGGCGCAACCTAGATAACATTTAGCTCATCATATTGGCATGGAACTCGATTGTAAGGTTCACCTGATATCTTTAGCAGTGATATCAACTGAGACTACCATATGCAACAGTAAATGGACTAGATTCGACAAGGCAGACGAGCATAAACGCATTTCATAAACATTCCACCGAGCTAATAGAAGAGCATTCACCGGCTCTACGACACTGCGCTGCGCCCACTTCAAGGAAACGTGCGCAACAACGCAACACGATAAAGAAGGTATAACGGCATCGCAGATGATAGCAGCGTACCTGAACCGCGTGCACGAGCACTTCAGCAGCCATCTCAAGGTGGCATCGCATAGCAACAGTCAAGGACGCTCCGTCATCCTGGACTGTTGTTAGGCTGCGCCTCCCCAGTTCCAGTGTGAGCACACACCTCTACCCGCTCGACACTCTCGGGAGTAAATACCGCGCGACATCATTGAAAAACAACAATCGTCTAACGTGATAAATCGACCGCATTAGACGGTAGATTTTAGTCCTGCGGCACATAAAGTGGTATTTGCGGCCAGATCTAAGCCCTATCCATCTCTGTCTGTAAATTATGATGTCTGAGTTGTATGTTGAACAGAGTTCAGGGCAAATGGTCGTCATACATAGACGGAGAAGACGTGCGTCAAGCTCGCGTGGTCACGATGATGACAACACGGATGCTCGTGAGGGAAGGAGTGTGACAGGTAAGGCCTGGAACACGACGACTGTGTGTGGGTCAGCGTGAGGTAAATATGTGTTTGCACCGACGCGAGCTTAAGAATGACCGGGGATTTCAAGGCCGTGATCCCTGAACATGTCAGAATAACACTCGCGTGCCTTAGAATAGAGAGTTAGTCCTCGGACGGCTCGCGGTTGCTGATGTGTTGTCTCCGTCTTTGGTGGGTGTCTGCGCTTGCAGGGGCGCATACGCCCACTAAAGACGGAGACATGACGCGGATAGCCCCCGAAAGTTAGGCGGTGCTAGTCAAAGTGGCAGCAGGAGTCCCGGGAGTGTTCTCGGGTAGCTCAATGCCAGCAGAAAGCTCGTTGCCCTCAAGATCGAGTAAGTACTCATCTTCCAAAACAGCTTCGTCGCCGAGATCGCGTCTGCTCGTCCTGGCCGCGTTGCGTGCAGCGCGCTTCTCGTTTTCGAGCTCGATGGCCTCACCTGGAGCGTCAGGCCAAGGGTCCCGCGAGGTTTCGCCGACGTCGTCGAGCGCCTCCAAGCACCTCGTCAGACGTTGGGTGGACTTTCCTCCGGCGACCTGGGACCTCGCTCCTTAAATCACGTCGTTTTTAGACAGGTTACGAGTGTGATGAAACAAGATATGTTCGGAGACGGCGGAAAACGGCTCAAAGACGGTGAGGGCGAGCGTGTGGCGAGGAGAAGAGACGCGGTGGCTGCGTAAGTCAGGTGAGCGCGTGTCCGCCTGCTTAGTAAGCAAGCGCCTAAGGTCGCAATGCGGCTTCAGTCGGACCCAGCTGTGCCAGCATGACACATGAGGCCAGTACCATGGGCAGTTACATCTGCATATAACACCCGGCTCTGCCATGGCTATGCTTCAATTTTGAAGCTACTGTGACGACGTTGGTTTTGAAGTTTGTTACAGTCAAGTTCTACCATTGACATTTCCAGAGACTGTCTGAGAGCCTAAAATGGCTTCAGCGATCAACACTCTCGAGGACTTCTACTAAAAGGTGAGTGAATATTTGTTGGCATGTTACGCAGTCATGGACTCGATGTATCGATGCAAGGATCTCCGTTGACATTCGTGTGCGTTTTGTTTGCTTTCCATAAACTTTACCTCTCTGTGACATTCAATATCGACCACATTTCGGATTCAGGCCTGATGCATTTTGTGGAGGCGGAACGCATGGACGAGCGTTCGCATCTCTTTGATGCCTCGTTATTGAGTCCAACGACCCTTTTACAGGGTCCCTGGCCTTCAGCGGCCTTTCTGGATAGTGTCAGGCATCCTAGCCTCTTTCCTGGATGCTGAATCATCCCGGTTATTCCAGCGCCGTGCTCAGGGCATGAGTCTAGGTGACCCAAATCCCTCATACCATTATCTGATTTGAAATGTTACTGATCATCTCTCACAAGACGAATGCGCTCCAAAAGCCAGACACGCACACGTACGTCATCTCCTGCTGCGAATTTGCAGTACTGACCTTCTTAAACTCCGCCGGCTTCAAGGAGATTCGTCTCGTTTGACTCTAACAAGGAACAGAGCCTTACCAAGTATGCATCGCTCACTACCGCTTTCCTTCACTCTTATGACCTCGCTAGACAACAAAGACCATCATGTACCGCCACAGGTGTCCCCGTCTGTGTGTGAGCGTGGCTTTGATCATTCTCAGAAATGTTCGGTCCAGGCCCGTCGATGAGAAGGCATGGACATCGGAGTTGGACGAGTTCAGAAGTATCGGATGATGATGCTATGTCCGACACAGAAGAATCAGCTGTATGCATCATGATTCCACTGACTCCATCCAGATGTTCTCTACAGGCCACGCGGAAGGTGCCAGTTCGGAACCATTGTTGCGATCATCGGTCGTTCGCTTGATGCACGCATCTCAATGGGACTACCAAGGCTTGTGTGAAGTCCGATGTTACGCCCAGGTTTGTCCATATATACGCGCGTCTCACCCGAGCTCTGATGTATGCTCAGCTGCTATAACAACCCGCACAGCTGGGTCTGCGGCCATGCAGACGTTTGCTTAAGGCACGTTACCAGGTATTTCGGCCGTTACCACTCCGCCATGGGTAGCGTCGCTCGAATATCCTGATCCAAATGAGCATGGGAACGCCAACGGAGGATATTTGGGCGAATTACACCTCAAAGCAAAGGCAACGTTGTCATGGGTCGCTTCCCGATCATATGGGGCTCCTTCGACGAAAACGTTTCCGTCATGAACCGCCGACTCTAGAATTGGATCACGTAAAGAGATCGCCTGATCGAACGACCGGATTCTATGAACTCCAGGAATTCGAAATAAAGGCTTGCTGCAGCGAGTCAACGGCAGCATCTGTGACGTGAAGTGCTCAAGTGCTCAAGCTGTGTCTTCTTTCACGGCCCCGTGGTCGTCATTACTCCTCTTGGAGAAGCCGTCGGCTGAACTTCTCAACTGTCCATATGGCTACGCTCCGAACTTCCCTCACTGTAATGAAATTGCCGCAACGAACGTTGCTGGCACTTTTCATGCTAGCATCTCGGCCAGGCACTCCTACAGGGTCGACTCGATGCTTCATTCCACATGATGCAAGGGCATTTCGCTGAAATGACCACCGGACAAATAATGTGACATGGACATCCCTCTCGTTTCTCCGTTGGAGATGCGAGTCCGATACAAAAGGACCAGGTGCGCTCTCCACTGCACCAGTCTACAGCATCCCTCACGCAGTACACCACTCGATGAAGTCCACGTACAGCCTCGCCGTTCTTGTCCTCGCTTCCATCGTTCCCAACGTAGCATCGGCCAAACATGCCCCGCTTCGCCGCACGGAGCCCGCGAACTCGAACGGATACTATCAGCAACCATCTGACAACTCGTCGTTTACTGAATACTCTGGATGCAGCACTCCGGGTATGCGTTCTCCTCGGCTGGATCTGTGAAGTAGCCCATTAAATGTCACTTTTCAGCATGCGGAGAGACGGCGACTGGATATACCGCAGCCATGAACCAGCTTTCGTTCGGTGCGCCGTCAGGCGACGGTGAGGGTGATGCCTGCGGTCGCTGCTTCCGTCTCACTGGGACTGTGGACCCATACAGCCCGGACTACTCTGGACCGTACGTATCGTCCTTCAAGAGTCCGTTCCATTCAAGTAATTTTTCTTGCACAGGTTCTACTCCATCGTGGTCAAAGTGACTGGTAAGTATAGAGCCTCTCGGAACGATGCCAGCTTATCTATTCGTATTAAACGCGTCAGATCTCTGCCCCGTGGAGGGAAATGCAGTTTGGTGTGGACAAACGACGGAGGATGGAACCAACGAGTTCGACATGCCGGTGCAGTACGTCATACATATACTGCTGGCTTCACATTTTAAGCAGGGGCTCACGCGTGGATCTCACCTCTAGCTTTGACATCTGTGAGGACACAGGAGGAGCTGGCGCGTTCTTCCCGTCGGGTATGTCGTTCCTTCAGTTGGGCTTTGACCATCACTGACGATGCATGATCCCGACGCAGGTCACACTGCGCTCACGGGATACTATGAGGAAGTCGACTGCAGCGAGTGGTCCGGCTCGGACGGGAGCTCGCTCTGGACGGGTTCTTGCCTCAGCGGCGAGTCGGCAGCGTTCTGGCCTGACGGCACTGGCTGCGGTAACCAAGGTACGTAATCTTAAGCTGGTCTACACGTACATGTCTCTCATCCACCTGACGTGCGCCAGGCACTGCGCCGTCGTAAGCAGGCCGGCGAAGCTGTTGTATGAATGTCCGGGTTCATGTCCCACTCTGGTCCTGTCTATCGCAGTTTCGGCGCTTGTATCTCGTGTGCTGTCTATCGTCACGACCTCTGCTCAATTCTGCGTCGTTGGTTCTTCAAAGCTTTATAGTTAGTCAGTTCGGTAGGCTTTGATTGTTTCCATAGATAGCGCACTTGGGTCGAACACATCATTGCTATAATAATGAATGCCTGGTGTATGAAATCACAATGTACATCTGCAAATATAAAAACTGAAAAACACGAGTGGCAATCCAAATGACAGAACTAATAATATTAAGAGCCTCTCCATGGGAACGAAGATAGTAGATATTCTCAAGTTTGAGAAATCGTATCCACTCACTGATTGAGATGTGGCACGTGCTCAGTGGCGCGAGAAGGGATGCACACATCATTTAAAGTTGGTTTTTATGCTCGCTCTGTACACGATGGTCCTTATGTCTCGAGTGATCAGCTCGAGAGGCCACGCACTCATGGCATGCGCACAGAATTTAAGCCTAAAATGAATCCGAGAGCGGATGTGGTTCAGGTAGACGGTCTGTAGCGGTACAGTGTAGTTCTGTCGAAGTCAATTCGTATCAAAACCCATTCATACTAATGTAACAGAAGCATGAACTCTACTTACTTGTGAGCACGCCTAAGTGCAGATACATAAACACATTCGCGAGGCAGCTGCGCGTCGAGTGGCCCTGGGGGCATGATAAGCGCTCGTGTCACTCGTTTAGACGCCGGTGTGGCTGAGGACGCGACGCGGCCAGAGACGCGTCTTCTACGCGTCTTGAAAGGATTATTTCACGAATATTCCGTGTAGGTCAATTAGGAATTTGATTTGTTGGGGTAAGGACGCTGAACGCGAGACGAAAGGACGAAATAATGATGCTGATCGTTGATCCTCGCCAAGCGCGTAGATCGCTGTAAGATCCATATCCAAAGTCCAGCTGGCGCTAAGCGATTTTTGGAGAGTTTTGTGGATTTTCGCGTGTGTTCGCGCTCTTTTCGTCTGCTTTTTTGTCCCTCCTCTTTGGCTTCTAGATGAGATTGATGTGCCTTGTCCATCTTGTTCGTCTTGTTCGTTGAACGATGCCTTTCGCAGAGGCGTGATCTCAGGCCCACGCAGCGCGAACCTCGTGACACGTCTCCCTGCACCCCTGAAAGCGCCCTCCGGACAAGCGCTGCTCGAAGTTGGTTCCGAATAACCAAGTAATTGCTCCCACCTGTCGCTCGATACTCCTTGCGGTCCCTCACAGATTATCTACGTGACCTCGAATCGCGCTATGTCTTTGAATGTAACCTCTGAATCTGCTCTTGCCTGGTACGCTGTGTCACAGCGTGCATACGCTGCCGTTACGGAACAGCGCATCAAACATTGCTTTGCCAGAAAATGAACGCGATAGGCACTTGTAAGCCCTCCGCGGCCTATTATGGTCGCACTCAGTGTATCGCGGCGGGAATCCGGCTCTAAAATTCCTCCTGACGGCTTGGTGGAGGAAAGCTACATCTGGCATCGAGTGACACAAACACCCGAGGCTGCACTGGAGCTCAGAACGCCATTGACATGGCATCAGGTAAGTGTCTCGCTCTAAGAAGCTGGAAGACATGGATGAGAAGGCGAGGGAAGGATCCATGGCGGAGGGGGGAAGCGAGGATGGGTGCAGAGGCGAAAGTGGCGGACCGTGGACGGCTCCAGTTCCTGCAGGGTTGAGTTGAGCGGAGCACGCGGGAACCTGAGAATAGGATGCGGAGGGATAAATGACAGCTCAATCAAAGGTGCGCTTCATTGTAAAGAGTGCCGGGCACGCACCGTCTCGCTTGGATGCCTTGTAACGTCACTTGCCAGTCTCCAGATCTTCTGTCATCTGCCGGTCCTCACTCCCAGCCATCCACTTGTATTCTTTTCTCTCTCATGCCTCGATGGACTCACATATCCACGCCATCAATTCTGAAAGGAGGAGGACGCCGATCTGCATGTGAAGCTGGGAGTCTCACTGCGACCTTCCGAGACAACATGGCTTCCCCTATACTCGAGCCGTGCTTCACAGAAAATTCTTTCCAATCTACAAGCGTCTCGGTAGATGTTCAGGCGAACGATGGCTTCATCATCCGAAATCGAGTGACACGATGCTGGAGCTGGTGACGTTGTTGTGGATGGAGGGATTGACTCTGAGAAATCGGTCTTGTGTTCGGGACGGGTGGAGTCTCGAGTAGGCGGCGCGGTGCGGCGGCAAGTGGATGGTGTAGGCACCTGCAGACGGTGAAGTCGGACGTTCCCTCAGAGGTGCATTTCGCTATCAGAACGCTGGACGCGTACCATCTTTGCTCCTCGACTTTACTCTCTCTCCCCCCTTACGTTCGCAAGCGGAAACTCGCCTATTGGCTACCCTCGCGACATCGCTTGCCTGTCCTTAGGTCTCCCCGTGTTGCTGATCTGCCTCTGCCCTTTCTCCCCAATTCGTTAGCGCGTATCCTCGTTCGGCCCCATCTTGATCCACTTGCCCAGCAGCACTCAGTCTCACAACAAGCAGAGTGTGCTCCACACGCTGGGATCTCACTCGCGCGAGCATTGTACCGTGGCATGTCTGCTGCTGTCCACCGATCCGCATCCGCAAGCGTCCGACTGCGTGTCTGTGCTGTTCAGCAGTTTTCCGCGTACCTCGTTGGGACATGCGTAGTTCTCCATCCGTCTGTGCTCTTCCTCAGCCGCGTCCACTCTGGAAGATCGAAAGGGACCATTGTCTCCAAACACAAGATACACAGATTGAGTCTTGCTCGATCGTCTGCCTCGCTTGCTATTATAAAGCACCATGCTCCCAACATCGAGCGTGACTGTATATGTGGACCGATCCTCGCGCAAGTGTCGAAGGGGAAGGCTAGCCTGGCTAGTCAAGATCGGAGCGGCGGTGAGAGGAAATGTGAGAAAGAGGGTTCTGCAGGTGAATAATGCAGGATACTCGAGGTAATGGTTGGAATTCACCAAGTCCAAGAGATATATTCCTTCGCTATCCTTCATGTCTCGCCCGGCGCGACCAGTTGGCTCTCCGACTTTCAGGCAACGGAACTGCAGTGCGGCCGGCTACTCCTTGGGCTGCCACCACATGTGCCACACGCCACACGTCGCACCAGAGTCCAAGGACAGGGTGGGGTGGAGCCGTCCCCCTCCCCAAGTCGTGTGTAGGCAAGCGGAGGACGGCGCTATGGGCTAAGCATGGGTAGTGTCGTGGAACGTACTGTTATCGCTTCTGTTCGGGTGTCTGCGTCTTGTGTCGTACTTGGGAGACTGTGAAGAGGAGTGGCGATGGGAGCGAAGCGCGAAGCGAGTGGCGTCATATTGTCTCGGCCAGCCCTTGTCCACAGCTTCATGCTGCGACTATCTTCGCCCGGAATCCAAAGAGACTGGAATAATGGGAAGGAGGGGAGGAGAATCCGATATGAACGGAGTTGTTGAAGTCTTCAGTAGTCGCCCAGCGGTGTCTCCAGAATGCCAGTGGGTTCCATATCTTCCACATTGCGAGTTATCCTGCTCATCGCGTGGCCTCCGACTTCAGTCATAACGCGAATGAGCCTTCTCCAGGACGGATGTCTCGGATCGACGCACGCCACATCTGCCCTTGGAGACCAGGTCCGGAAGTGGAAGTGGCTCGCAGTGGGGCTTTGGGAGGGTGCAAGTGAACTAGGAAATGCTGTGTGCAGTGAGGTCGTGGTCAAACTGCAAGCTGCATGCCTCCGGAAGCGAAGTTCCCGACCGGCTTGGCCATCATTTCCAGCCACTCCCAATGGCGACACCAGTGGCCACCCGGGTCTCGACCTCTGCGCCACCCATCGCCAGCCACACGGTGAGTGCCGCTTGCTACGCTCTCCTTGCGGTTGTGTTGCCGGCGTGCGAGCGTGCGTAGTGCGAGGGGCATGCGGCCACTGGAAGGTGGTTAGATAGGTGGTCGTTGCGCGAAGCCTGGGACACATACAGTATTTGGATCCTCCACACCTATCCCCCATGCATCAGGCAGCGCTCAACTGCCCGCATCCTCCCTACACTCCCCGCGGCGGGCTGGCGGCTCACCGTTGGCCACGGTGAGCTCGCCATGTTGACGTCTCCTCGGTGCCATTCGTACCTCGGAAATGACGGAATTGATGTGGTGGGCGTGTTGACGAGCTTGGTGGCGGGCGATGGGTGTAGTAGCTCCTGTAAGACTGGGATGACAGTAGGGCGGAGAGAGTTGACGAGCAGAACGCGAGATGCAACGTCGCCGTACGAGTCGAGAAGGCAATGAAGCGACAGAAGACGACATGCATTGCTGGCCACGAAGTTCGTATCGAGACGCGTCATACCAACAATGAGCACGCGCGAAACCTCGCCGCTGCACGAATGAAGTCGCTGGCGGAAGCAAATGGCCCAGAGCCGGGGCTGCACTGTCCACCCTCGTTCACGTGGAGCCTGTGGCAAATTATACACCGTAGGTCGATAAGTAGCCGTCCGGAAACCATGTCGGTGAGCATCAATGCAAAGTTGACATTGCTCTGCATGTTAATAGTGTTGACACTTGTTGGGGCGCGGCATGATTTGGAACATTGGTATGGCACGCGTCCAGAGGATGATCAAGTCGCGTTCCACACGTGATCCTTCCTCGCCTAAGAAATTTGTTGAATGCCTCGTTTCCTACGGTCATTCCTGCATATAAGGTGCTGGCGGCTGTCCTCCCCGCCGATAACTATCACTCCCACCATGCATAATCAGCAGAAATTCATTCTGTGAGCATCGACTATCCAGCCTGCTGGTGTTGTATTGATTTCTCTTCCATGCTAGCATCAACCTCGACAAGCAGGAAGTGATTGATTGGAACCTCCTGTTGCCCGAGGTCTTATTCGGGCGACAGAAAATCAAGCTCCTCGTAGGATTACTCGCCAAACCTCCCCCAGTTGAAGAACGTGCCCTCGCCTCTATCCTTACGGTTTGTCACAGAATAGCTCATCGCGTGCCTGTATTCATCACGATACAGGATCTACGAACTCGCCATGGTGCAGACAGAGAGACAAGCCCCGACGATGCGGACCTTTTAATTGATGGACTGTCGCAAGCCATCCTACAGAACTCCGACGACGCTTTGCGCGCTGCTCTGACCACATTCTGTAAACGGAGCGTGATCGATGTGTTGCACACTCGTGTTTCGTCTCTATCACCTCTCGGGTCCTTCGGGACCTGGCAGGGAGATCGGATCATTTGTCTCGGCGATAAGACAACGGCAGAAGATCTCCCCTTAAGAATCTTCACAGAAGAGGAGCAACAAAAGCTTACCTCTCCTCCGATTTGCTATCCTGAAGGGTTCCGTAGCTCTCTGCTCTGCAATTTTCGAAATGTACGTGCACGGGAGGACTTCATAGAGTATTATCCCGATGACGGCAAAAGCGCCTGTGCCCTGCACACTGCTCTCCCTCCTTCCGCGAAAGTCATCCTGAATTTCGCCTATCGTCCTTCTTTCTCTCGCCCTGTCGTCGAGCAAGGCGCAACCGAGCCCGTCTGGGTGTTGTGTAACATCTCCAAACTACTATATGTACGCGTCAATGCTATCGCGGCCCTCTCCAATTCCGCGACTGAAGGCCCGAAGGTGCATGGTCGTATCGGTCTCGAACACCTTCTCGTGTTGCAAATCCTCTGGGCGTCCGACTGCTCGGTCAAGGCGATGCACAGGAACATTCATCAGGGACCGTGGGTTGGAGATCGATTCGCGTTCACCACAATGGACAGGATCGGCGAATATGCCAATAGCGATTGGACGGATTGGAGTACGGAAGCAGTACTGCTTGTGCGTAACATATGGGGACATGTCCTTCCGGTGGCGCTGCCGGTTCCGTGAAGTCGCTTCCATTCCTCGCACCCCCATCCCTTCCCTTTCCCGAATTAGAAACGCAGGCACGAAGAAGAAAGAAGAATCAAGATGAAGAAACGGATCTTAAGAAGAAATGTACATTGAGAAGTTGAGGAAAGGATTAGAAGAGAAGTGTTGCTTGTCTGCTGGTGTCCGTGCTCTGTACTGCTATGAATGAAAATGACAATTGCCGTGGTGTTTTACCTTTAACGTGGCTCATCTGTATATTGTCGTCTCTACTCCATCTACCTGCTCCTGTGTACGTCGTGTCCATGCTTCATCCACACCCTGCACCCAATCACGATTTAGATGGTTTCGGATGAATAGCGATACTTTCCAATTTCTGTCAAGTTTGTGTTCTGAGCTGTATAGAACTCCCGCTATCACTGCGAAAAATGACAGATTGTAACGATGTACAGACCGTGCTCCTGGAAGAGTGAGGATTAAGATGCTGGGAGATGAACGTCGTATAGTGAGCGTAAGTACGAGATATGAAGTTTGCACAAAAATAACGTATCACGAAACGAGTGAGGCGTTAGTGTGCTTCCGTCAGTACTGTTTACGTTTCGAAGACATGGCTCGCGACCGGGTTGATGCTACTGCTTTGGCCGAGTCATTTCTGGCCAGCAGCTGCACAAACTTCTTGATTCCTACATGTGGCCATCTCTGCTGATCCTGTGCCACCTATATAAGGATGTCAAAACGGTATGATGTCCGAGTCGTAGTCCCAGCTAGCCCCAGCCCGACCCATCGCCGCATTGGCCCTACAGCGATTTTAAGTGTTTCTGTTACTAGATGATAGCTCCAATCTTGTTGCACGTCTGCTTCAATTCGTCTCATTCACCCGTCTACATGATGTGGGAGCGAGTATGCGAGGCCTCAGTTTGTCTTGCTTCCGCATTGTATGTGATTTACTACCTTCTGTAACTTGCTCTCTTTTCTCATCCTTCGCTTCTTGAGCTACCTTCGCACAGCGACCTTCCACATCGGTGTATGAACTATCTCCAACATAAACCTCGAAGAAGAAAACTATCACATCAGGAGACATGTACCCGCTCCGCACTCGACTCATGCACCTACCTAGCATATCCTCACTTGTAACACTTCTTGAAATCCTGCTGCCCCTCCCCCCTCGCATACTCCTGGCTCTTCACAAACGCGTCCAGCGTACATATCCTCTCCCCTTCCTCTGCACCACAAAACCCTAACGGCTGTAATGCGTCATTTACCAACACCCTCACACACGTCCCCGCCTCCCGCCCACCCTCTTGGTCTGACGCGCACTCAAGCCTCTCCACGACCATCCGTGCAGAGAATGGCACCATCCGACTCGCGCGCCACACCCTCCTCCCATCGGCCCCGTCGTCGCCGTCGCTTGGCATGCGCCGTGGGTCCGGTGCGCGTGCGTCCCGTGCATCGAACAGGCCCATCGCGGCGTACACGGCGACCATGTCGTTCTCATGCGAGAAGTCCGCGTAGAGCGTGCGGTCCAGCGGGAAGGGCAATGAGGCGTTGTGCGTCGTGTGGTCGCGCACGGTCGTGCCGGTCAATCGGGCGATAAGCTCGTTGACGTACCCCACGCCTTGGACGGGGCCGAGCTTGTTCCCGGGACTGCGTTGAATGAGCGTCAGTCGTGATGCCGAGGTGGGAGAACCCAAACCTACCCGGTCTTGTAATATTTCTCCACGTCTCCGTGATACTCAAATGCAGCCCACTCGTCGTCATTGAATAATGCGCAGAACTTGCTTCTTGCCTTCGTCTTCTTCTTGCTCTCGGCGTCCGCGTGCGCCATTGCGATGCTTTCGAATGGGCATAACGCCATCAAACCAAACACGTCCTCGTCAGTCAAGTTCGCTCCGGGAGCAGCGGTGTTTAGGCGCTTGGCGATGGGCGGAGCAAACTGCTTCAGCCAGGTGTTCATCTCTGCAACGCCATCAGACGACGCAGGGCAGTCGTTATTGAGGGTGTTGTTGACCTACACGATGCACAACGCACGTCAGCGAGAGAGCTTTAGTCAGATGAAAAGTGAGCATGCCTTCTCCGATAGAAGCTGTTCTATCTTGGGAGCCATCTCGCTCTGGCTTGCCGCAGCGAAACCTATCGAGAATGTCCTAGAACTCGATGCAGCACTTTGGCCTATTCATAATACGCACCTTTGGTCCAGTTTACTGCGCTGTCGACCACTCGCTGTGAATCAGATGCTCGCAAGAAGATGGTCTTCTCTTTTTTGATGACCTCCCCGTAACGCGCGAACGCTTCATAACCGGACTCCCAACTCTGCCTCATACCGAGCGGTACGAGAACATCCTCGTCAAGGTTGTACTCGTAATCTTCAAGAAAGTCAAGTCGCTCGTCATGATAGCGAGTTACAGAGGTTAACTTGTCGACCGCATCGCGGTAGGTGGGCGCGTCTTCGTGCGCAGGGTATCGCGCGCCGTGGCGTTGGAGCTAACGTTGCGTGAAGCAAGTGTGGCAATCAATGACCTGTCATGTTTGCGGCAGATGTGCTCGACATACAATGTGAACCTGAATTCGTTACTCTATCGGTGATCCATCTTCGCACTACTGTTGCAAACGCTCACCTGGGTAATGTTGCAGGAGCTCGGCGGGGAGGAATATTCATTCGCAGGGTAGTACGGAGAGTACTGCCCCCACATCCTTTGTATACGTTTAGGAACGTCCACGCCGGCCGACAGCTGAGGGACATCGAAGATCGGCTCCTTGCCGAAGAATGCAGCCCAACAATTGAATAAGAGGTTGTAGAGAAGGAATGACAGAGCCATGATGAGCAAGCGCTTTTTCCAGAAACTTCCACCATATCGTTGTTCCTTTTGCACAGAAGACCATGGGATTGGAGTCTCTTTACCAGGCCGGACTCGTGGATCCACCAGTGGCAATAGCGTGTCGAGCTTCCGCACCAGCTTAAATGGAGGTACGTCGGACGACATGGTGAATTTCCGGGAGAGAGGGAAAGAAGAGAGATGGCAGAAGGAGACAAGGGGAGTCGATGACCCTAGGATGCATCCAGAATCTAGTTATAAGCCAACTGCTACAGACGCGAAGGGTTAGATCTTAGAAATGATGTCATGAACGAGGCTATACCGGATATTTCCATCGCCCCGTCATGCGATTCGCAGGGTTTTCATAAGTTCTCAGAAATTCGAAAGGCTCTCCATCGATAGTACTGGAAACATAACAGCGTGCGGAGGAGATGCGGGTGGTGGCTTTGGAACACCGGGCTGCCTGACCAAGTCAAAGCCATGACCTTCAAATAAGCGCTCGAATTGTGGCTGTGACTTCCCCACCGGCTCGGGCTCGAACACGCTCATCTGCATTGGCGCAAACTCCTCATCAATTATCAATCCCCAATTGTCCTACTAGCACACACTTCTATGTCCTATTTTCTTGACTTCTGCGCCATAGAATAATGACCTGGACGTTCTGGCGCTGAACAATCACGGTCATGTGACTCTGGATACGCGTTGCACCTCGATCTTTAAACGCGTCATTCATACGTCGTGTCCAACCGTCGTGCTGGAACATCGTGAGATGAACCGCAAGTGCGATGTTTACTACCAAAGGTAAGCATTCTAATAAGGAACCTCATGCTAACAGTTTATTGCTCCTTGATGATTTACACGCACTACTAAGTATTTACGCCACAAAATGCGCTCAGGCAACCGGATTTGGCATACAATGTCGCAGCTAATATCAATAGTGCAGGTATAACCATATTCATAATACTTCATATTTACAGCTAAACGAAGACCTAGTAGTCTATACTGCCCAACGGCTCCCGAACGAAGCTTCATCGATGATTCCGCACTGGCAATACACTGGCAGCCCGCGTAAACAATATCCGTATACTTCTAGTGAAATCCACCCCCTCTAAATAAATGGCTGAGAAAACGAATAATTTATGCAGCAGCAACTGCCTCCGAACGAAGACCATCAACGACAATGTAATGGCAAGGAATAAGCTCGCGCAGGCGGTACCGCGGGCTGCTGGTATGGAACGCGATCCACCCCCTCGCGAACGCCTCCCACGCGTCGCGCACCTTGCCCTCGCCGAGGATCTTCCGGATGCGCTCGACGATCACGACTGTCTCGTCGATGACTTCCTGGAGCGTCTCCAGTGTCGTCTTGCCCGTCGCGATGGCGCGATCGCTCATGTAGTTGCCCGTCTCGCCGGCGAGCTCTTCTTTGTAGAAGGAGAGGACGTCGCTAGGCGGATGTCAGCACAGTGCGAGCGACAGATGAACGATGATGGACTTACTTCACATGGTTCTGGTACCAACAGATATCACTGTATGCGGACAACGTTAGTGTCGCACAGGCGGAAGAATCACAGAATACACTCACGGGATCGCTTGCATGTACTTATCCACATCATCGGGAAATTCTGCCTCTTCCCAGATGAAGTACGCGAATGCCTCCGCGAGCCCAGACATATTCCTGCGGTACGTGATGAAAGGAAGCGCATCCGAGTCGACAACCGCACCCTTGACAGCATTCTGCTCTAGTATGCATCCGTTGACGAACTGCAGCGCAGCGGTGAAGATCGAGCTCGCAGCGAACGGTGGGAAGTGCTCCCACATCCCCGCGAGGTTGCTCGTTAGCTTCCCGAGGACGTCCGGCTGGCCCTGGACGGAGCCCGCGCAGAGACGGCGGTGGAAGTCGCGCGATGACGAGGCGTTAAAGACAGATGGGTCGTCCATCGCGATGACCAGCGTGCTGAAGAGCGCGATCTGCACCTTCGTGTCGACGTTTTTGATGTGGTCGTAGCATGTCAATGTGAGGATCATCGCTGGTGGGAGGTACGGCCGCAGCAGCGACTCGAACGCTGGTCCCCATGAGCGGATGGTGTCCTTGACGCGATGCTCGAGCTCGAAGTCGCGGGTGTATTGAGGCACAGAGAGCTGGAGTCTTTCCAACAGGTCTATGACGGCCTGTCTAGATACAGAGGCGATACTCTTCTAGCAATTGAAGTGAACATAAGAATCGGCCCTGTGAAAACCGGGTTCGTACGAATAACTCACAGAGTTAGATGGGCTCTTCAACGGATAGACTGCCATTTCTGTTTTAAAGGGATCCTAACATGCAGGGCCCACGGTGAGCGCGAATTCGTGCATGCTGTGAATGGGAACATACCAAGTAAAGTAGGAGAGACCAGTTTGTACGATGAGGTTGTCTGGTCGCAAGTGTGAAGACGCAGCCACTTGACGCGGGGCTTGAGTAAGGGAGAATCGCACTAGGGGATTTCGCTGAGGGAGTAGACGATGAGACAGCGATCTCTTATACACATTGCGTGAGGCAATTTGTGTGATTGCTTTGACCCCATAAATTCATAGCAAGGCTCCTGGGACGATGGAGGCCTCGTGGCAGCTGATTGAGCATCAAAGCGATCTCATCTTGATCTATCTCCTACACAAGATTTGTGCACAGCGTACTCTGCCTTGATGCAAGAAGCTTAGCAGCATGCTGCCTTTTTTGCAAGTTAACGGATCTATTTCACCGAGATGCAAACAAGAACGTGGGCTGGGTTCCAGACACACCACGCCTCACCCGAACAAAAGACCGATCATTTCCACAAGAGTCCGATGACAATTTACGCCCTGAGGAATCCCCGCGGATGCAATGTGAACCCTCAGGCCTCAAACGGCAAACGGCGAATCTGGGGGAGTGTCGTCCAGCTCCCCACAGAGGCGAAGTATTGTGCGATTCGGTCGGCACCTCGACCTTTTGCGAGTCGTCGAATGACATTCGTTGAGATGTGCAGATGCTAGGACTGTCTCAAATCAGAAATTCCAAAACAAGACGCAGTGCCGTAGACATGTGTAATTCACCCAAGCAGGCACTATCCGCTAAATAACTGTATCTGCGGAGATCTCCTTCAGGGCCCTATCAGTCGTGGTTGCTGAGATACTGTCCGTTCTCACCGTACAAGATCCCCGTACTGTAATCTGTGGCAACCGACCCGTGATACCATCACACATCCATTGCTGGCAGCAATTTTGACGTGTGCTTGTGCGTCGCTTGGATATGCTGTTTCTACCCGAGACATGTGAGCAGTTCATCAGCATGCCAGCGTGCCAGAAAGACGCGTCGCCTTCCGTATGCAATCATTGCCGTCACCGAGTTCGTCAGCTGTGGAATGCAACGCGGAAGACTGTGTCATGATATCCGAGAATCTTCCTCACCACTCACTAGGTCTGCAGCATAGAAGGTAGTTCATGGCTTGCATATTTCCTCGAGTACCACTGTCATGCCGTACGACTTTGTCCTACATTGTCGCGACAAGAAGGTGACCAGACACAGCGATCAGAACGTGTGAAATGCTCATCGCTTGGACGCAAAGCATCGTAAAACATATGCAAATCTATAATGATCTCATACGTCAAAGTGGCAGTACACACCAGGAGGGGAACATTCTTTAAGCGGCTGAGCTACTGATGATGCTAGGCAAAATGAGGATTGTCAGAACAACAGAGCACACTTACAAAAGACAGCAGTAGCAGTTTCAATGCCAGTCGAACAAGGTGTTCCGTAGTGTCGAGTTAGGCTCAGATGTCTCGTCTTGCGCGGCATAAGATTTGCATGGCGGGAGCAAAGTAATCGCACAGGCGCGCATCACCGCGCTTTGTTCCATTCAAACTCCGCAGACGCCCGACGCAGCCCAGGATTAAGCGTGACAAAGAACACCATAACTACGGGATCTACAGCATGGCCTTCTCCCGCATCGGCACGCCATCAGAATCCAGCTGCAACCCGACAGGAACGGCCGCGGGATAGCATGTCAACTTGGCCTTGAACGTCCATAACGCACTGTCCGTAAGAAGCGAAACCTTCGGAGAGATTTGGGGCTCTTCGGACTTCAACTGTTCAGAAAGGAGATGTACCGATAGCTTCTTTCTTGTACACGGATCCGTTGACGGTCGGATGAACTGGTCATAAGCCGCCAGCACGTCATCAATCCGTAACACACGGACAGCATTGGCATCTTTCTCGTCTGGTAAGGCGGCAATCAGTGATGGGCGCGCAATGTAACGGGAGGACAACAATGATGCATACGTCGTAAGAAATCATAATATCCCGAACTAATGTGGTTCCAAAAACGGCTTGTCTCTTCGGCAAGATTCTTGACTTTCTCCATCATTTTCACGACAAGTCCCTCTTTCTGCAACTCGAATTCGTTTGGTGACATTCCAGCTAAAACATCACGATAACTGTCAAGGAATGAGTTCACACGTTCCTCGACATCCCACGGCGCTCGGGTGCTCTGGACTTTGATCCCAAGGCCCATCGAACTGGCGACGGTCCAGGAGGAGCTGGCCACGACGTACCTGAGGGACGTTTGACGAGCGTTCATGCGGACCCGCGTCAATGACTTACCCCAATTGTTCACGGGTTCTCAGCTGAGAATGCGTGGGTTCCTTGATGATGTGTGCAATGAACAGAAGGACAGGGCGAAGCGCATCGCCGCCAACTTCGCCGAATTGACAATAGTAAGAAAGGCTACTGTTTTCCTCCTGTAGATTGCTGTGCACTTTGCGTAGAACGAAATTCGAACCTGTGGTTATCTACCTCACTTCGTGCGGGTTGCTCATCATTTCAGGGATATGCTAACCCTCAGGTAATATGAGTGATCGCTCTTGGGAGAGCTCCATCGGTAGAAGGGGGCGAGGTGAGATGCACTCTTCCACGCGCTTCATAATGCCCGTCACTTGCTAGATCCGGCTTGCGCGTTATTGACAAATGCTTGCACGTGAATGTGACGCACCTGCTGAGAGTAGTTCCCGTTCACCAACATCTCTATCTGCACCTTAGCCATCAGTTCATCCTTGTAGAACTGCACCTCCTCTGCCCGTATGACTGCCAAGGAAGCGTATGAGTCATACTGATCGCAAGAGAGTCTCGAAACATACATCTCAGCTCATCAAGCCTGTCCATTGGTGTCCATACCGTAGGCATCAACGACCATGCGGCGAATTCCTCGGATAAATTCGACGGCTGTCCCAAGTAGAAGTTCCGATATCCGCGTTCTACCTAATTGGCAGCAGACGTGAAGAGATGATGCACATGAAACGTCTTCCAACGCTGACCTGTTCCGCAACCACTTTCAGCCTCACCGGGTCTACTGCCAAGTCCTTCAACGTATGCAACACTGTCATAAGTAGCGCAGGCAGCTTATCGTTAAATCCGCTTGCAGATATTAGAAAACCCTTCCGGTTATTGGAGACTGAGTATGCTAAACCAGCGAGCTCGGCGTCGTAAGCAACTTCGGATAGGGCATCTTCAACGAGGTCCGCAATGAGCCTGTAGATGCGCTATAGATCCATTGAGTCTCATAGAGACAGGACCCCGACTGACCGAGACATGACTGCACTCCTTGGAGTTGCATAAGCTAGAGGGCTTTTTCCACGGCCATTAGCAAGAGTGTGTGAACGTATGGTCTCGGTACCTTTTGATGGCAACCCTAACAAATGCCTTGGGTACCCAGAATTGATCGTCTCGTTTATGCCACAATGTGGAGATATTCGTGCGATGAATACACACGGGCATCTTCGCAGGCTGAGAGACGCGCATGTCGGTGTTGTACAATTTACCGACGGCAAGGAGAACCGACTCACCTCTGATACATCTTTCCTCTCGACATTGAGGTCCGCGGGGACGTACGGATTCGGACGCGGCAAGAACAGTTCCAGATTCTCATTCGGTTGTTGAGCCTGTCCGTTGCCATGTGAGCACGGTGATTTCATGTGAATGTTCGGATCAGAACTGACCTTATCCATCAGAGAAGAATCAATTCTCTGGACGCAGTACCGCGTGCCATACCATTTCTCTGTACACCACTGCGCGTCTTTGCCAATGATTTCCTCGGCATGTTCGCGGGCCTCCAGCGTCACGCGGCCGTTCTCGGGCCTCAGCACTTCCAGCGTCTTGCGCACTAATACTTCATCCCACTCGCGTATTATGGAATCCCCGCTCAGAATCAACTCAGGCGGATACTCCTCTGACAATTGGTATGACAGCCAATTCACGTATGTGTGAGGTTGGCTCTTCTCCTGGAAGCGAAACCTGATCTTCGACATGGAACTGATCTCCTTGAAGTGGTATTCGTCGAGAGGCGAGGAGCGAAGCATATTTAAATAGCCGTAGATTGCAAGGAGTACGTCTCCATAGTGCGCTGTAGGGTAATATATCGTCAGCAAAGTCTTCAAACATATTTCTAAATTGAAATTACCGTATCCATCCTTAGTCAGTCTCCCTTCCACCTTCAGGTACTGCACGCTAGAGTTTCGGCTGTTTAGAGAAGCGGTAAGGCTAAAGATCCATGCTTTGCGTTTCAAGTATGCGCAGACACTTCCGGGCCCTTCGTGTCCGAGAAAATGAGTGACTACTGCAGCAGGTTGGACCTTGTAGTGCGGGCGCTGATCAGGGATGAGGAATGTGAGAGAAAACCCGTAGTAATCCTTGACGGTCTTGATAAAAATGATGGACTGCAACGACTTTACGTGAATACAATGTCCCGGAACAATGTACAGATAATAGTTACCCCCATTTCTGATGAGCCCCATAAGGGCTGTATGATCATGGGCCGTGGTTCCAATCCCCTGTTTTGAATCAGAGAAAAGAGCGGAACAACCATTCTTGCCAATTCGTCCAGCGACTCTGATGCCGACGAGGTGAGACTAATGGGGCAAGTGGAAGAATGGCTGCGCAGTAGGGTCTCACCTCTTCCGAGCACAGCAAGAGTCATGCGGCCTGCGCAATAGTGTTGTTCCCACCATCCAACGAGTTCCCTGCGAGTCTCTTTCCATATTCGAGTGTCGTCGGTGGACTCCCCAGTTGTGTTGTTACTAGTGTGACGGGAAGCTCTCGCTCTTTCTGTTATGCTGTCGACATTACCTGTGCTAAAATGTGCGTATGGATGACCAGGCAAGCTAAGGATTTTCGTAATGTGGTAAACCCGCCGTGTATCGTTTTGTACGTTTCTTCGGTATTCTGAGTCTACTGCGTTGATCTCTCTCTTTGTGAGAGACTCGGTGAAGAGTGGAGAGTGAAAGAAAGTCGCAGTGCGTGCGAGACCACCGGCTAGAAACGCCGAACCAACCGAGAACCAGTAGTAGGTGTGCGACGGAGCAGTCGCGGCGTTGCGGATTCCACCATTGGTTGAGATGAACTGATGTACATGATGATACAATCAGAGATACAGTAACGGATTCCGGAATTGGTGACACACACAGATAGGAAATCGTTCTCCTCGCGGAACACTTCTGAGCCCTGAATTTCCAAATCGTTAGTCCAGCAGTCTTGTAACGAATTCCATAAAGTTCATGTCACCTTTGAAATCATGTGTTCACAGAAGTGAGCCATTCCCTGGGCGTCTTCCTAAGATACAAACGATCGCTTTGATTGATCACCAGCCTCTGAAGAACTGTCTGCCCCATGGGACCCAGGCCAGCTTTCCGGGTCATGCATTGCACCGACTTGGACGGTCAAGGAAGCAGCTGCTTTGTCCGAAGACGCATCGTGTACTAGTATTACGTGTAACCCGTTCTCAAGTCGCATGAGCCTGTAATCTCTATCGTCGAGATCTCCCTTTTCTATGTCGCTGCCGGTGAAGACCGAATACGACGGCATTTCGTGCACCGCACGCACAGTAGTCCATTGCACCGTAGGAGGCATGTAGCAGGTATATACGCAGACGGTATAGGGATGGAAGCCGTGTGCAAGTTGATTCAGGACTTGAACGTTTGAACGTTCAAAGTACTAGGCACCCTCAAGGCTCAGAAGCGCCCGTCTCAGCCACAGTCTAGTCTCCCGTGGGCAGACGAGACAATTCCTTCAAACCTCCGCGGCAACGCTTCGGATATCCTTGTCTGACCCACAGTCGCGAATGCTCAGCGCTCAGCCTGCGGCAGAAAGCTAGCCTCTCTTGCATTTAAGAGGATGGCACGATGTTTAGGGCCACGGGCACTCGAGCGTAGCCTTGTCCGCTGTATGCTGAAAATCCTACTGATTTGCGAATAATGAAGTGGCGACATAGATGATGTACATTGTACATGCAGCCCAACAGGTATTTTTCCGCATTCTATCATGGAAACATGACCGCAACTCTGTCACACTGTTGTCACGATCTCTTGACCAAAATGTGCCATCGTTAGTTTCTTCCTACCACTGATCCCGCTCGCAATGACCATCTGTGGGTCACCAGGAATGACGTCGAGCGCATTATCGCTCCATTTGACCTCACGCTGCGTATCTCCGCCAGTCGCGGAAAAGAACAGCCCTTTAACGGGCCTCGTGACTGATACTTTCAATCGTTCTCCATCAAGGTGGACGCGGAGGCCAGGGTCGGGAGCATCGACAAAGCGGTACGGCTGGGGCCAGTCTGCATATCGTGCAACGACTTCCCCGGTCTGCATGTCAGCCAAGCGCGCAGCAACGACGACGGAAAAGGATGTGTTCATTGAGGGATAGTCAGAATTGACTTTCGGTGGGCTTGGACAGGGAATTGACAGGATCTCGGTGGATTGATTTGGCAGGAGAGTCATCGAGAAACGTTGCTCGTTTGCCCAATCGGAGTTGAGGTCAATGCAATGGAGTACGAAAGTCAACGTGCGAGGTTCCATCAGGCTATTTGCTCCCCAGACTTCGATTCTTGCATCAATGGACTGAAATGCACCGAACTCATAGAACTGTACATTTGAAGTGTATAAGCGATCTCTAGATCATGCGTGTATGACACGAGCACTGACCTGTTTGGGACGATCATTCTTTTTGTTTTTGTTGACCTGCAGTAAATCAAAAAGGGAACAGTGTTTCAATAATCATGCAAGACGTGAAAACACATTTCGGACTCGCATGACGAGTGATCCCAACTGTGATAGGAGCAAGCTCGCGGGCAATCGTGTAATAAGCCATCTTCGGCCGGAGCTGGAGGAGCAATGCCATAACGTTGAGCCAATTCCAAGCACTCAGAGCGATAGTATAGTCACACACGAAAAAGTCCATTATGGCCCAAGAGGTAATCGGCCAACAATCGTTCAGCTGCCACACCAAAGCACCAGATGTCTGCCAATCTCTGTCAGTAAGCCTTCAAATATCGATCAGGAGAACATCAGCATGCATATTCCTTTCCACGGCCACGCCACTCTCGCCTCCACATCCTATAGGCCAAGCTGATGGCCTCGCTCTGCATGAGTTGCGTATTGTAAACATATCTGTGAACGATCGCAGATGTAAGGATCCACCTGACTACATGTGCGAAATACACTTACGTTTCAAGATCGCTCGTGAGCCGGAAGTTCTCGTTCATCACGATGGCAAACCGCCGCTCATGATTTCCTGCTCGATTGTGCTGCGACATGAGCTTCGACTGTGCCCACCGTTCTTTCGTGTTGCCGCCAAGCCAGTAGTCAATCGTTTGGATGTCTGGCAACGCTGGGATGCCAAATTCACTTGCACTCACATCAGTGCATGCAAAATACCTATGGTAGCAACCGTACCTCACAAACCGTCCACCCATGCTACCATACTCTTGCCAAGGGCGCTCCTTCCCTGCCCATACATCTCACTGGTGGATATCGCCCACGGTAGGGTCGGCGGTATCCCATCCCATCCCGCCATAGGGCGATCCAGGATGGTACGGTATAGTGGGATCGGTGAGATCAGCTACAATGGATGGTAGCACCTTTTCATAAACGACGCGAGCTGGGAGCTCCGTAATGCCTTCGGGTAAAGTCAATTGAAATATGTTCGACGCGAATATCCAACGCGAATACAGTCCTACCGACCTCCCCATTGCAAAATCTGCTGGTAGTCTGTGTGATCGCATCGAGCTCAGTCTCATCACTTTAGTATACAAGAACGATCTCACCTTCATTGTTACCGCAGAATAGAGCCAAGGATGGGTGGTGCCTCAATCGCTTGACGTTGTCCTCCGCCTCCGCCTTTACACTTTGAACGAACCTCTCGTTTGCCGGATAGACACCGCAAGCGAACTGGAAGTCTTGCCAGACCAGAATGCCCAACTCTGCATTCCAAAATGGGTTAATAAGTTCAATGAAGCCAATAGACGTCCTGCAGAAGACTTACCATCACAGGTGTCGTAAAACACATCAGGTTCATAGACACCGCCGCCCCACAATCTGACCATGTTCTGGTTTCCATCTCGTAGAAGTGTCAGCCAGGCACGATATCGCTCCGGCGTGACCTCTGTCAAGAAGTTGTGCGCAGGGATCCAATTTGACCCTGAAGATCTGGATGAGTCGGTCATCTACAGGGAGTATGACACACACCGCACCTCCCATGAACATTCGGATGCCGTTGACCTCAAATAAGAACGTTGTGCCTCCACCGTGCTGATCTGGCTCTAACAAGGGCTCTTGTACGAGTTGTATTCGACGGAATCCGATGAGCTTCGAGTGTTGGTCGAGAACGATGGAATCCTGAATGGGACGATCAGTACGTCAGACGTCAACATATATGGGTGTCACTGACTTCAGACATCAGAGCTATATCCAACGCGTACAAGCTCTGTTTCCCGTACCCAACGGGCCACCAGAGCTGTACCACACCGTCCAAGTCCCAATCAATCAAATTGCCCCGTTCAAAGTTGTCTCCTCCGAGTATGCGATCTGCAAGCAAGCCCTTGACACTACTGGTGCAGTCCCTCAACACCAGGTTTACGGTAGAAGCAGCAGTCACTCGACCGGTCAGTTTGATATCGACTCGAAGTCAAGTGAAAGAACTGGAGCTTGCGACACAGTAGCCCGCGTATGAACCTCTGAGATTCGCACTGTATACGTAGTTAGACTGATTGGTCGGTATGGACCGCATGTCATGAGCTCCGGTCCCTAGCGTACGACGGCATGTAAGATCTCGACGATACTGTTCACAGATCCTTACTGTTCGTACTCACCCAGTCCCATCTGCGTGGTTAATGTCATCAGCGGAATATCGATTAGTAAGGATGACATGTAATTTCATACCGCCACCCATATTGTGCCTTGCGAACATACACACGACTCGGATCACCTAAGTTTGTGGAGCCTGCTCTTACGCGTCCGTACTGTTGTTCTAACTTCTTTGCAATCAATTTGGTTGATTTGAAGTGAAGGAGCAGCTTGTTGTCCTTCGGCTTCATAGAGCACGAGTCAATTGGAACCTGCATTAACTCATGAGCATTGACATGGTCATCCTACTATAGCTTTGCAACCATTACCGCGTAAGTCCGGAACATGTTGTCTGCAGATAATATCTTCACAAGGTTCTGCAACGGTGCATCAGCAACATGAGCCTCAGGATGTATCGGTCAAATGCGAAATATAGCGGTATATATCGTTACCGTGATTTCTGTCATAGCTTTGATAGTGATGAAACCACTGATAGAACACACCTATCTCTTTGACATAGGTAACAGATACTTACCAGATACACATCGCAGATTGTATCTAAGCCTTCAAACTGCAATTGGACATTGTCTGCGCCATCCACCCGGGAGTCACATTGGAAGCTACAATAGTAGAGCCACTCTCTTTCGCCAACCCCTGTAAGCTTTCAGTAAATCATGGAAGCGGCAAGACTTGAGCATACATACATTGTACTTTGTGTTCATTGAAGCCAAGGAAAGGATCAGGGATGCGACCAGCCTTCAGAAGTTCCACATGGACCTCAGAGGGAAAGCTCTGCGCTGCAGTCCACTGCACTCCCGACTGGAGACCACCCGGAAGTCGCGGCACCTCCTGCAGTACAGAGCCGCGGGCAGGATTCCGTTCCTTCCAATACCAACCGTCGTTGAGTAGGGTTACACGAGTAGCCATGGTGGTTAGCGTGAAAAGATTTGTGCGTCTGGTAGATGGAGTCCCGGCGGAATGAAGGGCCACCACCTGATCGCTGCTTACTCTCTGATGTCGCGGTTCTTCGGGCCGCAGAAATTCTCAAAAGACTTGTCATCGTCCACTGCTGAGGAGATCGTAGCGCTCCTCGATACACGAAATGCACCCGATTCACACGAGTTGTTGAGCATGCCATGTTCGCTAGGACGTGTGACATTGCAACTTCGGAAATGAATGGCGTTGAGTGCAACCCACAGAGAATCGGCAGAACGCAAATCAACCGCTGATTGTGAACGTCCGTCGCTCAACAAGCGAGTATATAATACTCAAAAAATAAGCTAGCGTCGATGAAGCTAACGAAGATGTACACGTGAAATGTAGCAGAGAGGAGGGAGGGAACAACCGTGGTAGGCGTCCGTGTTTCAGATGCACAACGTGAAACTTGCACGTCGCGGTTCACGTGCTTTAAAAGCGGATGAGTTGGCAAACTTTTGAACACGACCAGTACTGCTCTAGTTCTCGTGAAGCAACCTGAGCGATTCCAAGTCATCACTGTATCACAAGCTTGCGAAATATTACTCGCATATAAACAAAGGGATGGAATAGAGCTCACTCGTCTACTCAGCCGCCGGTTGATGACAGGAGTCACAGGCAAACTCCGAGAACCTTGCTCACTCGGAGCACGGCAATGTGAAGATGAGTCGTGCTGGCATCCCTGAAGGGTTTGATGGACCATGCTCGCTTCCAGCTAGATGCACAGGGCCAGACAGCTGATGACACTATGATGGCTTCTCCCGCGTACTAGGTCTCAAAATGAACCCTGTCCATTGCTGTATGCAGCCTTCATCAAACTTAAGCTTCCGCATCAACAAGGTCAATCCAGGGCTCACTGTGAGGACCCTGAAGAAGTCGGAATCGGACTATTTATGGTGCATGGTACTACCCAACGTGTTGCGCATCAATCACGTATTACATGACGGAGCGCGGCGCAGCGGCCATATATATAGGCTGTAGTGTCTGCGCGTAGAGCGGTAATCCGGTGGAGGAGAGGTACGTAACAGAGAGACTGTGATGCAGGAACACAACGCGCGACCAATGGAAAGCGCAGGAATTGCTTATGCAATTGCTGATGTCAGCAACGTACTCATGGATGTGAAACGGAACCGAAGGATTGTCCTCATCTTCAATGTGCCGAGCAAAGTTGAGGATCATCAGAAAACCCCTGAAGCCGTCTTACGAAATGAGAAGCATGCGTAACTTCGCAACCATGAAAGCCTGGACGCCGAACGTTCGAAACAATCAAACATCACTTCATCAACGATCAGCACGTACCTCGTCATACGCCTCGGGCGGGATGTCATACACGGTCTTCCAGTAGCAGCTCTGGGGACTGCATCCGGGCTCTGAGACCCTGACAGGTGTGACTTTATCAATAATGATGTACGGCTTGCGCCAACTTAATGGAGATCTTTCGAAGTAAGCTATCATCCCAAGAAAATACAGCAGCGCGCGAAGGACGGGGTCTCGAGCGGGGACTTCCAACCCAGGACAGATATCACATAAGGCACCGCGAAGAAAGATGGAAGACCCCGTCTCTATGCGGCCTTCTTCACCGCATGCACGAGGTACGCGGATAAGGCTGCGGTGAGCGCCAAGATGAAGCCCAGGCTGAGTTTTTGCGCGACGCTCCTGCCGCCGTTGCGAGGCGGCAAACGAGGGTGCAAGAGCATGTTGAGAAAGGCCAGCGGTCTGGGCTGATTACGGGGAATTAACACCGCCTTCCAGGGCGAACGAAGGAAATGCTGTACCTTGAACGGCGTATACCGCGCAGCCATGAGCGCCGGATCGATCCTGGGGTAGCTGTGCGTCAGAAAGAGTAATTGAGGGAGGACAATGTACGTACCAGCTGGGGTTGTCCATCTGGCATCGAAGGTGCGTAAAGACTTCAAACGAATACTTTCCGGTGGTGAAGCCAGCTAGGTGAAGCTTCGTCAGTGCAGCACGGAGTGAAGGATTGGTGTGACCTCACATCCACTAGGTCCGACTCCGCCAAATGGAACGCCATACGCTGCGGAGTGTGTCAGAAACAAGCACTGGATGGGCCTTTGCCACTAACCCATGACGTGAAGAATAGTGTCATTCGCCGCAACTGTGCCACTTTGGGTGTTATCGAACACTGTCGAGCTGACTTTAATACTTAATGAGAGCGCTGACGGGGTGAAAACGCGTACCCTTGGCCTTGAAGGCTGGATCGTTGGAGAAGACATAAATGTTTAGAGGGTGATCCCTGCGACACTGTGTCAGTACAAGTCTCACTCTGAAGCACTAGAACTCACCTCTCGTTAATGAATTCAATCGCCTCATCGACGTCCTTTACAGGTATCACAGGCAAGAAAGGACCAAAAATCTCTCTGCACGACGATAGAACTGCACGTCAGCAAACGCGGCTTCAATGAGGAGCAAAACACGGACTCGCTCATGAGAGAATCATCCCCCTTGACGTTCTTGATAAGAGCGGGCGCGGCATATTTTGTCGCGACGTCTACTTCACCACCGAAGACGATCGTACCCTTGGTGTTGTCAATGAGGTTCTTGACGCGTATTGCGTGGCGCTCGTTGACCATGCGACAGACCAGGCCAGACTCCTTGGGATCGACAGGATGAAGCTCGTGGTATCTGCAAATAGGTGTCAGGCGGGCTATACAGATTGAGGGTAACTCCCACATACGCGTCTTTGAGCGCCTCGACAAACTTATCTTGGAACCAATCGGGCACGAGAACGTAGTCCGGGGAGAGACAAAGCTAGATGAAGTTAAGCATTTGTTACGAAGATATTCGGGACCGCTCCGACGCACCTGGCCGCCGTTGACGAGCTTGCCCCACATGATTCTCTTTGCAGCGGTCTTGATATCGCAACGAGGGTCAATGACGCATGGACTCTTGCCTAGATGCGCGGGTCGGCTGCGGAGACCACTGAAATAGGGCAAGTCTACTCACCTCCGAGCTTAGATAGAATCAGCGACTGCTGAGCTAGACTGGAAGCAGTACAGCGGACGTACCTCAGTCGTGACTGGTGTCAAGTGCTTGGCCGCTGCGGCTAGAACGATCCGGGCTACGCGGCCATTACCGGTGTACAATACTGCGCGGCAACTTTCAGGCACTGCTGGTAAGCTTGGTGCTTGGAGACTACTCACTGTGATCAAAAGGAAGCTCGAGAATCTGACCAAATGTGTAAACGATCGGCTGCTAGCCGCTCCGTGGTACTTCAAACGTACCTTTGTCGTCTCTGGGACAGCACCATTGACGACCCGGTACAGCTCCGGGTCAAGATACTTCGGCAATAGCTCGGTCAGAAGAGCCGCAGTGGCCTCCGACAGTTCCGAAGGCTTGAGCATTACGGTGTTTCCAGCTGCGATAGCACCAGCCTATATACGTGGTACGTCAGCGTTTCTGCTTCGATGTCCTGTCTGTAGCGACGAGCACGAACCAGCGGGCATAGTGTGAGGTAGACGGGGTAGTTAAAGGGACTGATAATCAGAACAACGCCTTTGGGTTCCTTCCTAGTGATCGGCGACATGGCGAACCAAAGCATGTTGAACGGAGCCTTCTCTGGAGAGGCCCATTCCTCCACTTTGTCATAGGTCTCCTTGAGCTCGAGCAGCGTGCCATTGAGTTCCAGGCTATAAAAAAATATTCGATGAATATATCATTCGCGCAGAAGATGCAAATTGTGGCGCACAGTTCTGACTCCTCATACGGCCGCCCTAAGTCAGCCGCAAATGCTTGCTTGAAGCGATCGTAGTTGTCCTCGAGGAGGTAGCATAGGTTCAAAAGTTGCTGCTTGCGAAACGCAATTGACTTGGTCTTGCCAGATATGAATGCCTTCCGCAAATCCTGATGGATCTGCGGTATCATTAGGTTTCAGTAACGATCAACCTGTCCCGGGGGGGGCTCACTTGAGGAATCTCGTCGACAGGGGTGTAGGACAAAGTCTGCGACATGTTGTGTGTGTGTGGGTTGCTGCAGCAAATGCACGTCCACGTTCGCGAGCCATCATGATATACCGGACTTGGGGGAAGGCGCAATAGCCGCTCGGGTTCCAAGCTGGGCTGCTATTACGAGACTAGATCGTTTTGACACGTGGCGTTTCAGTGCGCAGGTACCCGCTCAATCTGCCGCCACAGTGAAGCGGTCCCGCGACGAGGCAAGGGACGCATCTCCTGCGCGACCGCTTGGCGGAGTCGCCATGCAACGTGCTGGGCGTTTAACCGCGCGGACGGGCAGGGACGGGCTCGGAATAGCGGACTTCACTATGTGGACGGCCCGAAGGAGTTGCAAAAACTCTCAAGCTCGCACGAGCAAATCGGCCAGGGAGAAGTTTCAGGAAGCATACCGTCTAGAGGCATCCAGGTCAATTGGATTTGGGGTTCGGGATGTCTCATTTTTGGCCATCAACTGGAACCACGAGGCTCAGTGTGCGGCTATGGCTCGAGCTTGCGCTTGTTGGTGACGTGTGTTCATGTAATCTCGCGCTATGGGCAAGCGACGACCTCAACTGCAAGCCCTGCTTCGATCTGCACGATTACTGCGGTTGTCATTTATCAACCGATTAAAAGCTCGTTGGCAATGCGCGTTGGTAATGGGCTGAGACAGCTGAGCGTTGATCATTAGCCGCCGGTAGGAAAAAACCTCACCACGCCGATTTCTACGCACTTTCTCTCGACTGTCAAAGCACTCTGAGGCAAGGACGAGAACTTGAAGCTGGTGCAACCTGCCACCGATATATAGCAAACCCCTGGTCAGCTCTTATCGTAATTCCGATCACATGGCTCGCATGAGCTCTCTGGTTTTATTGTACTGCTGCCGAACTATTTTTTTTTCTGATCCGGTTCTTCGCCCCCAATTTCGTATGCAAATCGCGAAATTCTGCGGAAACGTCTGGAGTTCATATACGATCGAGATGACTCTAACGCTTGTTGTCGACGTGCCGCTTCCAGCCATATAGCAGTTCTCTAGCTCTCTAGCAACCCCAGCGAGGAAACCCGTCCGTTCCATCCCTGCCATCATGACCGGTGTTAATCTAGGACTCGACCCCAGCATAGGGAGCTTCTTCATTGGTATCCTATTTTCGATCACGTATGTATTCCTTCGTAAAGTCGTGCAGGATGTTTAGGCGTAGCCCTATAGATTCTATGGCATTACCAATGCCCAAGTGCTCTTCTATTACTGGGAGTATCGGCAGGACAGATGGTATTTGAAAGCCATGGTACGTTTGCGTCATCATTTCATATCTAGTGTGCTTTACAATCTGCCTGTAGGTCGCCTGGTTATGGTTTGTCATTCGTTACGATGCGCTCAGGTTTCAGGCTGAATTGATTATTACCAAGGGTCATGGACACCGCAAACTCGATAGTGGAAGTGATGGTGAGCCATCTACTATCAGTTCATCAACCAGAGCTTAACTTGCGCTCTCAGGTCATATGGGAATATCTCGTAACGGATCACGGGAATCCCCTGGGGCTCTTTGTGCTATCAAAGTAAAATCTCTATCATTTGCTTTCAATGGTCAGAATACTGCTAATCAAGATTCTCTCACAGTTCTTTCCTTGTAAGTCTGCTCCCTCCGTCAGTCGAAGCTATGTCCTCACAGTGATATACAGGCCGAATATGCAATCGCGGTCAGTCCTTCCAATTCATGTATTGATTTGCTCACTCAAGCCTAGCTCAGGCGATCACAGTCCTTTTCGTGCAATGGTCAGTAGCTCACCCTGCAGTCCTCGAACCCCAGCTTACACTTAACCGTCATAGCTACTATATGCGCAATGTGTGGAAACGTGAGTGAACCATCGAACTATCTAGAGCGAATCACAAATCGTCGATCTACTAGTATTGCAGAAGCGGTGGTATCAAGTACCGCTTACGATAACGATGGTATGCGAATGTGATCCTCGGTTGATGTTGATGCTGATAAATATCGTGACAGTTGATATTTGCTCTCATTTCATGTGGTATGTCCGACGATAATGACGCTTCTTTCAATTACTCACTTGCATCCAGCTTGCAGTCTTGGTTCGTGAAGTGATACCTTCCCGTTATTGGCGAGACGCTAACTTCTCTCGTGGCCCTTATCGAAATAGCGAGTGTATATCTCGGGTAAGTTCTGTATGTCATCGACTGGCATCGGCCCCTCTTAACTATCGCCATTTAGGACTTTTGATCGGGCAGTCCCCGAGATTTTCGTCCAGACGAAAGTGTGTTCTTTTCAGAACGCGTGATGTTTTTCCTCGAATTGAGTTTGCGCACAGATACCTGCATCACTGCAAACAGTGTCCGCATCAGTCACGGATATCTATATCACACTCTCTCTCACGCTGATCTTGCGTGGAGAGAGGACTGGTTTCAAGCAGTAAGTCGCTATGGCAATGTGACAGGTCTTCTCTCTGAGCTCTCGATTACGTAGTACGGAGACCTTAGTCCATAAACTGACGGTCTACGCGATCAATCGCGGCATCGTGACTACGTGAGTAACCACGTCTATGAAGAATTTGCTAAACAATATATTGAGCCATCGTGGGCAGCTTGTTGCAGATCTTCCAGTTGTGTACAGTACGTGGAACTTGACGTTTGCTCTGTCTACAAGATGACTTACGAATGACGGTAGTATGTGTCTCTTCCTGACACGTACTTCGTATGGGCCATCTTCCACTTTCCAGGAAGTAAAGGTATGTTAAACCCTCAGCGGTCCCATAAGATGTTTTTGCTGACCCATTACATAAAGCATATGTCAATTCGTTGCTGGCCATGTATGTGCCAAGGTGCATTCCGACACTGTTAAAACTGATCAAGCTGTCGTTAGGGTCAATGCTCGTCACTACCTCAGAGAGAACAGCGCAAGAGCGAACCTCTCAACAGGGGTGTCCGTGCAAGACATTCCGCTTGATACGTTAGACCCTGAACAGCGTCAAAAATCGTCATGGTTCCGGTAAGTCTGTATCTTCTCCAAGCATTTCAACTTGCCGACATACCTCCGCCTTTCACCGCGGAGCAGCAACCGCTCTACTCGCCAGGACTCGCAATCGGCACAGGCGGTCATCACACTCACGACGGAGGTGGTCTGCGATGGTAGTGAGGTCGCTCTTCAAGATCAACACAAGGGGACTGGTCGGAAGACGCCATCGTTCTTCTAGGTATTAGAGGAATCCGTGACTACAGTCATTCAAACCGAACCGTCGCGCCCTCGGACTAGATGACGATGCTTTCAGCTCTGCACGAGTGATAAAGCAGTATTTTACGAACGATCGATCATGGCGGATCGTTATTTTGGGTCGGACCGGGGAGTGAGGCCTTGAGGGGTCGTCCACTTTGTGCCATATTAAGGGGGGTTGAGAACCCATTCACCAGCATGTCAATGCCATACGCACTCGTTACATGGATATAGTTATATGCGCAAACAACATGTCATAATATACGACTTCGTGGATGCACTATGCGTCCGTTCGGGATAGCTGCATTTTGCGCTGCAGGCGACAAACAGTCCGGGGCTTTCGCTCCGGCGTCCGACCTCAGAGTCTTCCATCGACATCTTTCAATCAAGACGTGCCATCTGCGACATTCGATATGACGCGCAGGACTGGATTGAGGAGATTTATTCTTTCCGGACGGTCTGCCTCAGGCTGTCGCTCAACACTGCTCGTAGCTATGGTCTGCTTTAATGGCCGCGTCGTTGTTGGGTGATTTCTGACATCAAAGGAAGCTTATGCAAACGTTGTATGTCTTGGCAGATCTTCGCATCACTGGAGGCCGCACATCCTCCTCCATTGGACCGTTTTGCAACAATGACTGGGAGCTATCGCATGCAGTTGCGTCAAAGGAAGTCTTATAGTAAGAGTGCTCAGCGGTCCTCGAGCATAACGTTACTATGTCACCTTGACGATGATGCATATGCCAGCTACAAATATTCATGACGCGCATTCGGCTATCGTCTTCAGGGAGCCTGAGAAGGTTTCAATGCATGTCTCAACGTAGTACGCCGCGTCCGAGTCAGTCCGTCCAGTTACGGTCTTCTCACAGTTACGGTTTGTACTAATTGGTCCCGCGTAGCGCACATTTTCTTGGGCTCCTCACCCGAGATTGAACCCCTGACCAGTGACCGGTATCTGGACGATGCCTACGAGAGATCTTGCTCCGATCGCATCTGCACCGACTGTTGAACAAAATCTTGCATTTTACGGCACATTCTTGCTCAGCATCAATCTGTTGCTTCCCGTGGCTTCTCTGACATCTGGCACCTGGAATTGCGCGAAATCGACCGATTAGTCAGCAGCCGAAGCGTTTTTGCTGTCGGGTAAAGTACCCATCATCCCCATGTATCCTCATGCCGCTGATAGACGCTGTTCAAAAATACCGCTAAGCACAGGCTCTCTGCGGAGGTTTCTTCATAAGGGTGTGATTGATGAAATGCATTGCTTCTGCGTCATCAGTCCTGGGATTTACTTCCAGTCGGCATCACGCAGGGTTCTGCTGTTGAGAAAACAGAGGCTGGGTGCGGCAATCCGGATGTCCGTAAATTTCGAGGTTCACGAATCATATGCGACATGCTCGTCGACCTTGGTGGAGAGAACGTACCGTTTTGAACGGAGCGTGGGAAGGATCACTGTGAGTTTATGTTCCGTGAGCTTTTGCTGTAATGCGCGAACTAAGCCTTGGGGCTAGGAAGTGTGAATATATTAGAACTAATATTTTCCACTTTCCTAGGCCCAGCAATTACAGGATCGTCCAGCACCTGCGTCACAGCAGGTTACAGTCAAGAATCCTTCTGTATCCCCAGGATGTCAATTTCTGCAAAAACAGCCCGTCCACATAAACGTTGCTTCACGACCGTAGCCTTCTCAGACGTTACCTGAGAGAACGATCCCAATGCTAGAAAATTGAGCCATATATCTTCCGCCCAACACGGACCGATAGCTATGCGTTTTCGCGGTGAACGAAGCAGAAGAGAGGTCAGACGCTACATCAGGTGGAACATCACGTGAATGAAGCACGCTTCGCAGGAACGCTTTTCGCGTGAACCTTCTCGTGTACCACCCGAACAGCAGTCCGCCGGACCGCCTGCAGTATGCTCGTCGACCGTCCTTGGGAAAATGTTCTGTTGTCATACAGGCAGGCAGGACTGCTTCGGCACTATAAAGACAGCGGTCCGGAGACGGTGGGGTGTCGTCGTGCTAGAATGGTATCAAGTCGTTGCTCGCGATGGGCGTTCCCTGCTCTCCTTTCGCTCTTGTTGGTCCTGCTTACTTGGCCAATTACACGGACCACCAGTGCATTGAGTTTCAGAAAGAACGTGCGGAAGGCACTGCAGGATGTTGTCACCGCATCTGAGCCTACTAGGAAGTCGGACAACTACACAGACATCGTTCAATGGGATAACTACACTATTTTCCTCAATGACCAAAGGATGTTTCTACAGTGAGTGAGGTGAGAACAGCGAGAATTCACTAATTGAACTGCCATCATTTCAGCTCCGGAGAATTTCATACTTTTCGACTACCGGTTCCAGACTTATGGCTGGATATCTTTCAGAAAATGGTTGCTGCGGGTCTGAATGGTGTCAGGTAAGTTCGGATGGGAGACATCCCTTTGTTGCTGCGTTGACGTTACTTCTTGAGCGGGTGAGATCTTTATATAACCCAAGAACATGTCTTACTTCATTTGATATTTTGTATGCTGCATGGAGATGTCTCAAATGGCAACTAATGTATATTCTTTGACAGCATTTATGTTCATTGTGAGTGGTATGTAAGCCATCTACAAGCTGCACTTTGACCGGTTCACGATGACAGGGACATTGACGAATCCCGCTCCTGGTGTGTTGGACTTCAACGACTGGAGAGCGCTGCAGCCTGTCTTTGATGCAGCGAAGCAAGCTGGAATCTTTGTTACACTAAGACCGGGTGCGTTCCACATTTGGTCTTTGAGCCCATTATTCCTCTTATGAGAGTCCCATAGGTCCATATGTGAGTCATCATTCAGGTGCAGCTGAACCTTCTGTGAAGCGGGTTTGTAGATCAATGCCGAGACAAACGCCGGTGGAATTGCCCTCTGGGCGACGAGTCTCGTAGCTGGCGAGTTACGCACGAACGCGACCGATTACATGGAAGCCTGGATGCCATATGTTAAGGAGGTCGCCGCAAGCGTTGTTCCGAATCAGGTTACAGGGGGAGGACCCATCCTCTGTGAGTATGATATGAATTTCGGAAACAATGAGAATGGCGCTGATGCACGACCTTCAGTGTTGCAGATAGGTAAGGCATGAAATGCTGAATATGGCGCTGCGCATGTCGCTGACCTTGTGAATCAAAGACAATGAGTACGAACAAAATGCCGTTACTGGTGAATACTTCGTGGAACTTGAGAACACATACCGCGAAGCCGGTGTTGTCGTGCCATTGTAGGCCTTCGTGCATGCGCCTGTCATCGGAATGATTGTTCATGGCAGACAAACAGGACCTACAATGACCCCGGTGAGGGCCAGAACTTCATCAACGGTACAGGCGCCGTAGATATATATGGCCTGGTGCGTTTTGACTTCACACTCCAAGCGCGACACTGTGTTGATCGTCTTATTTTGTTTCCTGTAGGATTCGTATCCTCAGGGGTTCGATTGCTCCGATCCGATAGTCTGGAGCTCGGTCGTCGCAAATTATCATCAGTATCACGAGGAGACCGACCCTGGTGAGCCGTGGTACATGCCCGAGTTCCAAGGTGAGCATCTAGTCTACCGTAGGGTGGCCATTTGTCTCAGACCGTCGCGAACAACAGGCGGCTCGTTCGATCCTTGGGGAGGAACTGGGTACAACAATTGTGAGATTTTGACAGGCGTGGACTTCGAGGACGTTTTCTACAAGCAGAATTGGGCGTCCAACGTGAAGATGATCTCATACTATATGGTCTACGGGTTAGTGCAGGTGGCGTATTTCTATAACATAGTCTAATACCATCATATGCAGCGGAACTAGCTGGGGAGGTCTTCCGTACCCCGGAGTGTACACAAGGTGCGGCTGCATTTCAACTCAATACCCATCATTTCCTCTGACTTTTACCAGCTACGATTACGGCTCCTCCATACGCGAGAATCGCGTGCTCTCTGACAAGTATGACGAACTCAAGCGTCAGGGACTCTTCCTGAGAAGCTCTCCCGAGTTCCGCAAGACCGACTGGATAGGCGATACCGATACTGGGATGCCTGGAGTGGTCGTTAACGGGTCGGAGGCATATGTGACATGGTTGCGCAACCCCGACAGTGGTACTGGATTTTATATTGTTCGACAGAGCAACTCTAGCTCCATGTGAGAGTTCGTGGATTTAGGCTGCTTTCACGCACTTGTCTAACCGGTTTTATTGTAGGGCGGATATCACTTTCCGGATTTCCGTTCCGACATCAGAAGGAACTTTATCTATCCCGCGGACCATTGATTCTATCGCTATCAATGGACGACAGAGCAAAGTCCTAGTAGTAGACTACTCCTACGGCGCAAACTCCAGTGTTCTATATTCGACCGCCAGTGTATTCTTCGCTGGTACAATCGGCAGTCGTGACGTTCTCTTCCTCTACGGCGACACGGACCAGAGTAACGAAATAGCACTGACATTGAAGGGAAGCGGGACCAAGGCCTCATCATCTCAAGTCTCCATCTCCAATGCAGGGACGGGAGGATACTCCACCATCACGCTACTAGCGGGAATCGAAGGGCTCATTCCTCTTTATGAGTCGGATTCGCAGCTAATCCTGTACAGCGACCCCGTTACCGCGGCAACTTACTGGGCCCCAGTGATACCGTCCACGACCGCCACGTCTTTCGAGAACTACTGGCAATTTGGCTCCAACTCAACCATCCTCGTCGGTGGTCCATATCTTGTGCGCAATGCTAGCTTATCATCCGGGCATCTCGCCTTGAGAGGGGACCTGAACAAGAGCATCATACTGACTGTTGTTGCGCCGGAGGAAGTGACGAGCATATCGTGGAATGGCGTCGAAGTTGATGCCGTTAACATCGCAGACGGCATACTCTCTGGAAATCTGACCATCAGTTCGTCGCTGAAATCGATCACGGTTCCATCGCTTGCCGGCTGGCGGTATGCAGACAGTCTGCCTGAAGTGCTGTCCAACTTCTCTGATGCAGACTGGATCATCGCCAATCACACCACTACTAACATTACTCCCGGACCTCTGTATGGAGATGGCCGCGTACTCTTTGGTTAGTGAGCTTGGTACTATCTCCTTTCAACGTTGATCGTTTAACTTTATTTCAGGTTGTGACTACGGGTTGTAAGTGTGAACGGAACTTAGGGCGCCGTAAGATTGCTGACAGCTCCTAGTTGTGAGAATATTGTCCTGTGGCGCGGGCATTTCAACGGTACCGGTTCTGAAACTTCCGCAAATCTGACTATCAACGGAGGAGACGGCATGTGATACATCTTTTGACATGTAGCACATACTGAGTTTCCTTTGTTTGCTCAGCGTTTGCCGGCTCAGTCTGGATCAATGACCGCTTCATCAACTCTACATGGGACGTATCGGCTGAGCAGACCACTGCGCTGTACACGTTCCCTGAGGAATCGGTCCGCATCGAAGAGGACAACGTGATCACTGTTATTCAGGTTCGCTCTTAGATTCACAAGTCAGGCACGAATCTTGATTTCGACCCCCCTAGGATGGTATGGGTAACGACGAAAACCCCGATGGTATGCGTTCGCATGTGAGTTTATGGTTTTAGGCTGATAGGTTGTTACGCAGAGAAATCGCCACGTGGTATACCTGGCTTCCTGCTGACTGGCGGGAGCTTCACGGAGTGGAAGGTGCAAGGCAAAATGGGAGGTTATACGAAGTGGGTCATTTCACAACATACCGGTGGCAGTGCTGACGAATGCATAAATCACAGCTACCCGGACAAGGTCAGAGGGGTCCTGAACGAGGGCGGTCTGTACGGCGAACGTGAGGGATGGCACCTTCCAGGATACGATACGTCGTCTTGGGAGGAACGTGATCTCTCTGACGGCCTTCCTTCTGGTGGTGCTGGCGTCGGGTTCTTCGTGACCACGTTCGATTTATCTATTCCAGAGGGTACCGATGTGCTCATATCCTTCCAATTCGACACCATGGACCAGCCATACCGTGCGACGCTCTTCGTGAATGGCTGGAACTACGGAAAGGTATGTATTCCTGTCGACCTAGATATTGCCTCGACTCAACCACGGCCACTCAGCGCGTTGCCAACATTGGTCCTCAAAGCAAGTTTCCAGTCCATCAAGGTCTTCTCGACTATTCAGGAACAAAGTTAGTAAAAAAATGTTATGTATGTGTTCGCAGCCTAATGTGATGCGGACACTTCTGCAGCACCGTTGCTGTCGCACTGTGGGCGTTGCAGGATACGGCCGTTTCTCCCACCTTGGAGCTCGTTGTGGATACAGTGATTGAGGGAGGCGTGGGAGAAATTGGCGTGAACAATCCAGGATGGTCAGCCCGAGTCATAGCATGAACTCATGTACTAGTATCGAGGCCGCTTTAGGCCTCAGGCCTATAGCAGGTTTTTCGACCTCCGAAGTTAACACTGACTAGTTCAGTATGCCAGTCATTTGGCCCATTGGATAGCGTGCTCGCTTCGCATACAGTTTGATTGTATCAAGTCGCGGGTTCGATGCTCCCGCAGTGAGCTTGGTCCTTTGGGTAGCGCACTCGCTTCGCATACAATTGAATTCTATCAAGTCGCGGGTTCGATGCTCCCAAAGTCGTGGTCTCTGTCGGGTAGTCACCCCAGACATGGGGCCATTTTTCTGCATGTAAAATGGAAAGAAAATGTGAATTAGTATTATAAAAATTGGGTATCTATTTGTCAAACCGGCAGATTGCTTTACACATTGGGCATTTGTAAATGATAATGGGATTATAAAATATGCTTAACCATATCCTAAGGGCAAATTTTATGTCTATTTTATGAATTTAACACAAGGATTTACGCACACCACAATTAATGTCACAGATTTTGGATATATGATGGGCAACTGCACTTTTGCATACTTTGTCTTTTAGAAGGCACTTTGGAACTTATTATCACACAGGATATGCATAGATAGCAGATTACGACTCATTATTTGCGCTCGTGACAAAGTACAGACAACTAACTACTGTCTTTTCAAGACATAGATCAGGTCATTATACGACACCGTGATCTCCATCGGCTGCGGACACAGCTTTTTCTTAGACCTCCAACGAGGCAGCTTCACTTGAGGCAGCCGTAACATCCATGGCCCCTCGCCACCTGATACTACAAATGCCACTGTACCGGTATGTTCACCTGCGATGACCAGGGCATCATCATTGATCTCGGGAGGGCATGTCTCGAACGACGTCGCAGGAAGTGTGTATCTTCGATAAAGCCCACGTCCTAGGTACGATTTCACGAGAAGCTGGTCGAAGCCAGACAAAGCTAATGTCTCGTCGATACAAAGGTCGACTTCGCAGCACCTGTTGTCGACAACGTGGATGTGTTCGGTGCCGTGTATCCTAAGAGGAAGCGTGCGAATCTTCGATAACACTTCACGCACTCGTGGATCTGATAAAAAGACATCGAGGCTGACAGATTCTAAACGACATATCACATGAGTAATATTCCGGATTGGAGATGTCGCAATTCAGACTTACCGTGAGTGGCAGGAGATTTCGCATGTGAGATGGTGGAAGGAGCACTCGAACTCGAAGCAAGCTGATCCAAGATTTCTTTCACCGTAACAGGTTCTAAAACATACCGCATGAGTGATATTCCGGATTCATCGTGATTCCGAAAACTTACTGTCAGGTGGAGGAGGCTTTTCAGCTGGAGTGGTGAAAGGACACCCACATTTGCATCACTCGCATCTGCACCACTCGCCTCTGCAGCAAGTCGGTCCAGCATGACGACCATCGATATATCTGAAATGTCAGATGATGCTACCCATGCTGCTCTCTGTCAGTAATCTTCCGCGGTTTCAGGCCATTCGGGACCAAGAGGCTCAGCATCGGGTGACCACAGTGGAGTTGACCCCCCCGCAGCTGCAATCAATTCTGATAAATTTCCACCAGCTTTTTCAGCCGGCACCCACGTATCATCGATTGACGCAAACGGAGTGATCTCATCTTTATTGCTGGAAATCGAAGTGGAAGTCAGCATCACTCTAAAAATCTATCATATGACGCACCTTGTCAGGCCAACCTCTTCTATGGGGCACCATAATACAACACCGTGAGGAGCATCCAGCACGACTTGATAATGGTCATTCCAGATATTCGTTAGGTATCTCTTCCAGCCTTTGTACTCGCCGTGGATGATCGTCACATGTTCCATGATGTACTTTCTGTGTATCTCGGACAGGGAGCGCGAGCTTGTTGATGATTCATGTTCATGCAATTCATGTTCGTGACTGCTGCTGTGTGATGCCACTCGCTCTTCTGGTGCAGTGAAGAACTGCAGTTCCAGCTCGTGCTTGATGACATCGCGAGGTCTCACGACAATCTTTACATAGGTTCAGCCCATGACATTGTGGAAAGTGGAAAACGCACCTCGTGATTCTTTTTATGATCGAGTAACCGCAGCTCATCCTTGTCAGTCTCGTTTGTCAAAACGAATCCTTTAACTCTGCGGTAATTACCTCGCACAACCCGCACGCTATCACCTGAGTGGAAAAACCTCTTGAGGCTGCGTAACAGCACCGTAGCTGCTTGAATATTGTCCTGACCGAATGCCACTTCAGCGCAGTCCTCTCTGACGCTTCGTATGACCCCTTCTGTGCCAGATAATTCTCTGTCTATTACATGTACATGATCACCAACGGCCAGACTTGCGATGTACACTTTGTGAATGAGACGGTTGAGCGCTATCGGCGAGATCCAGCGGCAATGCATAAACGACGAGATCTCGGCTTCATGGGGTGCATCAACCACAGGTGCCAGTGAACGAGCGTCGTATTTCAGATGCACAAGTCTGTCTCTGAATCACTTGTTGTGAAAGCTGAACTCTTGCGTGCCAGCAACGGGTTTCCTTTTCTTGACAGATTCAGCGCCAAACACTTCCACAGCCTTCACGTGGTCAAAAAGTTGTGCTGCTGGACGCGATGGCCGCTTTCGCGAATAAGAAATGCGGGGAACAGCCCAGATGATTGCATCATCAATGTCCTCCACATATGCAAGGTCCCACTTGTAAAGTCCGTATTCGATTCTAGCAAAGCAAGGCTCTACGACAGTATCAGCTGCAAAGATGTAGAGGGGAATCCGCTGCTCTAATGGTACATGGACCGGCTGAACACTCAGAAGTAGATGAGATGCCAGTGAACATGCGCGCATGACATTGGCCAGCGCTCGCGCTTCAATGTAAATGTGATCAGTGCGACGAACCGGTGTACCCTTCTCGTAAAGGGATATGGACTGTATGATTGGGTTCTCTGCAGGGTTCGCTGGTGGTGAGATGCTTTGACGTGGCAGCGCTGCAGAGCCTTCAGGACCAGATGGACCCGCAGGCTGTGTTATAGGATCAGATGGACCTGCAGACTGTGTTACAGATGCTGCTGTGAGGGCCAATGCACCAAAGATGAGACAGAGTGCTCGAAGAGCACAGTTCAGCTGGACGATTTTCAGTGCCAATCGGCGATGTAAGTGAGAATGCACGATACTTACCCTGGTCTTCACCATCCACAATGTAGGATCCATCAGCTCAGGGGCCCGAAGAGACTCCAATGCATCGAGGTCCATCAGAAAGGCTCGAGGAGCCCTCGAATGCATCACGTAATAATGCGCGATTTCCTTCGCAAGATTTTCTTCTTCTTTTTCTTCTTCGTTGGATGCACTTCCAGCCCGAACAGATGAGACCTCATCTTCTGAGTGTACACTACCGTCTTCAATGAAATCTATGAATCTATCAGCTGAGGTTCGCACGTCATGCGCTGTGACTCACCTGACAAAGGCTGATCGTCTTCCTCCATCACCTCAGTCTCCCCATCATCATCCACGGAGGCTTTGAGGTCGAGATACTCGTTGACTGGCACGTGCTAATGCAATTCAATGTGAACTACTACTCAGATATCAAAGAATAAATTATCACCTTGTCCGACATTATAATAGACTTATGGCGTGGAGGAGAAGTTGACTGAGTGAGTTCAACCAGAGTTCAACGAACTCTGGCCGAAAGTCAGACTTGTAACAGTATTTCCACACATCTCGTGGTTTACGGTAAGTTCTGCAAGGACGACTTCTCTCGAGGGATCAGGAGAGTGTAATCAAGGTGGCTCATCAACAATTTTGACGAGATCTGAATTACAGTTCGGACAAGCTAATCGACGACGGATATAGGGACGAACTCACCTGCAGCGCACGCGTTGAGGAACCCACTGCTACAATACAAACTGCCGGAGATGTGCGCTACAGCCATTTGGATAATGAGTATCGACGTAGAAACAACAATAGACACGGATGTACCTGCACAGAAAGCCCACTGCTCTGAGCAGCCACAGACGGAAGCGGAAAACAATGCGTCGGTGTCAGTGTCGGTGTCACCATCCGAAACGACGGAAAGCCAGGCTACATCGAGGAAGATGGGCGACTTCGAAGATGGAGCCTAAGGAAAATAATAGACACACCTGCTGCGGACACATGTTCTGGATCACAAACAAATGCATGGCGAGAAACGACTTAGGAAAGCATGAGCGAATGATGCGTGCGACGGTGGACGGCATCGGACGGACGACGTCCCACTACGTCTTTTAGCTGCGGTGGTCGATGAGCTCTTGCTATGAGGATGACAGGGACGATGAGAATGATGAGGATGATGGGGACGACAGGGACGACGAGGACGACGGGGACGACAGAGATGACAGAAATGATGGGGACAACGAGGACAACGAGGACAACGAGGACGACGGGGACTGTCGTTTTCTTTTGCGCTCAAGTAAGCTGAATCATATTTTATTTCAATGCTACGCTAGAAGACTACGACACCCACGCCGACGAGGCTGACGACAACGATGACGCCGCCGACAATGACGACAACACTGTTCGCTCAACGGACATAACGCCGAGGAGGCCGCTCCACCAAGGGGGCAACCACCACCATGGCAGGTGGTGAAGAAAAAAAGGCGCTTAAGCGGGTGCTGGGGGTAATATAAAGTTCTTTGTTCAGGGCAGGTCTGCCACTTCCATATCGAGATATATGTTCCCACACCTGCGTGTGCGCCACAATTATTGCCTCCCCCGCATTCTGTGCGTGGGGTGGGAACATATATCCTGATCTGGAAGTGGCAGACTGTGATGGTGAGAACATATATCCCGATATGAAAGTGGCAGACCTGCCCTGAACAAAGAACTTTATATTACCCCCAGCACCCGCTTAAGCGCCTTTTTTCCTTCGCCACCTGCCATGGTGGTGGTTGCCCCCTTGGTGGGGTGGCCTCCTCGGCGTCATGTCCGTTGAGCGGACAGTGTCGTCATCGTCGTCGTCGCCGTCGTAGTCTTCTAGCGTAGCATTGAAATAAAATATGATTCGGCTTACTTGAGCACAAAAGAAAATGACAGTCCCCGTCGTCCTCGTTGTCCTCATTGTCCTCGTTGTCCTCGTTGTCCTCATTGTCCTCATTGTCCTCATCGTCCCAGTCTTTCTGCAGCCCCAGCTCATCAACCACTGCAGCTAAAAGAATGTTGCAGAACGTTCATCCATCCGATGCCGTCTACCGTTGCACGCATTATCTGCTCGCATTTTTCTAACTCGTTCTACACCGTGCGTTTGTTTTTGATCTGGCACATGTACATGTGTCCGCGCAGCAGGTGCATATTCTTTCTCCTAGTGATCCGTTTGCGAAGTCGCCCATCTTCCTCAATGCAGCTCAGCCTTCCATCGATTCGATGGTGAACACCGACGATGCAAGTGGTCCTTGTCTATTGTCTCTCTGCTCGTGGCTCCAGGTGCTCGGGGCAGCGAGCTCTCTGCAGGTAAGTCGGCCTCTTGCCTGACGGATATTTGGTCTCAGATCCTTTACTAGAAGACATTGCATTTGTGCTTGCACAGAACTGCTCAAATGATTTGCCAGCATGGCGAAGAAATACGAAATCTAAGACTATCGAAGAGCCAAGGTCAGCCCGCATGAGTTCCTATAGGAAGTCAACAGAGTGGTAAGTTCAGTTTGGAGACGCAGGAAGTTCTTGGGCTGGCTGCTCAATCATCTTCACAAAGACATGGAAGGGACAAAGAAAAGGCAGTCCAGTACGTGTTAAGGTATCTGATATGCTATTCGGGACCTAACACACGACAAAGTGTCATCTTTTCAACATTTCAAGGACAAGTTCGTATGGAGACATAGCAGGTTGTAGTACGACCAGACGTAGGTGGAGGTGAGAAACCACAATTTTAACCGGGGTACATTCATTTCTCGCATTTATTGAGGGTGGTTCTGAATGTTGCTCACGTTATAGAGATCAAATCTACCGTTTCGCCATTTCTCTTCCTCGCCATCGATTTGTCTTCTCAGCCCCTGTTTCAGGATGCTATCGAAAATAATATCATTCCATAAATTGGCATTTAATTTGTACTCGCAAAATACGATGGTCACATGACCCAGGAGCTGACAGGTCAACATGTGCGTGGTGCTCGGCATGGATTGTGTCATGCAAGGGCGTAGGAATACGGATGATCAAGGTCTCTGGTCCATGCGCACCAGTGGAGGTCGCTTTCGTAAAATAAAATAAGCAGTGCTAATTGCCGGTGCTCGAGGCTGTCGCAGAAGGGGGGGGGTCCAGAATGGAGAAGTCACTCATAGTAGGGAAGTCACTCATTATAGGGAAGTCACTGCTGTCTGAAAAGTCCGCCTCTGTTGCAGACCGGTGACCTACGAGGCGCGCACATTTGGGGAGACCTTTCCTGCTACGGTTTGGCAAAGGAGAAGATGGAAGGGAAGGCGATGAGTCAGCCTCTATAGTTGCATCTTTTATTGGTACAGGATGGCTGAAACGGCAGCCTTTGAAAGGTAGGCACAATGGACAGGAGGATGAACTGGCATGATCCCCCTCATCTTTCGACACAGATTGCTTGCTCAGGTCTACACCTCTGAATTCGAGAGTGTCCCAATCAAAGTCATCAAACACATCCTTGGCAGCATCACTGAATGCCTCCAGGATTAGCTTGGGTATCTTCCAAAACTAACTCCAAGCGCATCTCATTGCAGAGAGCACGCTTACATGCATAAGAGAAATGCGCCAGTCATCATCTTTTGCCTCCCACCACCTCATCTTTGCGCATGTGTTGATGAACACAAAAAGCGGGTGGACTTGGCTTTAGATCTTTACTTCGTATGGAGGCGTGATCATTTTGGGCGCTGCATCCAGATTGTGATGAACAATGTGTGGGCAGTGGTCTGTCAACGAGATAATGTCGTACTCTCAGATGTGTGGTTCGAATACCTGCATGAGTGTGATTAGTTAGTTTGTCATTAAATATATCCTGATATTTACCAGCCCCAAATGACCATGGCGCTGACACAATGAAAGTTTCCGAAGCTGACTAATTCTTCGCATCAGCCAAGACAAGAGTGCTTTCAACATAATCCAAGTGATGTGTCTGTTATCAAATTGGCTGTGTGTGTCTTTAGACACTAAAAACAGAATTGAGAGCTGTGGAATGAAAGACATGGGAAGATCTACTGCAGCTGAGATTCTGACTCGTGTCCACATTCAAAGATCGAGGAAGAAGCCCGATGTTCAATTCAACCAGCAGAAGCTGTCAATGCCTGTAAGCAGAAATAATATTATTTCAGCAATGCATCGTACCTTATGGTCCAGTGATGCTCGAGGCATGATGTGTGCCACGTCATTGAGACCCATTTCAGAAGGTATCAATGTCAAGACACAACGCAGTTCATGGAGGGGAAACAGAGCCAAGAGCTGTAATTTCTCTGCTTCAGACAGCCTGGGCTGTCTATGGACTCTTCCAGATGGTGTATCAGTCAACAACTTTAAATCCATTTGAGGTTGCTTCTGGAGAGTGTATGCCTTTGAGCCAAGAGACTCTGGCTTTCTGCGACGCTTGTTGAGTTGTTCAGGTGAGACTGAGTCAAACCCGTGTGGTGTGTATTTCTTGTTCTTCGAAGGATTCCGTTGCAAGCTACCGTCAACTCGAGTACGAGAAATTGAAGTCGTCGTGTGGTCGCCCATAGCGTTAATGCGACAAGGTTAGCTGTACAATTGCAACAGCATTAGAACTCCTGGCGTACATGCACGTCGCACGATACATGTACACTCGCATCGCGGCGCATCCCAATTTCATATCTGTGATCTCAGAGAAGTCCCTTCATTGATCCCGGATAAACCATCTCCTTTTTTCAGATTCTACTTGCCATTCACCAACCTAGTCTCCATTCTGCCCAAATTCTACATGCTGCTATCTGTCGCGATCATAGTTGGTCAGATCATAGCTACGCTTTCTGTTGTATATGCTATCTGTCATAGTTACAGCATACAGCCCAGATATAGATCATAGGTCTTCTCACGTGACCGTGTCACTACTGTTGAATGGCTGAGGCATGGTTCACGCATCCACGTCGACTTTTCACTGCATACCAGCAACTGATCATTCGCCCTCTCTAGCTAGTCATGGTTTTCACTGGAACTTACGATTCTGAGCTGCCTTCAACTACCTCTGAGGCTACAACGCACCCCGTTCTGTTGGAACTGCTCTCTAGCAAGGCCGTCAACAATGAATCCCCCGCTCTGCACTATCACCTCGTCTCACCAGCAACAAAGAGACAGATACATTTTGTGAGCCTTTTTCTCTGACAACAGCTTTACGACAATTAATCTTAACCTCAGATGCATGCGTATGAGTGGCATTGGGGTATGGCAAAGGATTCTCTTAATCTAGAAACTCCTCTCAACGTTTTAACGTGTCAGTATGATCATTCTTTCAATTGCCCCTTGCTCATGTATAGTGTCACAGTACATCCGGATATGCATGCCCTCCTTAAAGCTGGTCACTGGGGTCTTATCCTGATGCGCAGCACCATTCAAGCCATTTTTGACATGTCCGAACACAATTACGCATGCACTGCTGATAGCCAGCGTCACAGTGTCTTTCCGGTACATTGACTGTATGTCTTTGAACAGCACATGATCTCATTCAAGACAATCTAGCTTTGTGGCAATGCCCTCTATGAGTACAAATTAATTCCTATTGCATTGAAGACCCCGCTGTACAGCCACACGCCCGGATCCTCCCGCCGTTTTGACCATCCATTCTATAATTTTCCCCATGTCCTCTCCCATGCACATCCCTACTTCATTATCCTCCACTTCATCGACATGATTTTCAGTGTCCCCTTTATGGTATCAAGGCCGCGTCCTCCAATCACGGATGAAGTGCGGAACACTTTAGCTTCGATTGTCCTTACTTGGGAGACTAGCTCTCCTAAGTCATTCATCACTCCCCGGACTCCATGGTGCTCTCGATCTGAAGCCAGTTTAGATGCTGAGGATGATGAGGATGAGGAAATTTCCCCCTTGAAGTGGCAGAAGCGTTCAGACGGATCTCCAAATGTGAATTCTGGTGGCAAGGTGTCGCAGATCTCACACAAATCACCTTATAAGATGTCGCGTATTCAATGCAGACCATCGCGCGTGCAAGACAAGTCATCTTCTGAGCCATCACGCATCCAACGCAAACCGTCTTTCCAGGCATCGCATGTTCAAGGCAAATCGCATTCCGAGGGATCATGCGTCCAATGCGAGCTGCCATCCAAGGAATCTTCATTGCTAGTGGGGATAGCCCACATACCCACCCAGCCAGTCAATATTTCAGCCTGGCTGAGCACGATGCAGTCTGTGAAGGGTGCACTGCCAGAAGATGAGACCGAGCAGATGGTCATCAAAGAGGCCCATGATCCAGTGCTCACTGCATATAGAGCTGAGCCCTGCCAGGAAGTTCAAGAGCTTCTCAGAGACAGCATAAAGCTCTCCGACATCCATCTGTGCAGTGATTCACTCGATACTGCATACTTCAGCAGTCACGATTGGGCATGGAAGAAACACTGTCACCTATTGTGGATACCGCGCAGTGGCGGTGGTGATCCGTGAACGTGTAGCTGTAGTTTACAATCGATCTTTGTATTCGTCAGCCTCGAGTGCTTGTCTTTGTTGGTAATGCTACATCGAGATCAAGTACAGCATGACATTTGCAATCGACATTACAGAATAAAACCATTGAGGAGAGTGCACACTCGTGCAGCGAAGTACGCTGCGTAGTCTGCTAGGCCAAAGTCACGGTTGGAGGTAATAAGCGTCACAAACACAGCAGTCAGGAACGCAACTACCATCAATTGGCACCATGATGTTGATGACGCGCTATCGCATCCATGTGTTGCGATGAGCTAATGGCCCTCAATTGGATAAGATGCAGGCATTAGGTGGAATGATGCACTCGTGACCATATTTTGATCTCTGATGGCCCGTCATCAGTGGATGCCGTCACAACTAAAGAGTTAAGCACACCTTCATGAGTCTACAAAGAAGAGGCATATGAACCAGCTGTACGGCATGAGATTTGTGAAGTGTAACCTACCAAAATGGTCTGTACAAAAGTTGCATCTGTGGGGAGAAGGAAGCAAACCTGAGTGATGTGGACAGAATGAGAACAGCAAAGAATCTCGCAAAGAATGTCGCTTACCACGGGTATGTTCAAGCATCTGCAACAACTGTCCTGTAGTGGTGTCGTAGAGGCAAGTGAATCCATCATCTCCGCCTATAACGAGCTGGGTACCGAGTGTACTGACTTGCATTATTTGGTTGCGGATTATTGGGTACGAATACGACCGTACTCGTTCTAACGATGGGAATTTATATTGATCGACGCCGCTGACGAGGTTCGAAACGAACAGGGTTTGTCCATCCTGTGACAATATCGAATGCCCGCTATTCAAGAGGTCAGCATGACTTTGCAAAGATGAAGGCTGTGAGGTTACATCCGTGTGGGTAATTGCTTTGCCCACTTCAGTGACCAAGGATCGACGCTGTAGCACAGACTAGAAACAAATAAGCTTCGCACAATACCCTATGTGGCAGCTAGAGCTTACACCTCATGGGATTCACAATAGCACAACACAACATCTGTCCCATTGTTGCAGAAGTGAACAGATTGAAGCATATATCCTTCGTCATTAATGTCTGTGGTCATGCTTTCTAAGATGCCTGAAAAGGTCGCGGTCAGCACGGGACATTTTATCAAATGGCGATCACCTCACCGCCTGCATTGAGCTTTCAGACGTGAACAGTGCCCCCTCCAATGCTGGCTATCCAGCCATGATTGGGATCGAAACTTATATATTGCACAAATCCATTGTGGGCGGAAGTTGAAGAACAGAAGATGAATGGAGTCTTATGAACAACTATGGTTGAGACAGCAAGAATGCAAGGCTGAGGAGCGTGACAGACCTGATCATCGTCCCTCTGATAGACTTGCAGGGTGCCGTCCGCACATCCGAAGACAAATGCGAGATTGTCTCCCTTTCCGAGATCAATCCAGCGCATGCTGATGACCAGACCATGGAATACAGAGTTTAATTCTTGCAATTTATATCCGGTCTTCAAATCCCAAGCAATGAGGTAGCCGTCGTCAGCTAAATTACAGTCAGCGAGGAGCAGAACTGAATGCTGGCTCGATGCCTGCACCTGCAGTCAACATTATCGTGCCATCGCAACTTAAAGCGATAACATTGACAGGCGAGTCATACGCTAAAAATGTGTTTGTAAGGATCATCTATACGTTGCGTAAGCGATATAAGCATATGCAAAAGTGCCATTGATAGAATCCCCCTACCTCACTCATTATGCGACAACCACGAGATTGACAAGGACACGTCAAAATTCAGGCTCGGAATTGAGGGGATGAGGTGTTCAACCTCGACTTTTAACTGTACAGGATGGAGATGACTGCACAGAAGAATAGTACCACTTACCACGGACTGCCAGAGATGCAAGCGAAAAACAATGGACGAGCAGCATATGCGGAGTTCAGCATGCATCGTACGGAGCCATGGACAATAAGTATTGATCACGGGTGAATAGAGATCCACAGAGGGTATGCGATGAGGAGCCCACTGCTCCAAGCAGCCAGAGGTGCAAGTGGGGAGACAATGGACGAGGAGCACTATGCATCGTCAGTGTTCGCCATCTGGAGCGATGTGATAGAAATCCGGAAAAACGATAAAGACGGAGTTGGACAATTAGTGTCGATATCGGAACAATAGAGGCGGACGACATACCTATACACAAAGCCCACAGCCAGAGGGGCAAGTGGGGAGACAATGGATGAGGAGCACAATGGATGAGAAGCACTACGCATCATCGCTGTTTGCCATCTGGCGCGATGCGATAGAAATCCGAGAAAACAATAAAAACGGAGTTGGACAATTAGTGCCGATATTGGGACAATAGAGGCTGACTTACCTGAAGAGAGCCCACTGCTCAGAGTACCCTGAGGCACACGAGCAGGGAGACAATGGACAACGGCCATCTGGCATCGTCAGTGTTTGTCATCGAATTGAGTGGAAGGCTGGGCTGCATCGAGGAAGATGGGGATAGGTAACTTTGCAGACAGAGTACCAGGAGAAAGAATACGTACCTGCTGCGTGGACACGTATGCTGGATCGAAAACAAATGCATGGCGGAGAACGGGTTAGGAAAACGCGAGCAGATAATACGTGCGACGATCAACATCTTATGATGTCGATAGTCGATGGAGTGGGAGGATGGCGGGTCACTCCGTGGGGCAATGATGCATGCAACGGTCAACATTCTGAGACATCTTTTTGCTGCGGTAGTCGATGGGATGGGAGGAGGACGAGGAAGATGACGAATCACTTTCATTTTGATGCACTCAACGAAGCCGAATGGTATGATATTTCTGGTACGATATTTCTATTTGGACGCTATGTTTGACACTATGACGTCACTGCTGACAACGACGACACTGTCCACTCAACTGACAGTGTGCCGAGAAGGCCACCCCACCAAGGGGCAGCCCACTACCATGGCAGGGGAAGACACAGTAACAGAAAAGCAGCTTAGGATTGAAAGTCAGGTCAGTACTCCTGTAAGCACGTTGAGCTCCATAGACCACGGACAACGATGACAATGACGACGGACCTTTGCCAGAGACTTGAAAATGTATGTGTGTTCATCCCACTCCTGTCGGATTGCATGGGAAGATAAGCAGCTGGGAGTGATGATCTCTACCTGTGCGTGAAGTTCCTTAGAATATATGCTAGCTCCGAAGTCAGGGTAATCTGTAAATGGGTCAGTAATGGCAATTGGCCTGGTCTTGTATCTGTGCACTGCCAACAGCATGTGGGTGTGTGGCATTTTCTGGCTGTAATCTGCCGCTGGAAGAGAAAAAGCCTCACGAATTATGCTCAGGACTGGCATACGATCTGCTTTCCCGTATAAGAACACCAGACTATTAGATTCTCCAGAGCAATTAACGGAATAATGAATGCCTCCTTGCGTAAAGTGGTGATGATTAATTGCTCTTGACCTGCCAGCCCAACGGTGCAACTCTCTGGAGAGAGTGACCGACATTGCTGATAATGCATCAGATATATCGGGTTCAAGTTCTCGCCAATTCCTCCAGTCTGTTGAGATATCTGTGGCAGCCGAGCTATCTCCCAAGTTCAGGAAACTACGAATATCTGTCCGGAATGTTTCCCGGTCATCATCCTGGTAACAGGTCTCGACAATTGATGCAGTCTCTCATAGGACATCGGGGTGAGCACGCTTCATGAAGGCCTTCATATTAGCTGCTGCACAGAACGTCTCTAGCATTGTCCTCTCAAGTTGTCCTGTGTAGGAGATCAGCATTTCTGACACATTCAAGGAACTAATGCTTGCCTAATTTCCCGTTAGTGACTGTTTGCTAAAGGATGCCAATAATTCTTTCAAATGGGAACATCCATCATCCATAAACTGGCCCAAAACGCAGCAAGAAGTCGCCTAAATGGAGAGCATTATGATGATTTGGTCTCAAAGATCATTCGGGTTGCAGGCGCAAGATGCTGGATAGGTAGCCATGCATGTGTGCCGTATATTTTCTCTGATGCTCTTGTGACGTGCGATAAGAGGTCACCTGCCTGACGGCACATGCAAGTAGCATGGTTGAGTGGGCTAATTCATGTCGAGCATCATCCCTAGGACGCAATGGCATAGTCGACCAGCACCAGCACTTCAGCATGGAAACTGGTAGTTCGAACTCAATCATTGCCTTCCAATGATCAGCTTTGAGCTTACCGCACGCCGTGGTGCCAACGTTATGAGGAGGTTCTTTAGAATAGGTTAGACGTGATGTAAGGGCAATGTCAGCATGCAAGTTGTTCAAGTCTTGTTGCGAGAATACTGGTGAACTTATGTCTCTTTGGATAACCATGCCTTCGTCTTGAGTGGATTCCGCACATTCATCAAAAAACTCATTTCCTATCAACAACTCGGGTAATATGTAAATGATTGTGGACTCGGTCGCCAACGAGCTTGTGGCAGTGGGAGCAGTGGGGGCCGTATGTATGCTGTTCTGCATTAATTAGGAAGATCAGTGAGGTTCTATCACTCGTTGCAATGAGTACTTACTAGCAACGCATTCACCAAAACAATCTTCTTCAACTTTCTCATGGGACCCCAGGAGGATTGATCCACACCTCGGTTGCGACATACAGATCGTAGAGCTCCCCTCAAATTTCGTCCCAACTGTTTGGCAGTTGGAACAGACATCAGTAGGTGTTTGATCTTCCTCACTTGCAGAGGAATCTTCGAGTGGCACTCGTCATCCATGCTGGATAGCTCAACGTCAATGCTGATGTTGATATCATCATCGTATGGATCAGCAGCCAGCATATCCATTCCGACAATGGTACGAGCATGATACTGCACCAGACCAAGGAAGAGGTTGTGCATAGCATCAACAATAACGCTTCGCGTCGGGTCCCAGTATGGCAGACGCATAAGTTCAGACCATCTCACTCCGTTTCTCCTAAACAGTGCACTCCGCCAGGTTTTCGTCGGTGCGTTCCACCATTCCTGCACAGCATTGAATACATATGACCGTGTTTTCATCCTCCAGGTATGCATATCGATGTTGTTGATCTCCTGCTTGGTCAAGAAGCATAATGCACAAAAGCACTTCACAGAATGGCTGGCTGAGCCTGATACCTTTCTGCCGGCTGGGAGGTCGGTTATGAGGAGAGCCAAGGCTGACCATGAGCACCTTCCATGAGGGTATCTGTAAGTCCTCGTAAACCAGATGCCGTCTGTCCAGGAGATGAGCAACTTGTCCACGAGTGGGCAGAGGAAATGGTCAATTTCCTCTTTAGATGGCTCCTTCAGTCCGAGAATGATGCCCATCAAGTATATGTTTTCTGGCTGATACCTCAGGCTGGGAGGCGAAAGCAAACAGCACATAGCGACCGACCCTGTCGATACTGACCGGCCCGCGATCTTGTTCAGGTAAGGGTTAAACCAATCCACCGACAAACCCCACAAGAGTCTGATTTTGTGGCCTTCACCAGACAAGAAGGGCTTTCCATCATCACTCTTGAGATCACGGATTATAGCACTGCTGTGGATGTTGTAGATGTGACCAGATTGTGCAATCACGCTTTCCAGTGCGAGAGCATCTTCAATGCCTTGTCTGCACAGCAAACCTCCCACAAATGAGTCGAAGTCTTGCATAACGAACGGGCGGCGAGGGACGCGTATACTGTAACCGTGATATACACCGTGTGTGGTGAGCTTGGCATTACAAGGAGTGCTATGAGCAAACCGTCGAAACTGACAATGCGCAGGGTACACAGGGATACCGGTGTTGTATGTGGGCTCATATGTCAATGAACAAGTGGGACACGCTGCAAAGATTGTGACCATGGGATCCAGGCCGAACAATTTGCACATGCTGCGAATGTCCGTAGGAAAGCTCTTGAGGAGTCCCTCTTCCTGCATCGTCCCCCTGCCGCCTTGTCGTAATGCAGATTCAATGATAAGCTTGAGCATACATAAAGCAAAGTTGCACGATCTGCGAGTAACCTGCCCGAGCAGATTGAGAACCAGCACATTGAACACAGACAGAAGAAGGAGAGGATTAACACGGTCAAGGGGATGACTAAAATGCTTGCCTATTGATTGTGTGAGTATACGACATTGCCTGATGTAGACATTAACTCACTTGTGTCGATGATCACACCAGATGAAGTCGCTGCGAGATTTGGTGAATGACCTTCGATTCCAGACAACCAAGACTGTAGAAGTTCACGCTGTTCATAGAGCTGCTGTAGCATTGCAGACCGTAACAGGTGCAATGCAGAGCCATGTGGTCCATTAGCAGTGTCAAGAACAATGTCTATGGCTTCCAAAAACCACTGCTGCTCTGTTTGCAAATGCTTGGAGGTGTCAAGTGCCTGCCTGCTGTTCTGCACAGACTCCATCCCTTTGCGATACCACTCCATGCAATCACGGGCATGCAGGTCAATTTGTAAATCAAGGAGGAAAAGTTTTTCGTAGTCTTCTACCTGCCGATCGGAGAGGTTCTTGCATGCAGCATGGCACTCGTTGGAGGGTCCCACCAGTACAGGGGCAGAAGTGCTGCTGACCCCACCTTCATGTGCCGAAGCCTCCGAACATTCCCCGCCAACTGATGTCTCTTCTAAGCAACATGTTCTCTCCCAGACCCCATCCAAATGTGCCGGAGAACAAAATGTGTCATTCTGCAACGTATGTGCATAGACTTTGCCCACGAATGCGTCTCTCTGAGCAGAATGGGCTTCTTCCGCCGATGAGGCTCCACGCTGTTCATCACAGCCAGGACCCATAACATGTGGTGTCCACGACTCTTCCTGTGGTATATGTCAGGATGCCAGAGACTTGGTGATCGCTGATGAAAACCCATCGCACCTTAGAATTCGACACGGACCGATCTTGTGCTCTATGATGTCGGTAGGTCGCGTAGTCGACGAGCTTTCTGCCACACTGATTCAATGTACATTCGCATGAGAACACTTGTTTCGGCATGAGGTTGACAAAGTTCACAAGGGATGGAGTCCAGAGGGCAGCTCACGATCACCGACGAACTTTTATATGGATGAAACGGCGATTTCGCATGTTAATCAACGGAAAGTCGAAACAATTGTCGCTGCATGATCGCGTACCTTCTATAGTCGGACAATCTGCAGTTGCAGTTGAACCAGCCCTTCTCAGTCTCCTTTTATTGTCGTGCTGACTCTGCGCATTTTTAAATCATCGAGCTGTCCTTGGTTGATTTCCTGTGGCAAATGGAGAGATCACGCAACCTCTGATTGAACCAACCGGGGCACTAATTCGAAAAGTCCGTATGAAGCCCAGTATCCCACGGTATCTGTCTAAATGCAAATCACATCCTTCCCTTCCCGTCCGGTCCCCCCCAAAAGTAACAGTCTCTAGCCTCCTCATTCTGCCATCATCTTTTTCTTTGTAGATGCTGACTTGTTCTTGAGGTACACATGGAGAAAGTCCGCTACAGCCCAGTTGTTCTCATACTTCATCAAGAATGGATGGTCATTGGCTGCCTATCCCTCAAGTAAGCATAAAGACATACATGCTATTGTATAGGCGCAGGGACTCACCAGAGTGTAGACCGTTTGAAGATCCTGGAACGGCTGCTTCGAAAATGATGTATGTATTTGCAGATGCGCATCCGCTAAATGATGCACAGTATTCTGCTGATGGTAAGACAATGCGTGAGGCCATGAAAACGAGTCCCACCTGTACTTGAGTGTATAGCGCCTCTTTCCAGTGCAAAGCATCTCGGAGATTATAGCCACCGCAACCGATGCGAGTGACTTCTCCATTCAGCTTTGGGATAGTTTTGCAGGAGTCGAGAAGTATGGCAGCAGTCAGTGAGGGAGCTGTACTCTCTGGACCAAACTCATGCTGAGTGGGGGAAGATGGCAGCGTGACCAATCATTCAGATTGGAAACAAACTCACATGGTATGAGGATGAAACTGATGCTGTGTTCGGTAGCATTGGCGAGAGGGAGGCATGGCTATCAATCAGACTGCTGTGATGTGGGCACTTGACATACCTATCATCACAGTGACCTTATATAAGGCTAGAACTGTTAGAGAGGGATGTGAGGGCTGCCACCTGCAAAGCTATGTCTTAGGCATCACGATACCTTAGAACAATAGTGGTGGGTTTACCTGCACGAAAAGCCTGTTCACCCCATTACGCATCGTCGGTGTCCGCCATCTGGAGCGATGTGATGGAAATACGGGAGAATGATACAAACAGACTTGGATAATTAGTGTCAACCTCAGGACAATACAGGTGGATGACATACCTCCACACAGAGCCCGCTGCTTTGAGCAGCTGGAGGCACAAGTGGGGAGACAATGGATGAGGAGCTTGATGTTCGTCATCTAGAGCAATGTGATAGAAATCCGGGAGAACGATAAAGACAGGGTTGGACAATAAGTGTCGATCTTGGGACAACAGAGGCTGACTTACCTGCAGAGAGCAGTATGCATCGTCGGTGATCGCAATCAAGAGCAATGCGACAGAAATCTAAGAGAACGACTTTTCCAGATCGTGCTCTCCTTGTCACGAGTGGTGCCCGTGGCCGACTCATGAGTGACGCTTGCGATTAGATCGTACACTGTCATAGGGTGCCCAGGAGGTGCATCGAGATCTATGCAGTGATATCTATGCGGTGCTTCAGCACCAAGCATTCACGACCTCGATTATACGTCTCACTTACATTCCTGGAAGTCAAGACCCCTAAGCGGAAAGTTCATGATAGTGGGGTTCTTCTCCTCAACGAAAATGTTCTTCGTGAAGTGTCTGAAATGGAGGATCATATACGGTGGCAGCTGTTGGCATTTGAAACGTTGCAGACCCATGCAGACCCTTCTCCTTGTGCTGGTGTTATGCTTGTAGCTAGCTATGCTATATATACACATATTCTCACTGTTGAGTACATTAACGGTCTATCGATTCAGAATTGAATGGACTCAGATCCAATGGCTCCAAATACTGACATCGCGTGTTCCGTATATTTGTCTGACTTAGCAACATCAAGAAACGATGCATGCGCGCTAGGAGGCTGCTAACCTTCAAATGGACACTATTGAGGCAAGCATTAGACTAAGATAGATCTACAGTACAGACGACAGGCTTACTAAGTGAGGTATCTCTTCTTCATCGCTTGCATACCCCACTCTGGATCGCTCAACTTTCATCAACGACGCTAGCCACTGTGGGTCATAGTAAGATTTCGGTAGACCGCGGACACATTGCCAGCTCGACTTCGGAGATGTGGACGAGAGCTGCTGAATTCGGGGAAGAGCTTGGTTCCCTTTCAATCCCAGGGCTCCTGACGCAGTCTCATAACTGTCCACAGCAGACAACAAGGCATCGACGTCGTCGTGACGCCAAGGCAGCTGCGCTCTGTGGACGACTTTGTGGTGTTTACTTGCTTCTTCGTCTGTGTGGTCCGAGCTCATCCCCGCAACCTCGAGTTTCTCTAAAACATTCTCGATGGTGTTTCACAAAGCTGATGAGCTTCCCTTGTTCGCATTCACGACCTGAGCACGTCTCATGAATATCTATGAGACAATGATTAGTATTGGTTTACAATGCAACCTGTGACTCACGCCCTGATGCCTTGTGTTGCGTCGCAACACTGCCGCATCGTTGGCTTTCCTCTTTTCCCAGTCATGAGAGTTTGCGTGATGGACCTGTGCTTGTATGTGGTGTAATTTCGCGGTACAGGAGTGCAGCAACATTGTCTCTGTCATAGTTTCGGGATCAAAAAGAAGAGGGAATTGTAATCCTGACTTGATTCGCTGAAGAAATTCTCGGGAGAGAAGCAGTATCAGTTCCTTATTCCATAGAGAGCTCAGCTCACTACTCCAATCCATGAGCAGCAACGTAATATCAGGGCCATCTCCAATTCCATCAATGAAGGCCTCGACTACTGAAGGTGTTGCACTGGCTGGCTATCTGCCATCAGCAGGCAGAATGCCCTTAATTCCCAGGTACTGCCTGAATCGTGCCTGTTGAACCAAGTTAGATCGCCACGAATTTCTTTAATAACAGACCATAATGACTAACATTGAACACGTTATTGCTCCGCAGACCTCTCCGACATTTCGTTCGTGCAGCGGGACGTTCATGATGTTCAGTGTCTCCAAAGTATTCATCTTCGTCGAACTCCATTTTCGCAGATCCTCCAGTGACATTGCGACGCGTGTCAGCACTCTCACTGCTCCTGCAGTGAGACTTCTGTTTGACAACCACATCTAGTGCTCTCTGCATGCCTTTCTTGATGCCGTTCGCTACAGCAAGAGACATCGCCTGCAGCAATCTCGCTAAGTCACTTTCATCGACAGAAGGTCCCGAACTGTTGAGACCAGGAGGGTCAAGCTGGAACACCTGTTGTGTGATCGGTCCTCCCTCCAGATGCTGGGCCTCAAGGGGCACAAAGCGAGGGTCGTTGTCGATTGCAACACTATCCTGAACATCGAAAAGACCATATTGAGATCCCACCCTAGAAAGCTCACTCTCATGCTGCAGGAATATTCAGTCAGGCATAAGATGAAACGCGAATCATGTACTCACCACACTCGATGGACCATTGCACTCTACATGAGATTCCAAGGCTTCAACCGCAGACACCGCCAAAATACCTTGCATCGATTCCTGCTGGAAGTAATCATAGTAAGTATGGGAATGCTAGCAGATGATATATTGAAGATCATTTTGAAGATCATTGACGTAGACAACGCTGCACACTCACCACTTGTACGTCCTCTGTTGGTTCTGAAACTATCTCACCCTGACTGGAGAAAATAATTTCGTGCACTTCTAGCTCATCATCGCTGAAAGGTTCCTCAGAGAACTTTGCATGGGTAAGCATCACATATAAGCAACAAAACAGCGATCCCACTTACTTGGGCCTGACGTGGTTCACTACTCGCCACATCGAGCGACTCACGATACATCTCTTGCTACCCACCATACAATCAGTTGTGAGCTAAGTCGACAAGAACACAAGAACAAGAACACTTACAGTTACATTGATCCAGGTATTACTAGCCGAATTTAAGATCACTTGCTGAGGTGCAACCTGAAGCCCTCATCAGACAATGTGTAACAAGAGCTTCAAGCATCTAACCGTGTTGTGTCAGGTATTCGGAATGGCAGACATAACGTGCTGTCTCAGCGTATTCCAGCCAGATGAGCGAAAGAGATGCACGTAAATAGATTGGTATATGGGATATTTATATCTTTCCAGAGATGCAAGCAAGAAAACAATGGGGAAGGAGCATTACACATCAATGTTCACCATCCGGAGCGATGGAAAAGATGAAAAGCCAGGCTGTAGTGCAGAGTTCAGCACACATCGTACCTCCGGGAAGAATGCTCTTAGACAGAGCCGTTTGGACAATAAGTGTCGATCACGGGATAATAGAGATCGACGTACCTGCACAGAGCATACGCGACAAGGAGCCCACTGCTCCGAACAGCCAGAGGCGCAAGTGGGGAGACAATGGATGAGGAAAACTATGCATCATCGGAGTGGGGAGACAACGGGCGACGGAAAACTATGCATCGTCGGTGATCGCTATCTAGAACGATGTGATAGAAATCTGGACAATTAGTGTTGATCTTGGGACAATAGAGGCTGACGAGATACCTACACTACACATAGCCCGCTGCTCTGAGCAGTCAGAGATGCAAGCAGAAAGACAATGGAGTTTTCACACTACGCATTGTTGGTAATCGCTATCCAGAGTGATGCGACGGAAATTCGGGAGAACGCTACTAGACGGGGTTGAATGAGTGTCGATCTTGAGACAATAGAGGCTGATTTACCTGCCTGCAGAGAGCCCGCTGCACTGAGCAGAGCATTCGGAGGTGTAAGTGGGAAGACTAATGCATGTTCAAGACATACAAGACGTACATCAGGTCATTAAACAACAACGTAATCTCCACCGGCTGTGGATGCAGCATTTTCTTAGACCTCGAATGAGGCTGCTTGAGCTGGCAACATGTCCGAACAGTGATAGAGCACTCTTCCGTGAGGATACGGCTTCTCTCGAAGGATCAGCCCAAGGGTTGCAGTAGTAGACTTGGACCTCCATCGTGCTCAGATCTCGTCTTACACTACATAAATGACACTAATTACACTTCCGATCGTGGGAAGGGTGATTCAACCACGCGCAAAAAACCGTCCCTCAACAGATCCTTCAGGTCATCATGGTCCACGATCCCATCTTGATAGTTGTAAAATGGTTTGAAATTTGCTGGATCAATGACCTAGAAAGATTCTAATAGATAGTCACACATGCAGATGTTGAACTGACCTGACAGGACCATTAATGCCAAGATGCATGACTAGAGTGCGAAGATCCAAGTCACCACTCGGTAAGCAGCGAAAGATCACATCCTTCACTGGAGTCCACTGCTTGGGACTTTGGAAGAGCTGAATTACCAGTTCTTGGGCGAGTGACTTCAGGACGATGGCCTTCCTCCCCTTCTTTCGAGCTGGCTTCGTCGTAACAGCTGATCAAAGAGAAGTTGTTACAATTATACCAATCCCTCAAAATGACGCTGTATGTTTAGCTCACCGGCATTAGGATCGGTGTCACCGACTTCGAGCTGAATGTGTTTGTCTACATGGCCTGTTGAATTTTCAGTCAACACTCATTTCTTGCGTAAAGCGGGTTCAGTCGCAGTCTCAGGAAGCTGTGATCATGGATGAGTCCTAGCGGCGAGCATGTTCACACTGAGACACTTACCTCGGAAGGACCCCAACCCATTTGAGATGAAGGGGCATCGCGCTCCTTTGCTGAGAGACGCGCTAGCGGCGGTGTCAAAATATCATTGATAAGGAGCAAATGGTCCTCAAAGCGAGCATGCTTGGGTGTTTCAGTGGAGATATCATCCGGTGCTGCTCTCTTTTGCGTCGGCAGTATGGGTGCTAGACTCTCTTCTGGGATCGCATGATTCTGAGGATCTGACTATTGTTCATGCATAGTGACATGCTGCATGGACACTTAATAAGGATTCCTATGCGAAGGTTTTAACGACTCACATAGTGGGTAAGAGCCTAAATATAATCTGCCTTTAGACGTCGCGATTCTCCGGTTTTGAGGAGTCTGCGGCTGGAAGACACGACCGTCAACTGATGAATCGAGCATAATTGACGCAGGATGTTTGTGTTGAACCGATGTAAAGAACTGGATGACAGATGAGCTCACTTGAGCGTACGCTCAGCGTGCGCGAGAGCGTAATTGAGGTGGCTCATCAACAATCCTGGTGAGATCTGAACTACAGCTCAGACAAGCTAATCGACGACGGATATAGGGACAAACTCATCTGCAGCGCACGCATTAAGGAACTCACTGCTACAATATGAACTGCCAGAGACCCAAGTGGGGAAACAATGGACGAAGACGAAGACTATAACGCAGCGTCGGTGTACGCCATCCAGGGCGAAAAACGGCGGGCTACAGCCGTTTGGACAATAAGTATCAATGTAGAAACAACAATAGACACAGACGTACCTGCACAGAAAGCCCGCTGCTCTGAGCAGCCACAGACAGAAGTGGGAAACAATGCATCAGTGTCGGTGTCACCATCTGAAACGACGGAAAGCCAGGCTGCATCGAGGAAGATGGGCGACTTCAAAGACGGAGCATAAGGAAAATAATAGACACACCTGCCGCAGACACATGTGCCAGATCACAAACAAATGCACAGTGAGAAACGACTTAGGAAAGCACGAGCGGATGATGCGTGCGACGGTGGACGGCATCAGACGGACGATGTCCCGCTATGTCTTTTAGCTGCAGTGGTCGATGAGCTCGGGCTACGAGGATGACGGAGACGACAAGGACGACGGGAACGACGGGGACGACGGGGATGATGAGGACGACAGGGACTCGTTGTTTTTGTGCTTAAGTAAGCTGAATCATATTTTATTTCAATGCTATGCTAGAAGACTACGACGCCCACACTGACGAGGCTGACGACAACGATGACACTGTCCGCTCAATGGACATGATGCCGAGGAGGCCACCCCATCAAGGGGGCAACCATCACCATGGCAGGTGGCGAAGGAAAAAAGGCGCTCAAGCAGGTGCTGGGGGTAATATAAAGTTCTTTGTTCAGGGCAGGTCTGCCACTTCCATATCGGGATATATGTTCCCACCCCACACGTGCGCGCCACAATTTTTGCCCCCCCTTCCCCCTCCCCCCCCGGCATTCTGGCCATGGCACACGCGTGAGATGGGAACATATATCCCGATCTGAAAGTGGCAGACCGTGATGGTGGGAACATATATCCCAATATGGAAGTGGCAGACCTGCCCTGATGTCACAGTATTAAGTGGCACCTTTCTTTTTGCACCATTAAAGTCCTCATTTGAGTGGTTATTCGGACGCCAACCTTCATATTGGTCTCGCAACGTGGATACTTGGACAAACAGCACAATGC